TCCTGTAATTCTAACACTTTGGAGGGCCAAGATTGGCAGATCACTTAAACCCAGGAATTTGAGACCACCCTTGGCAAACCTTGTCTCTATAAAAAATAACCTCCAACCCCAAATTAACATTTGTTAGTACCTCATAATTTTCTTTTTTTTTCGAGACGGAGTTTCGCTCTTGTTACCCAGGCTGGAGTGCAATGGCGCAATCTCGGCTCACCGCAACCTCCGCCTCCTGGGTTCAGGCAATTCTCCTCCCTCAGCCTCCCGAGTAGCTGGGATTTCAGGCACGCGCCACCATGCCCAGCTAATTTTTGTATTTTTAGTAGAGACGGGGTTTCACCACGGTGACCAGGATGGTCTCGATCTCTTGACCTCGTGATCCACCCGCCTCAGCCTCCCAAAGTGCTGGGATTATAGGTGTGAGTCACCGTGCCCAGCCAGCCTTAAACATTTTAAATGTTCACCCTCAATTGAGTATATTTTATATACCCAAGGAAATCTTATGAATGTCTTTAATGCTTCATTGGAAATATTTAACATAGGCTCCCTCTGAAAATTTCTGGGTTATGATATAACAGTTAGATTATTGGCCAGGCACGGTGGCTCACGCCTGTAATCCCAGCAGATTAATATTCTTTGGAAAAAATACGGAAATGCCGCTTTCAGGTAAACAAGACAAAGCTTAATGAAAATGTCACACCTGTAATCCCAGCACTTTGGGAGGCTGAGGCGGGCAGATCATGAGGTCAGGAGTTCGAGACCAGTCTGGCCAACATAGTGAAACTAAAAATACAAAAATAAAAAAAAATTAGCCAAGTGTGATGGTGAGCATCTGTAATCCCAGCTACTCGGGAGGCTGAGGCAGGAGAATCACTTGAACCCAGGAGGCAGAGGTTGCAGTGAGCTGAGATTGCGCCACTGCACTCCAGCCTGGGTGACAAGAGCAATACCTGGTTTTAAAAGAAAAAAGAATATGATTCTACATGAGAAGTTGACAGACTTTAAAGGGCCAAGTGGTATTTTATTCTTTATAGGCGATACTGTTGGCTAATACTCTACTCTGCCTTTAGTGGATCCGTAGTACCTACACATGGGTTTGGCTGTATCCCAAGTAAACATTATTTAAAGACATGGTGATGATGCAGGGCAGGTGAACCCCCAGATTGGGGCTTTGCCCAGGAAATAATTCAAAGGCGAGCTGGTGGTGGGCAGCAACTTGTACCAGACGGCGGCATTCATTAGCAGCAGAGGGACTGCTCCTCGCAGGGCAGGGCTACCTCATAAGGAGTGTGCCCAGAGTAGCAGCTCAGGAGCAGCTCTGCAGTCATATTTATGCCCACTTTTAATTACCTGCAAACTAAGGGGCAGCTTATTCCCAAATTTCCTTTTTTTTTCTTCTTTTGAGATGGAGTCTCTCTGTCACCAAGATGGAGTGCAGTGGCGTGGTCTTGGCTCACTGTAACCTCCACATCCCATGTTCAAGCAATTCTCCTGCCTCAGCCTCCCTAGTAGCTGGGCTTACAGGTGCCTGCCACCATGCCTGGCTAATTTTTGTATTTTTAGTAGAGATGGGGTTTCACCATGTTGGCCAGGATGGTCTCGAACTCTTGACCTCATGATCAACCCACCTCGACCTCCCAAAGTGCTGGGATTACAAGTGTGAGCCACCTCGCCCAGCCATCATTCAGGAATTTGTAGAAAGGGAGTTGTTGCTTCCAGGTTACTGCCATGGAAAGAGGCGGTAACTTCCAGGTGTTGCGACGGCAGTGGTAAAGTGACATGGCAATGGACGGCGTGTCTTATGGGGGGGTGCTTTCGTCTTCCCTGTTTCAGTTTTCAATCTGGTTTGGAGTCCAAGCTCTGCCTCCTCTCTCAGTAATTCATATTTGACTTGTGCTCTGTACCATGATCTACACACAAGAAGGAGGAGCACCAGAATAGTAACAACACGGGTAATTTTAAAATGTATTTCTTCCTTTTAAATCTCTTAGGAATGTAACTGTTTAGAAAATAACAGTCTAGTGCGGGCTTACAGGTTATGTAAAACTTAGATATATGATAATGACAGCACACAGACCAGCAGTTGTGAAATGAAAGTACGCATGGGTAAGGGTCTGATGCTCTGATGAGGTTACATGGAATCGCTGGACGGTGGGCTATGATAAGCTGTGTAGTATAACCCCTGAAGCAAATGCCAAAAACTTGGTTATAGTTAACACTAATAAACCAGAAAAGAAATTGAAAGAGAGCCACTTAAAAATCCAAAGGAGACAAAGAAGGAAACGCGAAGAAAGAACAAAGGCAACAACACGAAACCAAAATCGAGATAGTTTAGCCATATGATAATCGCTTTAAAAGGAAGTGGGCTAAACACCCCAGTGGGAAGAAATTTTCCATTAATATGACAAACTGGGTAACAGCACCCTTGGATGAACCTCAGCAATTTTATTTTAACTCAAATTTAACACAGAGCCCCTAAGCCTAGAAGGTTTTTAAAGTTTGTTTGTTTGGGGTTTTTGGTTTTTGTCATCAGTATGAACTTCCTGGTTGTCGAGTCAGTCACTGAGCGCATCCGATTCTGAGGGTTGGTAAGGCGAAGGGGGCAGAGTGGAAGAGGGAGAGTTTCTTGAAGATATTTACACATATCTGATGATGTAAGCCAGTTGGTAAAGTTATAAGCGAGGGAACAGCCATTCATTGAGGGTGGTCACATCACGAAAGCTAATACAGTTCCAGATGAATTAAAAATGAACGGTTACTCTAATGGGAGTAGAATATCCAAGTGGAAGGGAAGAAAGTAGTAAGTTCAGAAGGAAACTCAAATGCAGGTTTCAAAGTTCGCGCAACTAGTGGAGGTAATGAGCTACCATCTGTAATCCTGGGTTTGGAAGGTTAAGGTGAGAAAAGACAAAAGCAGGTCATTGAAAGTGTACTTTCGGCTTTCTGGAAGTTGTCATGTGGCAGCAAATATCTCTGAATTCTCAGGGGCTTGCAAGAACCAACATTTTTCCCTCAGAACTATCATTATTCAGCTCTTAGTTCCACAATGTCATGCTGGGATTCAGGGTAAAATTCCGTATTAGTAGCAGAGAAAAGAGAGGGTTAAAAGAAGCAAATGAAGCCTCTTAGGGATTCCACTTAAATTCAAACATGCAAGCTTCTCTCATCAGGCCCCTGGAGTGCGATCCGTGAGTTGCTGCCCTGGAACCTCCCAATCTTGTAACCAAGTACGCAAAGGGTTGCGTACACACGGCAGGAAGTACGGCTGACTTGAGTTTGCCCTGCCTAAGGATGGATGCACGGAGCTGAGGGGCGCCAGCTGTCTGGGTGGAGCCTGCGCCATGAGCAAGTGGGGCCCCAAGCTGGCCTCACCCTCAGTATGTGCAGCTTTTTGTTAGCACTGTCACGAGTCACTTGATGATGAGGACATATGCTGAGAAATGTGCTGATTTCATCACTGCTGACATTATAGGGTGTACTTCCACAAACCTGAATGGGATAGCCTGCTACACACCTAGGCTATACCATAGAGACTTTTTTGGGGTTTTGTTGCTGTTTTGAGACAGAGTCTCACTGAGACATCCAGGCTGGAGTGCAATGGCCCGATCTTGGCTCACTGCAACCTCCGCTTCCCAGGTTCAAGTGATTCTCCTGCCTCAGCCTTCTGAGTAGCTGGGACTACAGGCACACGCCACCACACCTAATTTTTTTTTTTTGAGACGGAGTTTCGCGCTTGTTACCCAGGCTGGAGTGCAATGGCGCGATCTGGGCTCGCCTCAACCTCTGCCTCCTGGGTTCAGGCAATTCTCTTGCCTCAGCCTCCTGAGTAGCTGGGATTACAAGCACACACCACCATAATTTTTATATTTTTTAGTAGAGACAGGGTTTTACCATATAGACTATTGATCCTAGGCTACAAATGGGTACAGCGTATTATCATAGGCAGTGGTATCTGTGTATCTAAACATGTCCAAACAGAAATGGTATAGTAAAAATACTGTCTTCTAATGGAACCGTCATTGTACATGCAGTCTTTAATGGACCCAAACATCATGTGCATAACTATGTAAAGCTGCCGAAAACAAAAGCACTATCCAGATGACTTCAGCGGGGCCTGATGTGGCCTGGGAATCTGCATTTTACTCTGATTTCCAAGTCATTTGAGAACTCTGGTGAGTCAGCTGCCTTTTGGAGGCATTTTAGCTATTTTCTCTGATCAAAGGAGAATTTCATATCATTCCTGCAATAAACCAAAGAATAAAGAAAAAAACTGTAAGGATGACATTGAGCTACCTGAGGGAGGGTGTATCAAAGGACACACCTGTGATGGACCATTTTTAAGGAGCTGAAAGTGGCCTATGTGACTGTAAATTAATTAGAGAAAATTGACAGGGAAAGTCAACTACTACATGGACAGTTGATCCAACTTATTGACAGATGGCTCATGCCTGTAATCAGCACTTTTGGGAGGCTGAGGCAGGTGGATCACTAGGTCAGGATTTCGAGACCAGGCTGACCAACATGGTGAAACCTCATCTCTACTAAAAATACAAAAATTAGCCAGGTGTGGTGGCACACCTGTAATCCCAGCTACACAGGAAGCTGAGGCAAGAGAATTGCTTCAACCCAGGAAGTGGAGGTTGTAGTGAGCTGAGATCGTGCCACTGCACTTCAGCCTGGGTGACAGAGCGAGACTCCATCTCAAAAAAAATTTTTTTAAATTTAAACATGTCGGCCGGGCGCGGTGGCTCAAGCCTGTAATCCCAGCACTTTGGGAGGCCGAGGCGGGTGGATCACGAGGTCAAAAGATCGAGACCATCCTGGTCAATATGGTGAAACCCTGTCTCTACTAAAAATACAAAAAATTAGCTGGGCATGGTGGCGCGTGCCTGTAATCCCAGCTACTCAGGAGACTGAGGCAGGAGAATTGCCTGAACCCAGGAGGCGGAGGTTGCGGTGAGCCGAGATCGCGCCATTGCACTCCAGCCTGGGTAACAAGAGCAAAAACTTCATCTCAAAAAAATAAATAAATAAAAATAAAAAATAAATTTAAACGTGTCATCTCTACTCACACCAAATTGACCAAGGAACTCACAAAGCCAAGCCTATCATAGATCAGGCAAGGAATTTCGATCCCTGATTTGAAGTGTTGCCTCAAGCCAAGGCCCATGCCTGATACCGAAGGGCAGAGATACGTAATTTCATTAGGGTGATAATTAATTTGAATCGTTTACAATATAGGACAATACAGCTTCCATCAGAAATAATTTGTCCCTCTTTTGTTCACACAAAATACACTTGCTCCCCCCTGAAAAAGAGAAAGTCCCACCCAAGGCTTTAGTCACAAGTGGGATCGCAGGAGAATTCCGGTTCTTAGCCCTGTGGAGTCCCCACAAGACATGGTGGAACAAGTAAGTGAAACCTCAATAAACCTTCCTATTCAGAAAAGGAAGAGAAAGGATGTGCCAGTAGTCTCTGGTGGGCAGAGGTAGTCGGGCCGTGATTCAGCAGTGGGCAGGAGTGGAGGAGGATCCCTTTCTTGGCTCCAGGTCTCCTGAGAACAGATATCCAGTCCTTTGTGTTTCACTGTTTTTTACTTCACCTGATTGTATCTAATAGCGTATTAGAATCTGTGCGTTCTGTTGTATTTTGTTGTTCTAATTTGGTCTCAAGGTCTCTCAGGAGAGTGGCCGGAAATAAATACAGCCCTGTGCGAATGAGCCTCCAGGATTTGGTTGTGGATGCTTTGTGCATTGTGCTTTTTATGGGACATTTCTTTATCCTGGCAGACAGCCTAATGCCTGTGTCCCACCTGTGAACAGGTATCCCTCCCACAGAAAACTTGTTCAGGCTGGCAGATGCCCTTGTAGCCCTTGTCTGACCTGTGTCCAATTTATTCCTACCAACATAGTCACCCTCTAGGGCAGCTATGACCAGGAAAGAAGCTGGGGTCAGGCCGGGCGCGGTGGCTCACACCCATAATCCCAGCACTTTGGGAGGCTAGGCGAGCAGATCACTTGAGGTCAGGAGTTCAAGACCAGCCTGACCAACGTGGAGAAACCCCATCTCTACAAAAAATACAAAATTTAGCCAGGCATGGTGGCAGGCACCTGTAATCGCAGCTACTTGGGAGGCTGAGGCAGGAGAATTACTTGAACCTGGGAGGCGAAGGTTGCAGTGAGCTGAGATTGTGCCATTGCACTCCAGCCTGGGCAACAAGAGCGAAACTCTGTCAAAAAAAAAAAAAAAAAAAAAGTAATACCAAACCGTATCACTCATCTTTGCAGCCAAATGTGAATCCTTACAGGGATGCGGGTGAGTCCTTAAACCACGTTTGTCCTACGTTTCCTCGTCTGTGAAATGTGAGTAACATCAGTACTGAACCTCACAGTCCTAAGATTCAGGTTTTACACATAAAGCACTAGTAACAGTGGCTCTTAAAGTGTGATAGCAAGGAAAAAATAAATGCAAACTTGAAAAATCTCTTACTAAAGAAAAATCTATGTATTAATTTTGGATGAGAACAAATTAAAGGGGAGGATACGATGTCAGTTACCACAGTTAAAGCACAACCTCGTTTCCCTGCGAGATTCCTTCAACGTAGAGAGGCTAACGGTGCACTATTGCTCTCTGTTGTGAAATCCCCAACTGAGCGGCGATGAAACTGTGGTGGCAGAAGAAACAGGGTTCCTTAAAAGTGATGATTAAATTTTAATTAGAGCATAAAACTTATGATACATTCTAAATAAAACAATGGTAAAACATAATGCCACTTGTGAAATGTCCCTGTAAATGTGCACATGCTCTTCTGGTTCTTTTGTTTGTTTTTGTTTGAAGCAGAGTCTCACTCTGTCGCCCAGGCTGGAGTGCAGTGGCACAATCTCGGCTCACTGCAACCTCCGTCTCCCAGGTTCAAGTGACTCTCCTGCCTTAACCTTCTCAGAAGTTGGGATTACAGGTACCCACCACCACATCTGCAACTATTGTGTTTTTTGTAGAGACGGGGTTTTGTCATGTTGGCCAGGCTGGTCTCAAACTCCTGGCCTCAAGAGATGTCCTCCTTGGCCTCCCAAAGTGCTGGGAATACAGGTGTGAACCACCACGCCCAGCTCTGGTTCTCTTGCTTGAACTACCCTCTGATGACCATTCTTTCTTCAATTTACAAGAATAACTAACTTTTCATTAATCATTGAGATATAACACCTATTGCTTTTTAAGGATGATCACCACTTCCCCGCATTGCTTCTACCACTTAACCAGGTCCTACTAATCTGTCACTCTCATAAAAAGCCCAGTGTCAAGGCTGGGCACAGTGGCTCATGCCTGTAATCCCAGCACTTTGGGAGACTGAGGCAGACAGATCAATCACGAGGTCAGGAGATGGAGCCCATCCTGGCTAACACAGTGAAACCCTGTCTCTACTAAAAATACAGGTGCCCTTGGTGGCGGGTGCCTGTAGTCACAGCTACTTGGGAGGCTGAGACAGGAGAATCATTTGAATCTGGAAGGCAGAGGTTGCAGTGAGCCACGATCATGCCACTGCACTGGGCAAAAGAGCGAGACTCCCTATCTTTTTTTTTTTTTTGGAGACAGAGTTTTGCTTTTGTAGCCCAGGCTGGAGTGTAGTGGCGTAATTCCAGCTCACCTTACCCTCCACCTCTCAGGTTCAAGCGATTCTTCTGCCTCAGCCTCCTGAGTAGCCAGGATTACAGGCATGCGCCACTGCACCCAGCTAATATTTTAGTATTTTTAGTAGACACGGGGTTTTATCATGTTGGTCAGGCTGGTCTTGAACTTCTGACCTCGTGATCCACCTGCCTCGGCCTCCCAAAGTGCTGGGATTACAGGTGTGAGCCACTGCACTCGGCCTGAGAATCCGTCTCAAACAGAAAAAAAAAGCCCAGTGTCTTCATGTCCTGGCATGCCACCTCATGGTCAACTGGTAGAGCAGCCATCCTTTCTGACCAGCCAGTGGCCCTCTGGAGAAGGACACACTAAACACAATTAGCATGGCTTAGAGTCTGTATTCTTCTCCACCCATCCCTGATGCTAATTCATACAATATTACATTTTTAAATTCAGCATCCTCGTTCTTCAGGGAGCCTGGGTAGGAATGAACCACACCTAATGGAGTAGGCCCTTTCATTTTATTGGTTCCTTCCCAAAGACCATAACGAAAGGCCTATAAGAAAAGCATGGCATCGACAGATTTCAGACTTCAGATAGAAACAAATAGTAGTCATGTAGCCTTTCCAAGAAACTTCACATAAATGAATATTTTATAAACTGAAGATGATGCGTTGTTACCATGTGTCCTTTCATATACATCATGTTATGAATTTAACATATTTTGGCCAGGTGCAGTGACTCACACCTGTAATCCTAGCACTTTGGGAGGCTGAGGCAGGTGGATCACCTGAGGTCCAGAGTTCAAGACCAGTCTGACCAACATGAAGAAACCCCATCTCTACTAAAAATACAAAATTAGCCACGCGTGGTGGTGCGTGCCTGTAATCCCAGCTACTCGGGAGGCTGAGACAGGAGTTTCACTTAAACCCGGGAGGCGGAGGTTGTGGTGAGCTGAGATGGCGCCATTGCACTCTGGCCTGGGCAACAAGAGTGAAACTCCATCTCAAAAAAAAACAAAAACACACACACAACATATTTTGACCTGGAATTATTCTGCAGTTTGTAATATTACCAGTTAATTTTGGAGAATTAGAGACTTAGTGATTCCTGATGTGAATTCTATGATGTGGAGACTGATGTGGGAGTTGGTTTTAAAAACTACCACCTTCGTGACATCACTTGCTTAAAGGTCTTTCCATGTTTAGTACATTTTTAATAGATTCTGTATGAATTTTCTCATGACTGGAAGGACAGGGACATTTGATAAAAAGCCTTACCACTGCCTCAGGCCTGTAATCCCAGCACTTTGGGAGGCTGTGGCAGGCAGATCACCTGAGGTCGGGAGTTCTAGACCAGCCTGGCCAACTTGGTGAAACCCCATCTCTACTTAAAATACAAAAACATCAGCCAGGCATAATGATACATGCCTATAATCCCAGCTACTCGTGAGGCTGAGACAGGAGAATCACTTGAACCTGGGAGGCGAAGGTTGCAGTGAGCCAAGATGACACCATTGCACTCCAGCCTGGACGACGAGAGCAAAACCCTGTCCCCAAAACAAATAGCTTTACTGCTTTCATTGCATTTGTGAGGTTGCTTTCCAGTATAAATCCTGTGATGTGCCAGTTTTGACCACTGGGTAAAAGCCTTAGCATTCATATTACTTTTGTGTGATTTATCTAAAAGATGTATACTTTGTTTTTGTTTGTTTTTGAGATGGAGTCTTGTTCTGTCACCCAGGCTGGAGGGTAGTGGTGCAGTCTCGGCTCACTGCAACCTCTGCCTCCTGGCTTCAAGCAATTCCTGTATCTCAGCCTTCTGAGTAGCTGGGATTACAGGCACCTGCCACCACGCCCAGCTAATTTTTTTTCCTTTTTTTTGAGATGGAGTCTTGCACTGTTGCCCAGGCTGGAGTGCAGTGGTGTGATCTCGGCTCACTGCAACCTCCGCCTCTCAGGTTCAAGAAATTCTCTGCCTCAGCCTCCCGAGTAGCTAGGAATTACAGGTGCCCACCAGCACACCTGGCTAATTTTTGTATTTTATTTTATTTTATTTTTTTGAGACACAGTCTTGCTCCGTCACCAGGCACCAGGCTGGAGTGCAGTGGCACAACCTTGGCTCACTGCAGCCTCCGCCTCCCCAGTTCAAGCAATTCTCCTGCCTCAGCTTCCCGAGTAGCTGGGACTACAGGCGTGTGCCACTACGCCCAGCTAATTTTTTTGTATTTTTAGTAAAGACCATGTTTCACCATGGGGTTTCGCCATGTTGGCCAGGATGTTCTCAATCTCTTGACCTTGTGATCCACCCGTCTCAGCCTCCCAAAGTGCTGGGATTACAGGCTTGAGCCACCGCGCCCGGCTTTAATTTTCGTATTTTTAGTAGAGATGGAGGTTTCACCATCTTGGCCAGGCTGGTCTTGAATTCCTGACCTCTTGTGATCACCTGTCTCGGCATCCTAAAGTGGTTGGATTACAGGTATGAACCACCACACCCAGCCTAATTTTTGTATTTTTAGTAGAGACAGGGTTTTGCCATGTTGGCCAGGGTGGTTTCAAACTCCTGACCTCAAGTGATCCGCCCACTCCAGCCTCCCAAAGTGCTGGGATTACAGGCGTGAGCACCGCAGCCAGCAAAAGATGTATACTTTAATATCCAGCGTACTGTGAAGCCTGAATAGAGCCTCTGCCACATACCTGATATTTACATGGTTTCTTTTCAATATGGACTCTCTGATGTCATGTCATACTTGAACTGTGGTAAAGGTTTTCCCATGCTAATTGCATTTGTAAGGTTTCTGCCCAGTATGAATTTTGTTCTCCAACTTTTGGTCCTCAGATAAAATCCTTGTCACACACATTACTTTTGTGTGCCTTTTCCCCAAGATATATTAGATACTCCTATCTAACGAGTAGTGAGCACTGCTTTAAAATACTGCTATATTCATTGCATTTACAAGTATGAATTATTTGGTGAGTGCTGAGTTTAGGGCCATGCTTAAACGCCTTGCTTCAGTCAGTACATTTGGAAGGTTCTCTGCAGTCTGAACTATCCGATGATGACTGGGGTGTGAGCTGAGTAAAGGCTTCGCCACCCTCAGGACAGCCGTAGGGCTTCTCTCCAGCATGAATTCTTTGGTGAATCCTGAGGTCAGATCACTGTCTAAAGGCCTTGCCACACTCAGTACATTCGTGTGGTTTCTCACCCGTGTGAATTTTTCTCATGAAGCCTAAGACGTGAACACCTGCTGAAAGCCTTACCACATTCATCACATTTGTAAGGTCTCTCTCCAGTATGGATTCTCCGATGATTTACGGGGTGTGAATTTTGACTGAAGACCTTGCCACCCACATCACATTTGTAAGGCTCTTCTCCAGTATGAATCCTACGGTGACTTTCCAGATGACAATTTTGCTGAAGAGTTTGCCACGTACATCACATTCATATGGGTTCTCTCCAGTATGGATGATCTTACGTGGAGTGAGGTGAGAGGCCTTGGTAAAGGTTTTTCCACACTCGTCACACTTGGAAGGTTTCTCTCCAGCATGGCTTCTTCGGTGAGTTCTGATGTCCGTCTGTTGTCTGAAAGCCATGCCACATTCAGTACATTTGTATGGCTTCTCTCCAGCATGAATGCTCTCATAATGTCTAAGGTGGGACCGCTTCACATAAGCCTTTCCGCCGTCATTACATTTGTAAGGTTCCTCTCCACTATGAATTACCCAGCGGTTAGTTAGGCTTGAACACGCAATAAAGGTTTTCCCGCACTCATTACACGTGTAAGGTTTCTCTCCAGTGAGTTCTCCTGTGGTCCACCCGACTCGAATTTTGAATAAATGCCTTACTACATTCATTACATCTGTGTGGTTCATCCAGAATGAGTTCTGTGATGTTTTACAAGTTTTGAACTCTGAAAAAACGCCTTGCCACACTCATTGAATTTATAAGGGCTCTCCAGTATGGACGACCTGAAGTTCAGTTAGGCTTGAGCGCACTCTAAAGGCTTAGCCACACTCATTACACTGGTGAGGTTCCTCTCCAGCGTGAATTATCTGATGGTTTTAAAGGTATGAAGGTTGACTTAAGACCTTGCCACACTCTAAATTTGTAAGATTTCTCTCCAGTATGAATTCTATGATGACTTGCCACTTTTGATTTTTGAATGAAAGCTTTGCCACAAATATCACATTTATATGGTTTCTGTCCAGTATGGATTCTCTGATGTCTAGTAAGGTTGGACCCCTGATTAAAGGCCTTGCCACACTCGTTACATTTGTATGGTTTTTCTCCAGTATGAATTCTATGATGACTTGCCAGGTTTGAAATTTGACTGAAAGCTTTGCCACATATATCACATTTATATGGTTTCTGTCCCGTGTGGATTCTCTGATGTGTATCAAGGTGGGACCTCTGATGAAAGGCCTTGCCACACTCATTACATTTGTAAGGCTTTTCCCTACTCTGTGCTTTCTGTTCTTGTGTGAGTAATGAAGGATGCATAAAATCGTTCCTACATATATTAGAAATGCTGGTGCTGACACGAGGAAGATTTGTTGGAAGCAGTGAAACTGAGGAGCCGTGGATGACAGACTCCTCAATTTCATTACATTCATACATTTTCCTTTCAGTCTGAAATCCCTGCAGTTCAGCCAGGTGCGACTGAGAGCTCAGTTCACGCTGATTTTCAACTGGCTCATTTCCTGCTTTCCTTCTGTCACATCGATCTCTTCTTCCGGTGATGTTTTTAATTTTAATTACACGTATTCCCTTATAATTTCTTCCATCACTGTGACACTGACACTCAAAGTCATGAACATTTTGCTGCATTTCCCTGAAGTAAAAATCTTTGATGTCATGGATTTCGCGTCTTTCCAGCATCCCTGCTCGGCAGGCTTTTCCTGTGCTATTGCTCTCTTTTGGTGGGAACTCCTTGATCATATGTGTAGAAGAGACACCTATAAGATATTTGAAAAACAAGTTTTCTGTTAACTACAGCTGGCAAATCAGTAGTTCATACTGAAAAAGATATACCAAAAATAGTATTTATACTGAACAATTATAAAATTTTCAACCATGATCTTCAAATTTGTAGGAAGAGGATTTTTAATAAAGAAGTGATTATGGCTGGGCATGGTGGTGGACGCCTGTAATCCCAGCACTTTGGGAGGCCGAGGCAGGCAGATCACAAGGTCAGGAGACCGAGACCAGCCTGGTCAATGTGGTGAAATCCTGTCTCTACTAAAAATACAAAAATTAGCTGGGCATGGTGGTGCGCGCCTGTAATCCCAGCACTTTGGGAGGCCGAGGCAGGCAGATCACAAGGTCAGGAGACCGAGACCAGCCTGGTCAATGTAGTGAAATCCTGTCTCTACTAAAAATACAAAAATTAGCTGGGTATGGTGGTGCACGCCTGTAATCCCAGCACTTTGGGAGGCCAAGGCAGGCAGATTACAAGATCAAGAGACCAAGACCAGCCTGGTCAATGTGATGAAATCCTGTCTCTACTAAAAATACAAAAATTAGCTGGGCATGGTGGCACGTGCCTGTAGTCCCAGCTACTTGGAAGGCTGAGGCAGGAGAATCACTTGAACCCAGGAGGCAGAGGTTGCAGTGAGCCGAGATCATGCTACTGCACTCTAGCATGGTTGACAAGAGTGAGACTCCATCTCAAAAAAAAAGATAATAAGGAAATGACCTACAGTGGGTAATGGTTTACACTGAAGGGAGCTGCTGGTGGATGCAAAGTACAGAAACATTTCCTGGCAGTGCACAGAGACCCGTGGACTAGGTTTTCAGCAACATGGCAGCACATAACAGGCAGAGAATAACAGGCAGCACCAAGAAGTGGATTGATAGAAGCCAAGTGAACATTACAGAAAATTCAGAAGGAAAGAAAGATGGGAACAAAATAGTTATCATGTGTTAACTGAAGAATGCAACTTGCAGAACTTCAGAAATCTGTAGAAAATACAGGTGATATATGAAACAGTGGAGAAGTCCTTGAAATATAACGAAGGAGCCAGGCTTCCTTTAAAATACTGTGAGATATTTAAATATTAACTTAGTACACCAAGATGGGTATGATAATCCTAGATAAGAAGCATAACGTTTACAAAATAACAGCTGGGGCCAGGCGCGGTGGCTCATGCCTGTAATCCCAGCACTTTGGGAGGCCGAGGCAGGTGGATCACGAGGTCAAGAGATCGAGACCATCGTAGTCAACATGGTGAAACCCCGTCTCTACTAAACATACAAAAAATTAGCTGGGCATGGTGGCGCGTGCCTGTAATCCCAGCTTCTCAGGAGGCTGAGGCAGGAGAATTGCCTGAACCCAGGAGGCGGAGGTTGCAGTGAGCCGAGATCATGCCATTGCACTCCAGCCTGGGTAACAAGAGCGAAACTCTGTCTCAAAAAAATAAATAAATAATAACAGCTGGAGGATATAAAAATCTAGTGAGATTTAACCCAAACACCCACCAAGTTAGATTAGACAATTAAAAATATACTATAATCTCACCACTGCACTCAAGCCTGGTGACAGAGTGAAACTCTGTCTCAAATATATACATGTACACACACACACACACACACACACACACACACACACACTATAGAAAAAGCAATGTTATCTTCTATAACAAATTGTGCCAAGTCAATTTAATGGTATTTCTGAAATTAAGACATTGAATTAAAAAAATTTTTTTTTTTTTTTTAAGACAGAGTTTAGCTCTTGTTACCCAGGCTGGAGTGCAATGGCGCGATCTCGACTCACTGCAACCTCCGCTTCCTGGGTTCAGGCAATTCTCCTGCCTCAGCCTCCTGAGTAGCTGGGATTACAGGTGCATACCACCATGCCCAGCTAATTTTTTGTATTTTTAGTAGGGACGGGGTTTTACCATGTTGACCAGGATGGTGTCGATCTGTTGACCTCATGATCCACCCGCCTCGGCCTCCCAAAGTGCTGGGATTACAGGCTTGAGCCACCACACCCGGCCCCCAAAAAAATTTTTAAAGGAAAAAGAAAGAAAAAGAAGTATATTCTTAAGACATGGAAAATCCACCAATTTAGAAGCTATAAGAAATTTTACTGGCACTCTAGTAATAGGCATTAAGTCAGGTGAAACAAAAATAAAAAACATTTTAGACAATATTTTTAGTATATTATTGAGTTTATGTAGGTTTTAGGGAAACTGCTACTGACTCATTCCCTCAAATTAAAGAAGGAAATCTTGTAAAATATATTTAAAAATGCATTTCCCAATACAAAGCCCTATATGTTGTCAACATAAAACAACCCCTAAAGTCATAAAAAATATGGACTGCTTATTAAATAAAAACAAGTTCATTTACAATATACAGAAATGTACTAAATGAAAGTAGCACTGGCTTCAACAGGACAAGTTACAGTAGACACAAAGAAGGTAGACACTGGCCAGGTGCAGTGGCTCACACCTGTAATTCCAATACTTGGGGAGGCCGAGGTAGGCAGATTACCTGAATTTAGGAGTTCAAAACCAGCCTGACCAACATGGAGAACCCCCATCTCTACTAAAAATACAAAATTAGCCAGGTGTGGGGGCACATGCCTGTAATCCCAGCTACTCAGGGGACTGAGGCAGGAGAATCACTTGAACCCAGGAGGCAGAGGTTGCGGTGAGCCGAGATCACACCATTGCACTCCAGCCTGGGCAACAAGAGTGAAATTCTGTCAACAACAACAAAAAAAAAAAAAAAAAAAGAGAAGAAGAAGAAGGTAGGCATCATTCAATTTCATAAGCTCCCTTGAGATGCTTCACAATTGCATTTTTGAAGAAGAATGAATGGCACACAACACAGGATGGACAGTATGTCATGAACAAGAGTTTAGTCAACAGCCTAATGGAATGCGGTTGTGAACTTGGACAATGTTCTCCCTAGGATAAATTCCTACCACATTTATTGCTGGCTCAAAATAGATGACCATTGGTATATTGGGTCTACACTGTCACAGTATACTTGAGAACCATGTTTTGGAAAGTCTCCAGTAACCAGTGGCAAACACTTATCAGTTGGCTCTTATGACACTTCACTCTCAGTGTCATGGGTCATCCTGACAACTTGACTCAGTGCCTTCATGGGGCACTTGTGCATGTAGCAGGATAACAGAGTGACGTATTCATTAAAGTGTTGTCTTTCAAGAATTTTCTGTCATCAAGTAAACCTGCTCCATGGGAGAGTCCACCAGAAGCTCTCCATCACATAAAGGTTGGTTGCCACAGCAGAAAAAAACTAGATGAAACTTCAGACCCCAGGGATGTGTATTTCAAAAGCAAGTTTCAAAGGCAAAATCACCGAGATGTACGAGAACACAAAATCAGGAAGAGCCCATGTTTTCCTGCATTCACACAACAGTAAGAGCTGTGGAAGAGAGACATAAATACAACATATGGGGGTCAGATTCTGTGGGAATTAAATACAAGACTGTGCTCTGCCCACAGACGGTAAGCTGAGAGCCTGAAAGACTGAGATACGCTCCCTGTGTAGAACTGAGAATCAGAGAGAGAGGCCGGGTATGGCCTCAAGTGGGTCCCTGACCTCATGTTCTCATGCCTGTAATTCCAGCACTTTGGGAGACCAAGGCTGGTGGATCACCTGAGGTCAGGAGTTCTAGATCAGCCTGGCCAACACGGTGAAACCCATCTCCATTAAAAATACAAAAATTGGGGATTTGCTGGCAAGATGACCGAATAGGAACAGCTCCAGTCTGCAGCTCCCAGCAAGATCAACACAGAAGGTGGGTGATTTCTGCATTTCCAACTGAAGTACCCAGTTCATCTCATTGGGTCTGATTGGACAGTGGGTGCAGCCCATGGAGTGTTGAGCCAAAGCAGGGTCGGGTGTCACCTCACCAGGGTAGCACAAGGGGTCGGAGGATTTCCCTCCCCTAGCCAAGGGAAGCCATAAGGGACTGTGCCATGAGGAACAGTGCACTCCAGCTCGGATACTGCGCTTTTCCCATGGCCTTCATAACCAACAGACCAGGAGATTCCCTCCGATGCCTATGCCACCAGGGCCCTGGGTTTCAAGCACAAAACTGGGCGACTGTTTGGGCAGACACCAAACTAGCGGCAGGATTTTATCTTTCATACCTCAGTGGCACCTGCAATGCCAGTGAGAGAACCGTTCTGTTGGTTCTGGAAAGGAGGTTGAAGCCAGGGAGCCCAGTGCTCTGGCTCAGGGGGTCTCACCCCCATGGAGACCAGTAAACTAAAATCCACTGGCTTGAAATTCTCGCTGCAAGCACAGCAGTCTGAGGTTGACCTGGGATGCTTGAGCTTGGCAGGGGGAAGGGCGTCCGCAGTTGCTGAGACTTGAGTAAGTAGTTTTACCCTCACAGGATAAACAAAGCCACTGGGAAGTTTGAACTGGGCAGAGCCCGCCACAGCTCAGCAAGGCCACTGCAGCCAGACTGCCTCTCTAGATTCCTTTTCCCTGGGCAGGACATCTCTGAAAAAAAGGCAGCAGCCCCAGTCAGGGCCTTATAGATAAAACCCCCATCTCCCTGGGACAGAGCACCTGAGGGAAGGGGCAGCTGTGGGCACCAGCATCAGCAGATTTAAACATCCCTGCCTAAGAGCTCTGAAGAGAGCAGTAGATCTCCCAGCACAGCATGCAAGCTCTGCTAAGGGACAGACTGCCTCCTCAAGTGGGTCCCTGACCCCTGTGTATCCTGACTGGGAGGCACCTCCCAGCAGGGGTCAACAGACACCTCATAAAGGAAAGCTCTCGCTGGCATCTCTTGGGTGCCCCTCTGGGATAAAGCTTCCAGAGGAAAGAACAGGCAGCAAGCTCTGCTGTTCTGTAGCCTCTGCTGGTGATACCCAGGCAAACAGTCTGGAGTGGACCTCCAGCAGACTTTTAGCAGAGGGGCCTGACTGTCAGAAGGAAAACTTAACAAACAGAAAGGAATAGTATCAACATCAACAAAAAGGATGCCCACTCAGAGACCCCGTCCAAAGGTCACCAACATCAAAGACCAAAGGTAGATAAATCCACAAAGATGGGAAGAAACTGGTGCAAAAAGGCTGAAAATTCCAAAAACCAGAACACCTCTTGTCTTCCAAAGGATCACAAATCCTCACCAGCAAGGGAACAAAACTGGATGGAGAATGAGTTTGACAAATTGACAGAAGCGGGCTTCAGAAAGTGGGTAATAACAAACTCCTCTGAGGTAAAGGAGCATGTTCTAACCCAATGCAAGGAAGCTAAGAACCGTGAAAAAAGGTTAGATGAATTGCTAACCAGAATAACCAGTTTAGAGAATAATATAAATGACCTGATGGAGCTGAAAAACACAGCTCAAGAACATCGTGAAGCAGACACAAGTATCAATAGCTGATCTGATCCAGCAGAAGAAAGAATGTCAGAGATTGAAGATCAACCTAATGAAATAAAGTGAGAAGACAAGATTAGAGAAAAAAGTGAAAAGAAACAAAGCCTCCAAGAAAAATGGGACTATGTGAAAAGACCAAATCTACGTTTGATTGGTGTACCTGAAAGTGATGGGGAGAATGAAACCAAGTTGGAAAACACTCTTCAGGATGTTATCCAGGAGAACATCCCCAACCTAGCAATACAGGCCAACATTCAAATTCAGGAAATACAGAGAACACCACAAAGATATTCCTCAGGAACAACTCTAAGACACAATCATCAGATTCACCAAGGTTGAAATAAAGGAAAAAATGTTAGGGGCAGCCAGAGAGAAAGGTGGGGTTACCCATAAAGGGAAGCTCATCAGACTAACAGGGAACCTCTCAGCAGAAACCCTATAGGCCAGAAGAGAGTGGGGCCCAATATTCAACATTGTTAAAGAAAAGAATTTTCAATCCAGAATTTCCTGTCTAGTCAAACTAAGCTTTATAAGTGAAGGAGAAATAAAATCTTTTACAGACAAGTAAATACTGAGAGATTTTGTCACCACCAGACCTGCCTTACAGGAGCTCCTAGAGGAAGCACTAAACATGGAAAAAAAACAACAACCAGTACCAGCCACTGCAAAAGCACACCAAACTGTAAAGACCATCGAAACTATGAAGAAACTGCATCATCTAATGGGAAAAATAACCAGTTAGCATCATAATGACAGGGTCAGATTCACACATAATATTAACCTTAAATGTAAATGGGCTAAATGCCCCAATTAAAAGACACAGACTGGCAAATTGGATAAAGAGTCAAAAGCCATCAGTGTGCTGTATTCAGGAAACCCATCTCACATGCAAAGACACACATAGGCTCAAGATAAAGGGATGGAGGAATATCTACCAAGCAATTGGAAAGCAAAAAAAGAAACAGGGGTTGCAGTCCTAGTCTCTGATGAAACAGACGCTAAATCAACAAAGATCAAAAGAGACAAAGGAAGCATTACATAATGGTAAAGGAATCGATGCAACATGAAGAGCTAACTATCCTGAATATATATGCACACAATACAGGAGCACCCGGATTCATAAAGCAAGTTCTTAGAGACCTACAAAGAGACTTAGACTCCCACACAATAGTAATGGGAGACTTTAACACCCCACTGTCAATATTGGGAAAATGTGGCACATATACACCATGGAATGTTATGCAGCAATCAGAAATGATGAGTTTGTGTCGTTTGTAGGGACATGGATGAATCTGGAGAACATCATTCTCAGCAAACTGACACAAGAACAGAAAATGAAACACCGCATATTCTCACTCATAGGCGGGTGATGAAAAATGAGGACACAGAGAGGGGAGTACTAAACACTGGGGTCTATAGGGGGGAAGGGGGAGGGCCAGTGGGAGGGGGAGGTGGGGAGGGATTGCTTGGGGAGAAATACCAAATGTGGGTGAAGGGGAGAAAGCAAACAAAACACACTGCCATGTGTGTACCTATGCAACTCTATTGCATGCTCTGCACATGTACCCCAAAACCTAAAATGCAATTAAAAATAAATAAATAAATAAATAAAATATTAGACAGATCAATGAGAGAGAAAATTAACAAGGATATCCAGGACTTGAACTTAGCTCTGGACCAAATGGACCTAATAGACACCTACAGAACTCTCCACCCCAAATCAACAGAATATACATTCTTCTCAGCACCACATTGCACTTATTCTAAAGCTGACAACATAATTGGAAGTTAAACACTCTTCAGCAAATACAAAAGAACAGAAATCATAACAAACAGTTTCTCAGACCACAGTGCAATCAAATTAGAACTCAGGATTAAGAAACTCACTCAAAACTACATAACTACGTGGAAACTGAACAACCTGCTCCAGAATGACTACTGGGTAAATAACAAAATTAAGCCAGAAATAAAGATGTCCTTTGAAACCAGTGAGAACAAAGACAACAAACCAGAATCTCTGGGACACATTTAAAGCAGTGTGTAGAGGGAAATTTATAGCGCTAAATGCCCACAAGTGAAAGTAGAAAAAATCTAAAATATTGACACTCTAACGTCACAACTAAAAGAACTAGAGAAGCAAGAGCAAACAAATTCAAAAGCTAGCTGAAGACAAGAATTAACTAAGAGCAGAACTAAAGGAGGTACACACAAGAAAAACCCTCTTAAAAAACAAATGAATCCAGGAGCTGTTTTTTTGAAAAGATCAACAAAATAGATAGACCACTAGCCAGACTAATAAAGAAGAAAAGAGAGAAGAATCAAACAGACACAATAAAAAAGTGATAAAGGGAATATCACCACTGATTCAACAGAAATACAAACTACCACCCAGAGAATACTATAAACACCTCTACACAAATAGAAAATCTAGAAGAAATGGATAAATTCCTGGACACATACACCCTCCCAAGACTAAACCAGGAAGAAATCAAATCCCTGAAAAGACTGATAACAAGTTCTGACATTGAGGCAGCAATTAATAGCCTACCAACCAAAAAAAGTCCAGGACCAGATGGATTCACAGCCAGATTCTACCAGAGGTACAAAGAGGAGCTGCTGTAACTCATTTTATGACGTCAGCATCATCCTGATACCAAAACCTGGCAGAGACACAACAAAAAAGAAAATTTCAGGCCAATATCCCTGATGAACATCAATGTGAAAAAATAAAATACTAGCAAACTGAATTAAGCAGCACATCAAAAAGCTTATCCACCATGATCAAGCTGGCTTCATCCCTGGGATGCAAGGCTGGTTCAGTATACACAAATCAATAAACATAATCCATCACATAAACAGAACCAATGACAAAAACCAGATGATTATCTCAATAGATACAGAAAAGGCCTTCAACAAAATTTAACAGCCTTCATGCTAAAAACTCTCAATAAACTTGGTATTGATTGAATGTATCTCAAAATAAGAGCTATTTATGACAAACCCACAGCCAATATCATACTGAATGGGCAAAAACCGGAAGCATTCCCTTTGAAAACTGGCACAAGACAAGGATGCCTTCTCTCACCACTCCTATTCAACATAGTATTGGAAGTTCTGGCCAGAGCAATCAGCAAGAGAAAGAAATGAAGGGTATTCAGTTAGGAAAAGAGGAAGTCAAATTGTCTCTGTCTGCAGATGACATGATTGTATATTTAGAAAACCCCATCCTCTCAGACCAAAATCTCTGTAAACTGATAAGCAACTTCAGCAAAGTCTCAGGATACAAAATCAATGTGTAAAAATCACAAGCATTCCTATACACCAACAACAGACAAGAGAGCCAAATCACAATTCTACAAAGAGAATAAAAATTGTAGGAATACAGCTTACGAGGGATGTGAAGGACCTCTTCAAGGAGAACTACAAACCACTGCTCAAGGAAATAAGAGAGGACACAAACAAATGGAAAAACATTCTATGCTCATGGATAGAAAGAATCAATATGAAAATGGCCATACTGCCCAAAGTAATTTAAAGATTCAGTGCTATCCCCATCAAGCTACCATTAACTGTCTTCACAGAATTGGAAAAAACAACTTTAAATTTCATATGGAACCAAAAAAGAGCCTGCCTTCAAACCATACTACAAGCCTACAGTAACCAAAACAGCATGGTACTGTTACCAAAACAGATATACAGACCAATGGAACAGAACAGAGCCCTCAGAAATAACACCACACATCTACAACCATCTGATCTTTGATATACCTAATGAAAACAAGCAATAGGGAAAGGATTCCCTATTTAATAAATGGTGTTTGGGAAACTGGCTAGCTACATGCAGAAAACAAACTGGATCCCTTCCTAACACCTTATGCAAAAATTAACTCAAGATGGATTAAAGACTTTAATGTAAGACCTGGAACCATAAAACCCCTAGAGGAAAACCTAGGCAGTACCATTCAGGACACAGGCATAGGCAAAGACTTCATGGCTAAAACACCAAAAGCAGTGGTAGGTAACAAAAGCCAAAATAGACAAATGGGATCTAATTAAACTAAAGAGCTTCTACACAGCAAAAGAAACTACCATAAGAGTGAACAGGCAACCAACAGAATGGGAGAAAATTTTGCAATCTATCTCACAAAGGGTTAATATCCAGAATCTGCAAAGAACTTAAACAAATTTACAAGAAAAAAACAACCCCATTAAAAAGTGGGCAAATGATAAGAACAGACACTTCTCAAAAGAAGACATTGATGCAGCCAAGAAACATATGAAAAAGGCTCATCATCACTGGGCATTAGAGAAACGCAAATCAGAACCACAATGAGATACTATCTTATGCCACTTAGAATGGTGATCATTAAAAAGTCAGGACACAACAGATGCTGGAGGGGATGTGGAGAAATAGGAAGGCTTTCACACTGTTAGTGGGAGTGTGAATTAGTTCAGCCATTGTGGAAGGCAGTGTGGCAATTCCTCAAAAATCTAGAACTAGAAATACCATTTGACCCAGCAATCCCATTATTGGGTATATACCCAAAGGATTATAAATCATTCCACTAAAAAGAAACATGCACACATAATATCTTTACTGCGGCACTGTTCACAATAGCAAAGACTTGGAACCAACCCAAATGCCCATCAGTGATAGACTGGATAAAGAAAATGAGGCACATACACACCATGGAATACTATGCAGCCATAAAAAAGGATGGGTTTGGCCGGGCATGGTGGCTCATGCCTGCAATCCCAGCACTTTGGGAGGCCAAGGCGGGCAGATCACAAGATCAGGAGTTCGAGATCAGCCTCACCAATGTGGTGAAACTCTGTCTCTACTACAAATACAAAAATTAGCCAGGCATGGTCGCGGGCACCTGTAGTCCTAGCTATTCAGGAGGCTGAAGCAGGAGAATCGCTTGAACACGGGAGTCAGAGGTTGCAGTGAGTCAAGATCGCACCACTGCACTCCAGCCTGGGCAACAGAGTGAGACTCCGTCTCAAAAAAAAAAGGATGAATTCACGTCCTTTGCAGGAATGTGGATGAGGCTGGAAACCATCGTTCTCAGCACAAGAGCAGAAAACCAAACACCACATTTTTTCACTCATAAGTGGGAACACATGGATACAGGGAGGGGAACATCATACACTGGGGCCTGTTGGTGGGTTGGGGGGATAGGTGAGGGATAGCATTAGGAGAAATACCTAATGTAGACGACATGTTGGTAGGTGCAGCAAACCACCAGGGCACACGTATACCTATGTAACAAACCTGCACGTTCTGCATATGTACCCCAGGACTTAAAAGTCTAATTTTAAAAAATTAGCCAGGTGTGGTGGCACGTGCCTGCATGCCTGTAGTTCCAGCTACTCAGGAAGCCTGAGGCAAGAGAACTGCTCGAACCTGGGAGGCAGAAGTTGCAGTGAGTTGAGATCAGGCCACTGCACTACAGCCTGGGCAAAAGAGCCAGACTGTCTCAGAAAAAAAAAAAAAAAAGAGGAACTTTCTGTGTAGTGCCATTCCAGTACTGAGTAACAATCTCAGAAGACCCAATGTGTTGCACACGCTGCCATCTGTGGCAAAAGCAGAACAGAAGAAATGACTGAGGCTGAAGGACTTCAACAGGCAGAGAGGGCTGGAGAGCACCATGAGGTTTCTGGAGCCCCAGACGCAAAGGAGGAGCTGCTAATCTTTTCCCACCATTTGATTAGGTCTCCCAAGTACAGGAAATGGGGCAGAACCTATTCAGGTCAAGGGGGCAGGTCTATGGGGGCTCACTCTGATCTGTATAGACAGAGAACTGAGCATCAGATGGAATCGTATAGGAGAGATCACGGGGGAAAGAGACCCCTTTAAACACAGCCGTCCCTGTACCCCTCAGAGTGAAGAAACCACAGAGGTCACAGAAGCCACACGACAAAGTGTTGTCCATCATGATAAAGACTGCCTTTGTCACTGAGCTGCAGCCCCATGGGACAGTGAAAGGATAAATGATTACACAGCAGAACAGTAGAGGGATAAATGGGGGCAAAGGAACATTTCCATTGAGTGCTCACAGGATTTAAATGTCCCATAGAATGCTTCAACTTGGAAAGAGTTACCTGAAAACTAATGGTGCAGCTTCCTCTCGGCCCATCTGAGCTCTTACCTGTGTTCACACCTTTGATGCATTTCCAACCATTTGATGTTTTTGTTCTTTTCACTTCGCTCTCCACAGTCCGGGTCTCTTTCCCTTGCTCCAACATGGAGACAAGATTCATTTCAGAGAGAGAGATTCCTGCTTATAAAGAGAAAGGAATGTGATGTGCTGTGGCGTTTACAGAATCCCAGCCCTTTGTTTAGAGGAGAGAGGACATTGCAAATGGATCTAGAAAAATACCTCACAAATTCACCCACTGAATGCCTCCTTTTGAATGTTTAGAGAACATCGTAAGATACAGACATCGAGCTCTCCTCTAAGAAGTACTGAATCGGCCTGGTGTGGTGGCTCAAGCCTATAATCCCAGCACTTTGGGAGACTGAGGCGGGTGGATCACGAGGTCAAGAGATTGAGACCATCCTGGTCAACATGGTAAAACCCCGTCTCTACTAAAAATACAAAAAATTAGCTGGGTATGGTGGCGTGTGCCTGTAATCCCAACTACTCAGGAGGCTGAGGCAGGAGAATTGCCTGAACCGAGGAGGCAGAGGTTGCGGTGAGCTGAGATAGCGCCATTGCACTCCAGCCTGGGTAACAAGAGTGAAACTCCGTCTCAAAAAAAAAAAAAAAAGAAGTACTGAATCACAAGCAAAAAGGTAGAAAACAGCAAAGTGGATCTTTTTCTTTTTCCTTTCCTTTTTTTTTTTTTGGAGATGGAATCTTGCTCTTGTTGCCCAGGCTGGAGTACAGTGGCGTGATCTTGGCTCACCACAACCTCCACTTCCTAGGTTCAGTGATTCTCCTGCCTCAGCCTCCCAAGTAGCTGAGACTGCAGGTACCTGGCACCATGCCTGGCTAATTTTTCATATTTTTAGTAGAGACAGGGTTTCAACATGCTGCCCAGGCTGGAGTACAATGGCACGATCTTGGCTCACAGCTACCTCTACCTCCCAGGGTCAAGCGATTCTCTAGCCTCAGCCTCCTGAGCAGCTGGGATTACAGGCATGCACCACCACGCCCAGCTAATGTTTGTATTTTCAGTAGTGATGGGGTTTCTCCATGTTAGCCAGGCTGATCTCGAACTCCTGACCTCATGTGATCTGCCTGCCTCGGGCTCCCAAAGTGCTAGAATTACAAGCGTGAGCCACCATGCTCAGCCCAAAGTAGATTTTTTTTTTTTGAGATGAAGTTTTACTCTTGTTGCCCAGACTGGAGTGCAATGGCACGATCTTGGCTCACTGCTACCTGTAACTCCCAGGTTCAAGCAGTTCTCCTGCCTCAGCCTCCCGAGTAGCTGGGATTACAGGCAGCTGCCATCTCACCCAGCTAACTTTTTTGTATTTTTAGTAAAGATAGGGTTTCACCAAGTTGGCCAGGCTGGTCTCAAACTCCTGACCTCAGTTGATCTGCCTGCCTCAGCCTCCCAAAGTGCTGGGATTACAGGCGTGAGCCACCACGCCCGGCCCAAAGTAGACAAATCCAGATGCTATACTATGAAGCTTTTCATCAGAGAATTAACACAGCTTCAGTCTTAACTGAGCAAGGCAGGGGCTCCCAAGAGGCACACAAGGGAACATGCAGAGATACAGCAGAGCAGATTCCCGCTTCTGGAGGGAAGGTATCCTCACCTAGGGAGACCAGGTTCCTGTAGTTCTCCAACATCACGTTCCTGTATAGAGTCCTCTGAGCAGGGTCCAGGTACTTCCACTCCTCCTGGGAGAATTCTATGGCCACGTCCCTGAATGTCAACCTTTCCTGACATGAGAAAACACATTTCACCAAGAAGTCACAGGGAGAGCCATTATCTTCACACAGATGACAAAAAGAGAGGTATAAGTCAATTTAATTTAAATGGACATCCTGGGAGATCCAGGGAAAGGCTTTTTCAGGCGAATTGTGTCTGAAAAACACATTTTACCAAGTGCATACGGGGAGAGGTATCAACTTTACATCAAATGAGAAAAGGAGGGAATTGTATTGATTTGACTGAAGGGAGGGTTCTGGCAGATCCACGTTAAGGTACTTTGGGGGATTTAGGGATGTTAGGAAGAAAACCAGGTATGTCTCCCTAATTGCATTTATTATAGTACTCTGTAAAGCTGACAGTACCTTCTAAATAAGTGTGGATTTCCCTTTCTGTAGACAATGGAAGAAAGTTACAAATAAAAATCAACACAGGGGCTGTCTCTGTAGAAGTGTTGGATATTACTTTTGTTTTTTTTTTTTTTTTGAGACCGAGTTTCGCTCTTGTTACCCAGGCTGGAGTGCAATGGCGCGATCTCGGCTCACCGCAACCTCCGCCTCCTGGGTTCAGGCAATTCTCCTGCCTCAGCCTCCCAAGTAGCTGGGACTACAGGCACACGCCACCATGACCAGCTGATTTTTTTTTTTCTTTGTATTTTTAGTAGAGACGGGGTTTCACCATGTTGACCAGGATGGTCTCGATCTCTTGACCTCGTGATCCACCCACCGGATATTACTTTTGACACGAGGCAATACTCAGTATCTAGATGAGCCAGAGGAAGGATGGTGTCTTCCGTGATGGCAACCTCCACGGTGGCTTTAAAGGAAGAAAGGTCACAATCTAAAAACTGGCCGGGCGCAGTACCTCATGCCTGCAATTCCAGCACTTGGGAGGCCAAGGCAGGCGGATCACTAGGTCAAGAGATTGAAAGCATCCTGGCCAACAGGGTGAAACTCTGCCTCTAGTAAAAAGACAAAAATTATCTGGGCGTGGTGGCGCTCGCCTGTAGTCCCAGCTACTCGGGAGGCTGAAGCAAGAGAATCCCCTGAACCCAGGAGGCAGAGGGCAGTGTGCCAAGATTGTGCCACTGCACTCCAGCCTGGCGACAGAGTGGGACTCTATCTCATACAAAAAAACAGAAGGCCGGGCACGGTAGCTCATGCCTGTTATCCCAGCACTTCGAGAGGCTGAGGTGGGCAGATCACGAGGGCAGGAGATCGAGACCATCCTGGCTAACAAGATGAAACCCCATCTCTACTAAAAATACAAAAAATTAGCCAGGCGTGGTGGCACGTGCCTGTAGTCCCAGCTACTCAGGAGGCTGAGGCAGGAGAATTGCCTGAACCCGGGAGGCAGAGGTTGCGGTGAGCCACAGTTGCAACACTGCACTCCAGCCTGGGTGACAGAGCGAGACTCCATCTCAAAAAAAAATTTAAAAGAAAACTGTGGGCCGGGAGCAGTGGCTCACACCTGTAATCCCAGCACTTTGGGAGGCCGAGGCGGGTGGATCACAAGGTCGGGAGATCAAGACCATCCTGGTCAACATGGTGAAACCACGTCTTTACTAAAAATGCAAAAATTAGCTGGGCATGGTGGCGCGTGCCTGTAATCCCAGCTACTCAGGAGGCTGAGGCAGGAGAATTGCCTGAACCCAGGAGGCCGAGGTTGCGGTGAGCCGAGATCGCGCCATTGCACTCCAGCCTGGGTAACAAGAGCGTAACAACGTCTCAAAAATTAAAAAAAAAAGTGATGATGACAGCAATAGTGACCAACGCTTTTGAACACTCTCCGTGTGGTAGCATTATTTTAATGCTTTACATGTACTAACTCGTGTAAGAACACAATAACCCACGAGAGAAATAATTTTTATTTCCATTTTACTAAGAGAAAACTGTGTCACAGAAAAGCCTCAGAAACTCAACTCAGGTAAAACAGCTAAAATGCAGCAGAACAAGCCCTTGAGCCTAGGCATTTGGGGCTAAAGAATCAGACAGTTAAGTAACACATACAGCATCAAAGTACTTTGGCAAAGAATTCCCTGAAAAAAACGAGCTTACATCTAACAACATGAAACTGCATAAAAGGTCATTACACATACATACACATGTGTGCACATAAAAGGTCATTACACATACACATGTGTGCACATAATAAAAGGTCATTACACATACATACACATGTGTGCACATAAAAGGTCATTACACATACACGTGTGTGCACATAATAAAAGGTCATTACACATACATACACATGTGTGCACATAAAAGGTCATTACACATACACGTGTGTGCATAATAAATAGAAGGTCATTACACATACACATGTGTGCACATAAAAGGTCATTACACATACACGTGTGCGCATAATAAAAGGTCATTACACATACATACACATGTATGCACATAAAAGGTCATTACACATACACATGTGTGCGCATAAATAAAAGGTCATTACACATACATACACATGCATGCACATAGGAAAAGGTCATTACACATACATACACGTGTGCACATAAAAGGTCATTAAACATACACATGTGTGCGCATAATAAAAGGTCAGTACACATACACACACATGCGTGCACATAGGAAAAGGTCATTACGCATACATGCGTGCACATAGGAAAAGGTCATTACACATACATATGTGTGCACATAAAAGGTCATTACACATACACATGTGTGCGCATAAAAGGTCATTACACATACACACACATGCGTGCACATAGGAAAAGGTCATTACACATACATATACATGTGTGCACATAGGAAAAGGTCATTACACATACATACACATGTGTGCACATAAGAAATAAAAGGTCATTACACACACACATGCGTGCATATAAAAGGTCATTACACATGCACACAGGCATGCACAAAATAAAAGGTCATTACACGTACACACACATGCGTGCACATAAAAGGTCATTACACATACACACACATGCATGCACATAAAAGGTCATTACACATACACACACATGCGTGCACATAATAAAAGGTCATTACACATACACATGTGTGCATAATTAAAAGGTCATTACACATACACATGCGTGCACATAAAAGGTCATTACACATACACGTGTGTGCATAATGAAAGGTCATTACACATACACACACATGCGTGCACATAATAAAAGGTCATTACACACACATGCGTGCACATAAATGAAAGGTTATTACACATACATACACATGCGTGCACATAATAAAAGGTCATTACACATATGTGTGCACATAATAAAAGGTCATTACACATACACATGTGTGCACATAATAAAAGGTCATTACACATACACGTGTGTGCACATAATAGGTCATTACACATACACACATGCGTGCACATAAAATGTCATTACACATACACATGCGTGCACATAAAAGGTCATTACACATACACGTGTGTGCACATAATAGGTCATTACACATACACATGTGTGCATAATAAATAAAAGGTCATTACACATACACACATGTGTGCACATAATAGGTCATTACACATACATACACATGCGTGCACATAATAAATTAGCATTCTTACTATTCGTCAACTCATCAATGTGATGATGTAGGAAAAAATTCAAGGCTATGGAAAATATTTCAGATATAAATATCTGAACAGTTTAAAAATACACAACTGGCCAGGCGCATGGCTCACGCCTGTAATCCCAGCACTATGGTTGGCCGAGGTGGGCGGATCACCTGAGGTCAGGAGTTCAAGACCAGCCTGACCAACAGGGAGAAACTGCATCTCTACTAAAAATTCAAAATTAGCCGGGCATGGTGGCACGTGCCTGTAGTCCCAGCCACTCAGGAGGCTGAGGCAGGAGAATCGCTTGAACCCGGGAGGCAGAGGTTGCGGTAAGCTGAGATCGCGCCATTGTACTCCAGCCTGGGCAACAAGAGCAAAACTCCGTCACACACACACACACACACACACACACAAAATTGGAGCTAGAATAAAACACCCTCCCTAAGGTGTTTCTGAACTTTAGATTCCATTCCAAACCATGACAGTTCTGGAGCCAGAAACATACTGGTTCATGTGTTTATCTTCGAATGTATTATCAAATCCGACAAACAGAATTCACCAAATCAGTCTCCTTTTCTAGGGTTTCCCAGGTACTTATGCACGAGTAGGTGACTTCCACATCCAGCTTCTCTAATCCTGGTCCACAAAGACCTCACGGTACATCCAGATGTGGCCGCTAAACAATCCCTGTTGTGCGACAGCCCGGACACCACGGGGCCCACACCTGTGTCTGTCCATGTCTGGGGTGAGCCCTTCCCAAGACCATGCCCAGTGCAGCCTCTTCCCAAGTTCTTGTCACTGGGTCACAGCCAATGGCATCTAAGTGAGATGAGAGGGACGGAGGGAAGGCATGGGTGAGTGCCAGCAGACCTGTCAGGCAGGGCGCTTCAGACTCAGAGATCTGCAGCCTCAGAGAAAGTGGTTTCAGAAAGGAAAGAGAAAGAACAACGTCCCGAGAATATCACTTTACCTGAGGAAGAGCCATCCCTGTCTCCTCTTTCTTTCCCCTTCCTTCTCGTCTGGACTTCTTCAGGCAACATGAGTCTTTAGAGGTCAATCTGGAATGTGAAAAAGAAGTTATTTAATGCTTAGAATCCACACACCCACTTCCTTCCACAACCACACACACAGGGAAGACCTCTCCCCATGCAGAGACGGTCCTCTGCCACCCACTGCGTCAGGAATGATGGAGGAACAAGAAACTTGTAGAAAGACCCGTAGGTGAGTCTGTCACCCCTCTCTTCAGAACCCGCTGTCCTGGAGAAGCCCACATGCACGCTGCAGCAGTGGGGAGCTCAGCTGGACTGAGCTTCCCTTCAGGGCACAGACCTGGCCTTGAGCAAGCCCCATGCAGAGCACAGCACCCTCACCTCTCCGTGCATCCCAGGCTGAGCTCAGCCCTCAGAAACGGAGGACACAGTCTGTCATCCCAGCACTTTGGGAGGCTAGGATGGGCAGATCACCTGAGGTCAGGAGTTCGAGACCAGCCTGGGCAACATGTTGAAACCCCGTCTCTATTTAAAATACAAAAATTAGCCAGGTGTGGTGGTGTGCGCTACTGGGAGTCCAGCTACTTGGGAGGCTGAGGCAGAAGAATTGCTTGAACCCAGGAGGCAGAGGTTGCAGTGAGCTGAGATCACCCCCATTGCACTCCAGCCTAGGCAACAGAGCGAAACCCCAGCTAAAAAATAAAAAAGGCTGGGCACGGTGGCTCATACCTGTAATCCCAGCACTTTGGGAGGCCGACGTGGGTGGATCACAAGGTCAGGAGTTCAAGACTAGCCTGACCAACATGGTGAAACCCTGTCTGTACTAAAAAATACAAAAATTAGCTGGATGTAGTGGTGCACACATGTAGTCCCAGCTACTTGGGAAACTGAGGCAGGAGAATCGCTTGAACCTGGGAGATGGAGGTTGCAGTGAGCCAAGATTGTCCCACTGCACTCCAGCCTGGGTGACAAAGAGAGACTCCATCTCAGAAAAAAAAAATAAAAAGGAAATGGAGGAGACAGAGCCTGGTTATCAATGCCGGGAGGACACAGAGCCTGGTTATCAATGCTGGACACAGATCGGAATCAGCTGGGGTAATATAACTACCATGAAGGCTGGGTCCCAACCCCATTACAGGAAGGGAAATCTCAGGTAAGGAGGCACAAGAGTTTTATCTGCAAAATGACTCAGTACTCTCAAGTCAAACCAGGATTGAGCTTCACTCAGAGGGAGTGTGAAATAACAAGAAATATATTTTTGGTCTCTGCCCCTGGTTCCTAGGACATGGATGCTTCATAGATAGGGCTGTTAGGAGAATCTTTTGTTCTCATATTTGGTCTTTGACCCCAGGTCCAGCACAAAGCCCCTCAATCCCTCAGAATTTCCCGCGTGATAGGAATGTGTTTGTTCTAATGAGGCAAGTCTTGGTGGGCTCCTGGCTATGGCCATTGGCCAGAAAGACGAAGCTATGATTCAAAGCTTGGAAATTTCAGCTCCATCCCCCATTTCCCAAAGAGTGGAGTGGGCTGAAGATTGAGTTAATACTCTCTCATGCCTACAGGATGAAGCCTCGATAAAAAAATCCCTGATCTATCAGGTTCAAAGAGCTTTCTGGTTGATAAACACATCTGAATGCGGGGGGCGGGGGTGCACCTTGTGGATTTCACAAGGACAGAAGCTCCTGTGCTCAGAACATTCTCAGACCTCACCGTATGTTTCTCTTCATCTGGCTGCCCATGGGTATCTTCCATCATATCCTTTATTAATGCACCAGAGCCTCACTTGATGTTATCAATAGATTCTTGGAAACTGGAGCCTTAAGTGAAATGGCAACTTTTTTTCCCTCATCAACATAAAAAAAAAAAATGACATTGAACAGCCAGGCTTATGCCTCTAATCCCAGCACTTTGGGAGGCCAAGGTGGGTGGATCACAGCCAGGAGATTCTGGCCAACATGGTGGAACCCTGTCTCTACTAAAAATATAAAAATTAGCTGGGCGTGGTGGTAGGTGCCTGTAATCACATCTACTCGGGAGGCTGGGGCAGGTGAATCGCTTGAACTCGGGAGGCGAGGTTGCAGTGAGCCAAGATCGTGCCACCGTATTCCACCTGGCAACAGAGCAAGACTCTGTGTCAAAATAATAATCATCACATTGAACCAAACATTATTTGAGTACCTGCTGTATATTATTTCACTCATGACCCAGTTTCCAAGAACCTATGGAAAACGTTGAGGACTGACTGCCCAAAAAATTCAGTAACCCTAAGTGCTTCCAGCAGTTCTGTGAGCTGTCCTGACAAATCAATCAAACTCAAAGAGGGAGTCATGGGCGCCTCAACATATAGGTCAGTTTTAAGGACCGGTGACAACCTATTACTTTTGATTGACATCTGAAGTGGCAGCAGGGCCAAGGTGGGGAGTGGTCTTGTGGGACTAAGACCTTAACCTGTTGGATCTGACTCTAGCTCCAGGTGCACAGTGTCTGAATTGAAGTGCAGAACACCCAGCTGGTGTCCACTGGAGAACTGCCTAGTATGTGGGAAAAAACTCCCACACATTTGCTGTCAGAAGTGTTCTATGTTGGCTGGCCCCGTGGCTAATGCCTGTAATCCCAGCCCTTTGGGAGCCTGAGGCAGGGGGATAACCTGAGGTCAGGAGTTCGAGACCAGCCTGGCCAACATGATGAAACCTCCATCTCTACTGAAAATACAAAAATTAGTCGGGCGTGGTGGCAGGCGCCTATAATCCCAGCTACTCGGGAGGCTGAGGCAGGAGACTCGTTGGAACCTGTGAGGCGTAGGTTACAGTGAGCTGAGGTCGCACCACTGCACTCCAGCCTGAGCGACAGCGCAAGACTCGGTCTCAAAAAAAGTAAAAGGATACTGGGTGTCACAGGACAGGTCCAGGTCACCTCCTCCACCATGGGTGTCACAGGACGGGCCCAGGTCACCTCCCACCACGGGAGATGACTGCCCAGAGGGGCTTGGGAGCTGAAGGCCCTGCCTGAGAAAGACTTGAGGTGAGACCGACAGAGGTGGCACCTCAGGACAGGGGTGGAGTCTGCAGAATTCCTGAACCAAGGAAAGGACGTAGCCCCTCGGGACTGAGGCTGCAGCGCTCCGTGCGCTCCAGGGACCGACAAGGGCGAGTCTTGGAGAATCGGATAGAACTGAATCCACCTTTCAGGTGAGGGCTTTAAGAAGTGCCCTCCTGCGTGGCGGGAAGAAAAATCGGTAAAGGATTTTAGGCAGGAAAAGACGCGAAAGGCCGTGTTTACCTAGCGCGAGGCTGAAAGACGAGGGTCAGGGATCAGCCTAAGAGCGACTTTGAACCCAAAGGGAAAGCGATCCCCGCACTCTCACAGCAACGTCAGAATGTACTTGGGGTGGAGGGCGCGGTGCGGGAGTTTTAAGGTCTGTAGGGACCCCCTCCAGACCTGGGGGATGGAAGAAGGGGGACTGCGAAGCGCAGATTTTATCTAGAGAGAGGAAAACTCACGCTCCGCGGCCCAATCTTCACTCCCCGCGATCCGCTTCCGGGTTTACAGAAAACCGCGCGCAGCTCAGACTGGGCGGTCCAGGGGGCGGGGTAAGGGGCGGGATCTGATCAGGAAGCGACTGACAGGGGGCGGGCCGGGGAGGACTGAGGCCGCCTAAGGGCGGGGCCTGGGCGGGGCGCGACCAGCAGGGGGCGGGGAAGGGGGGGGAAACGCGAGGGTGGGGCGGGGCCTGGACAGGTATGGGGCGGGGCCGGGAGGGCGGTCCGAGCCTGCGTTTCCAGCCACCTGGTTCCCAGAACGTCCCTATTTTCTGGGTTTGGGAACAGTTAAGTCTATTTCGTGTCCTTCCTTTCCGCTTATTTTCAGTTAATGTTTCCGTTTTAAGGTAAAGCCTTAGAGTTATGTGGGCAGTCTGTATTGGAAACTAAGAGATTTTCCTAAATTGCAAACTGGTTACTTAACTATTTTTTTTAAAAGTTAATGGTTTTAGCCGGGCGCGGTGGCTCAAGCCTGTAATCCCAGCACTTTGGGAGGCCGAGGCGGGTGGATCACGAAGTCAAGAGATCGAGACCATTCTGGTCAACATGGTGAAACCCAGTCTCTACTAAAAATACAAAAAAAAAAAAAAAATTAGCTGGGCATGGCGGGGCATGCCTGTAATCCCAGCTGATTGGGAGGCTGAGGCAGGAGAATTGCCTGAACCCAGGAGGCGGAGGTTGCGGTGAGCCGAGATCGCGCCATTGCACTCCAGCCTGGGTAACAAGAGCGAAACTCTGTCTCAAAAAAAAAAAAAAAAAAGGTTATTGGTTTTGCTGCCATCTTGCATCCCCGCGTGCGTGCGCCTAATCTCAGTTGGTCCACCGGAGACCCCCTGAGCACCAACCCTAGTACCCTCAGCGGCCCCTTATCTGCTCCGACAAGATGAAAGAAACAATCGTGAACCAGGAAAACTCCCCAAACTGCAGGCACAGGTGCGCATTGGTGGGAAAGGAACTGCTAGTAGGAAGAAGGTGGTTCAGACCGGGCGCGGTGGCTCACGCCTGTAATCCCAGCTCTGTGGGAGGCCGAGGCGGGTGGATCACGAGGTCAAGAGATGGAGACCATCCTGGTCAACATGGTGAAAGCCCGTCTCTACTAAAAATACAAAAAATTAGCTGGGCATGGTGGCGTGTGCCTGTAGTCCCAGCTACTCAGGAGGCTGAGGCAGGAGAATTGCCTGAACCCAGGAGGCGGAGGTTGCAGTGAACTGAGATTGCGCCAGCCTGGCACCTGGCGACAGAGCGAGACTCTGCACCCCCCCCCCCAAAAAAAGAAAGAAAGAAAGAAAAGAAAATTGACTGTTAAGCAGGGCATGGTGGCTCACACCTGGTAACTCACACATCTTCAGCTCCTTAGTGTCAGGTTGTGCTGGTTTCATTTGTTGCTTTGTGTGGATCCTGTTTCCTTTTCTCTCTGAATGTCTTGTTACCTGGGACCTCAGCATTTCACTCATCAGCCATTCCTCCTACTTTTTAACTTCTGGCCTCCTTGGGGGAGGACACTCTGTATTCATCCTGACTAGAGATTCTGGAGACCTCTCAAGCCTTTTCTGGGAATGTGTTGTCTCTGGGATTTTGCTTTTTCCAATAGGAAATATACCATGGCACCTAATTAAAGTACATTTCCAGCCTATGTAAATAACTTAAAAACTGCTGAATTGGCTATGTCAGCAAGACAAAGGCTTAGGAAGTCCCAAACACTACGTCCCTCATGAAGACACACATCTAGTAACAACACATGTACTGACTGCCTTTGTAAGAAATCTAGGCCAGGCGCGGTGGCTCATGCCTGTAATCTCAGCACTTTGGGAGGCCAAGGCGGGCAGATCCCCTAAGGTCAGGAGTTCAAGACCAGCCTGTCCAACATGGTGAAACCCTGTCTTAATTAAAAAAAAAGAAAGAAAGAAAGAAATCTAAACGCCACGTAAGTGGTTGGAACTCTTAATAAATGCCCAGGAGGAAAATTTGAGACACTTACTGGCAGAGGTCCTACTCTGGCATCATGTGGTGTCACTGTGATTTCTCCAAGGGGAGGGAAGGTATGGAAAGGTCCATATAATATCCTGACTTAAGAGGGCACTGCCTGAGGGTCAGGTTTCTGTCTTGGTTTCGTATAAACACTGAAAGTGAGAGGGTAAACATGTCAGGGAAACCAACATAAACCAGAGTCTGCAGTAACGCAGGCTGACACTAGGGGGCGAACCAGACCACAGTTTACCATGAAAACACAGCAGTTGCAGGATTGCAGACTGCCCACAGGAGGGCGCCTGAAGAAAAACTGGCAAAGCTTCTCAGGTAACTGCGAGCAAGTTTGTCCGAAACTTGCTGAAATGCACATAAGCAAAAGTGGTAATTTTAAAAATCATTGAAAAAAGTCATTGAGACACAACTCTTCTTATTTGTGTGTACATTAGTGTATGCATGCAGAAGCCCATGGTTTTGTTTTTGTTTTTGTTTTGTTGTTTTTTGTTTGTTTGTTTGTTTGTTTGAGACGGAGTTTCGCTCTTGTTACCCAGGCTGGAGGGCGCAATCTCGGCTCACCGCAACCTCCGCCTCCTGGGTTCAGGCAATTTTCCTGCCTCAGCCTCCTGAGTAGCTGGGATTACAGGCACGCGCCACCATGCCCAGCTAATTTTTTCTGTATTTTTAGTAGAGACGGGGTTTCACCATGTTGACCAGGATGGTCTCGATCTCTTGACCTCGTGATCCACCCGCCTCGACCTCCCAAAGTGCTGGGATTACAGGCGTGAGCCACAGTGCCCGGCTTGTTTTTGTTTTTTAAAGATGGAATTTCACCATTATGGCCAGGCTGGTCTTGAACTCCTGACCTCAGGTGATTCACCCACCTCGGCCTCCCAAAGTGCTAGGATTACAGGCGTGAGCCACCGCGCCCGGCCAAGCCCGTGGTTTCACTTGAAATAAGTTTTATTTTTAAAACACCTGGCATTTTCCCCCGCGACCCGCCCCTTTGCCGCGGTCCGACCAGGCTCCGCCCCTCCCCAACAAGGCCCCGCCTCCATTATCTCCGCCCCTCCCAACGCCTGGCTTCCCCCCGCCCCTCGCTTCCCGCCCCTTTGCCGCTGTCCGCCCAGGCCCCGCCCCCAGGCCTCAGGCTCCCTTTCCTGCACCTGCAGTTTCTTGCAAAGCTAGTAGACATGGTGGAGCCGAGGCTGGGCCTCGCCATGTGAGTTTCCCTCTATCTAGATTAAATTTGCGTTTTGGAGCACGTTTAATCTAGGTAGAGAGAAACGCATCTGCGCTCTGTACCCGGTGTCCTGGGGTTCCCATAGCCCTTAAAGTCCCCGCACGGCTCCCTCCATTCCAAAGTGTGGGGCTGATGGCCCACAGGGTCGTGGGGTGTGACTTATGCTGTGCTGAGGCGCAGGATCTGAGAAATAAAGAGACAGGACACAGAAGTACAAGGAAAACGCTGGGCTTGGGGGGGGGGCCATGCCACCTATAAGCAGAGTCAGGCGAGGCCCCTAATGTCCAGAAGCGTGAGTATTTATTGTGTATAGGTTAGGGGGCAGGGCAGTGAGTGAAATCATCTTTAAGGATAGTGATAGGGTCGTGAGCAATAAAACAAGGGGTCCACCCCCTTTAGGTCACCTAGGCCAGGAGGGGGACAGTGCACAGCAAGGGGCCGGTTCCCATCAAGGCAAGGGCCGTATGCAGTAAGAGGTCCACTCCCATTAGGTCACCGAGGCTTGAAGGTGGGTCGCGCGCAGTGAAGAGGGTACAGTGTGCAATACTTCTATGTATGGGCAAACTACTTCTAAGAAGATTTTTGGGGGGATGCTTTAAGTCACATAGCAGTGACAGAGCTGTCAGGGTTACCGCCACCTGCTGGCAGCTTCCAATGGGTTCTATGGGAAGATGCTTTTCGAGAAGCACAGTAAGTAACAAGAGCTGATAAAGTTCACAGTCACCAAGGTGGATTGCGGGTCTCAGGGCAGCCTTCCACAAGAACTGGAGCAAGGTCCTACAACTCCTTCATCAGGAGGAGTGGCTCTCGCCCCAAGCCTGCCATACAGCGGGTATCTTTACAATACTGAACACTGCCACCTGGGCCGTGGATTCTTGTCCTGGTATAACTGTTTTTCCCTTAAATCATGCTCAGCACTGTGTCTGCTCTAGGCATTCCTCCGATTATAAGCTGCTTATTCCTTAATTCATGCTCTGCACTGTGTCCACTCTAGACATTCCTCCGATTATGAACTGAGATATAATTATAGGTATATATGTAGGGAAATATTCTTTAGGCACTCATACTATCAACTATTATATGATTATATATAGAGGATTAGATAAAGGGATTCTTCAAGCCCTAATTCTATAAACTAATACAGGATTATGTAAAGGATTATATAAAAGGTAATAGCTGAGTAGTAACACTATAAAGTGAGATATTCTTCAAGCCCTAACTGTGCCAAGGTTCTGCTTAGGTCTCTTTACTCGGTGCCTGTATGGGGGTTACGCACACCAGCCAACAGTTTTAACAGAAACCGTTCTCAACTTGGTAAGAGGAAAACATTTTAGTTTCTAACGTAAGTGGTCCACGTAAGTCTATTCTTTCACCTTACAACTGCTACAAACATAAACCCTGCTCCCTGCTCCCCGGTGAACTCTCCAGCGTTTCCTAACCAGGAAAAGCGAGACTGGCTACCAGCTGGGCTTAGGGAAGCGCAGACCCCGCCCCAGCTCCGCCCCCGCGTTGCGTCCGCAGACTCCGCCTCTCTCCTAGGCCACGCCCCTGGACGGTCCGGGTTCTTCTCCGCGCGTGCGCACTTTCCTGCAGTTCCGGAAGCCGATCGCGTGCGGAGGTGACGCCGCGGAGCGTGAGTGTCCCTCAGTATGGCTTAAACTTGCGAATCGCCATACCCCGTTTCCACACCCAGTGCCCGGGCTCGCTACAGACCTTAAGATCCCCGCACCGCGCCCTCCACCCCAGGTGAATACAGGCCTCGCGGAGGGGGTCCGGAGTCGCTTCCCTTCAGGTTGAAGTCTCTCAGAGGCTGCTCCCTGTCCCCCGCCTTTTGCTTCTTCCTCCCGCTTAAAACCCTTTCCCGTCCCCTCCTCCCGCCCCGCGCTTTTTCTAGTCCTCACCTGCGAGGTGGAGTCCTGCCCTGGGCGCCTCCTACCCTCGCCCTCATGGGCCCCTGGAGCGCAGCGCCGCTGTCCGGGTCCCGGGGAGGCCGCGTCCTCTGTCTGGTTCTGGGATCCTGCAGACCCCACCCCTGTCCTAAGACCCCGTCCCCACACCTCCCTCCTCCTCGTGCAGGGCCCTGCTGCTCCCCAGGTCTCCCCTCCGCAGTCACCGTTTCCGTGAGTCCGCGTTGGGAGGGGCCCGGGGCCCGTCCTGTGACACCTGCCCAGCTCCACCCCCTGGAAAATGTGCTCCTCCGGGATGCAGGCGTCTTACTCCAAACCCGCCTGTGAACGCGTGGGATTGGGAGACGGAGAGAGAGAGAAGCAGAAAAACCGAGACAGAGGAAAGAGTAAAGGAAGCCCATAAACAGCTGGCAAAGCAGAGGATGGGTGAGGATTTGCAGCCATAGTAAGAGTGAAAGAAGGAGCTGAGAAAGCAGAAGGAGAAAAACAACTGCAGAAATGCAGAGAAAAGCGCGGTGTCCAGAGAGATGAAGGGACAGCATGGTAGGGAGAGGGACAGATAGGGGGAGGCTATTCAGACAGAGTCGGGGAGAGGAGGAGAGATTTGGAGCCAGGGCAGACAGAGCAGTGTGGTGCTGGGATAGCAAGAGGGGGCAGCAAGTGACAAGGAGAGCAGAGGGAAAACCACAGCAGGGGGAGGCCTAGGGCCTGTGGGTGCCAGAGAGTGGGGACAAAGAATGTAACAGGGAAGAGAGGATTTACAGGGGGAGCAGAGATGGGAGAAGAAAGAGGCAGAAATGTATATAGAGACTGGAGACACTGAAAGATTGGGGAGAAAGAGCAGTCAGGATTGAAACAAGGCCCCAGAATGGGCCAGAACAGGTGGAAGAGGAGGAAGGAAGAAGGAGGAAGAAGGGGAGAAGAGGAAGAAGGAGGAAGAAGGAGCAAGAAGGGGAGAAGAGGAGGAAGGAAGAAAAAGGGGAGAAGAGGAAGAAGGAGGAAGAAGGGGAGAAGAGGAAGGAGGAGGAAGAAGGGGAGAGGAAGAGGAAGAAGGGGAGAAACAGCAGGAAGCACAAAACGACTTGGGAAGAACCAGGGGAAAAACACGGAAAATAAAAAATAAGCTAATGTGAGAATGAGAGAGATGCAGAGAAAGAGGGAGGGAAGCACAGTACGGAAGCCAGAGAGGGACCCTGGGTCCAGGTGAGTGGTGCATTGATTACATGTGATGATTACATTGTGGCATTGGTTTCCGGGTTTATAATAATACAACACAGTTAAAATATGTTTACTTAGATTATGTAGATGTGAATGAGAATTGAAGAAGCTCCTTTATGTAAAATGCCTAAGACGTGCGTTTGACAATTCTTAGTATTAGGGTGTAGCTTCATTTGCAGTCACTATTCGAACCAGAGGGCCGTGACTTCACTCGTTTAGTTTCGAGTGACCACCTCTCTTTTCCTGGAATGGGGTAGGGTTGGGGCGAGTGTAGGAACTAAGAGGAAAAACAAAGATATTTTTCCTCTGGTTTTTCGTCCTGTCACACTCAATACCACAGTGCACATTCTATGCAATATCTCACCTCCACTCACCAAAATGTGCGGGTTTCTCCCACCAGCAACCCATTCTCTGTCAGACGCTAACTGATTGTCCTATAGTTTAACTCAATTCTGAAACTACCTGGAGTTCACAGCAGATCCCACTGGTTGAGGCTCAGTTCCAGGAAACTGCCCCACATCAGCTGCCAGTTGCAAGTCTCACATTGGGACCTGAACTTCTGAGCGACCAGCTATGGAGTGGGGATTCCGTTGACATCCCCTCCAACACCTCGGGTTCTGTTAATTTTCTAGTGCAGCTCCCAGAACTCAGGGAAACACTTGACATAGTTTCCACATATATAAAGCGTATCACAGAGGATACAGATTAACGGTCAGAAGGAAGGACTGTCCTAGAAAGTTAACGCAGAGGAGGGTAAAGAGAACCACAGTATTTGTCAGGTCACTCAAAAGTCTAAGTGACAGACACCACTTGCATACTTCGTCTGAAGTGAGGGGCAGTTTTAAACTGAGCTCTGAACCTGTAGCACCTCATTCTGTCCTTCTAAAAAATAATAATAAACAGAGTCTCGCTCTGTCACCCAGGCTAGACTGCAGTGGCATGATCTTAGCTCACAGTAGCCTCTGCCTCCCGAGTTCAAGCGATTCTCCTGCCTCAGCCTCTTGAGTAGCTGAGATTACAGGTGCATTCCACCACACCCAGCTAATTTTTATGATTTTTAATAGGGACAGGGTTTCACCATGTTGGCCATACTGTCTCGAACTGTTGGCCTCAAGTGATCTGCCTGCCTTGGCCTCCCAAAATGCTGAGATTATAGCAATGAGCCACCGTGCCTGGCCCATGCTGTCTTTTTGTAGATAATGTCAGAGTTAAGTGAAATTGTAGGACTTCCCCCCAGCTGGGAGTCCCCTGGAGAAGTGGCCATTGTGGGAAGAGCCACACACACACTTTGATGACTAGAGGTGAAGGATTCTGTGTTTAGTGTGAGAGCATTATGTAGAGTTTGGTTTTTTCCTGTCTCAAAGAGCAAAGGAAGAGACCTCTAAGTGGTGCACCCACCTGTCAGGGCCTGTGATCTCTACTCAGTAGTGACTGGGGGAGACCTGTCCCTGCTTCTGGCTGCTGCTGCCCCACAATTATGCACCACGTGCCAGCCCTACGCTCAGTCTCAGGACAATATGCATGTGATTGATTTTAACTTCTTTTTTTTTTCTTCCCAATCCATAAAGCTTTCAAAATTTTAACTTCAAGGAAATTCATCCCTGTACCCAGGGGGTGGTGTTGTCCATTAAGACACGCACCCAGGGCTGGGCAGAGTGGCTCACACATGCAATCCCAACACTTTCAGAGGCCAAGGTGATAGGATTGCTTGAGCCCAGGAGTTTGGGACCAGCCTGGGTGACATAGCAAGACCCTGTCTCTATGAAAATTAGAAAAATAAATAAACTGGACTTGGAGGCTTGTACCTGTGGTCCCAGCTACTTGCGAGACGGAGGTGAGATAATCGATTGAACACAAGAACTTGAGGCTGTAATGAGCTACGTTCATGCCATCGCACTCTAGCCTGGGCAACAGAACAAGACCCTGTCTCAAAAAAAAAAAAAAAAAAAAAAAGACACAGACTAAAGCTGTTTTTTCTTCTACACTATACCTCTAAAACAAAAAATACTCTAAATTGGCCGGGTGTGGTGGCTCACACCTGTAATCCCAGCACTTTGGGAGGTCAGTGCCAGCAGATCACCTGAGATCAGGAGTTCAAGACCAGCCTGGTCAACCTGGTGAAACCCTGTCTCTACTAAAAATCCAAAAATTAGCTGAGCAGGGTGGCATGCACCTGTAATCCCAGCTACTTGAGAGGCTGAGGCAGGAGGCTCACTTGGACTCAGGCGGAGGTTGCAGTGAGCCAAGATCATGCCATTACACTTCAGCCTGGGTGACAAGAGCAAGACTCCATCTCAAAAAAAAAAAAAAAAACCAACCTCTAAACTACATTTCACTCTGTATAGTAAGTGCCCCTCTTCTATGCTCCGTTTAAGATCACAATACATGACACTTTTGTGTGTGTGTTCAATTCTTGCCTCCAATTCTTGCTTGAACTCTTGCCTGAATCAAGCTCTCACACCCAGCATTCCACTGATTCTTTTGTAGTTACCACTGACAGCTCCATTTGAAATTCAGTGTTTAATTTCCTGTCGTCTTTCCATTACTATCAGCAGCGTGTGGCACAGTTGATCACTTTCTCTTCTATTGTCCTGGCTTTTAGGACATCCCATTAAGCTTTACACATCTATTTTATTTATTTATTTTTTTGAGACAGAGTCTCGCTCTGTGGCCCAGGCTGGAGTACAGTGGCATGATTCCGGCTTACTGCAATTTCCACCTCCAAGGTTCAAGCGATTCTCCTGCCTCAGCCTCCCAAGTAGCTGGGGTTACAGGTGCCCACCACCACACCCAGATAATTTTTGCATTTTTAGTAGAGATAGGGTTACTCCATGTTGGCCAGGCTTGATCTTGAACTCCCAACCTCAGGTGATCCACCCGACTCGGCCTTCCAAAGTTCTGGGATTATAGGCATGAGCCACCATGCCCGGCCCTGGCCTCAGTTGATCTTCCTGCCTCCCAAAGTGCCAGAATTGTAGGTGTGAGCCACCACATCCAGCCTCTGCCTTTAGTTTCTGAGGCCTGAGATTGGCCTGCAATCCACAGAGAGAGAGAGGTGAGGAGGCTGTTCTCTGCATGGGATTAGGTCAGGCTGGGTCTGTGCCCTGAAGGGGAGCTCAGTCCAGCCCAGCTCCCCACTGCTGCAGCATGTGTATGGGCTTCTCCAGGAGAGGAGCGGGTTCTGAAGAAAGGGGCCAGAAACTCACTGATTGTTCTTCCCGTAGTAGTGTCTTGTCCCTGCATTGCCCCTGGTGCATTGGGCCACAGAGGACTAGCTTTCCACAGGGGGAGGGTCTTCGCTGTGTGTGTGTGTGATGGTGGCAGAGGAAGGGGACGTGTTGATTCTGAGCAACAGACAGCACATTTTGGATATTCAGTATTGACTTCTAAAGGTGCTTTCCTGTTCCCTAAGGAAGAACCCTCGAAGAGGAGGAAGAGGAGAGAAGGAGAAGTCAGGCATGGCCCTCACCCAGGTAAAGTAACATTCTCAGTGGATTGTTCTGCCTCTTACTTCTACCTGCAGTGGCATTCTTTGAAGTAGCAAATCTGCTCTGAGTCTGAAGCGTCCTGCCTGCCAGGTTTGCTGGCACTCACCCATGCCTTCCCTCAGTCCCTCTCATGTCAACTAGATTCTATCTCCCGTGACTCAGTGACATGAGTGTGGGAAGAGGCTGCACTGGGCACGGTCCTGGGAAGGGCTCACCCCAGACACGGATGGAGACGGTGTGTGGGCCCCGTGGTGTCAGGGCTGCTGGGCAGCAGGGATTGTTCAGGGGCCACATCGGGATGCACCGTCAGCTCTCTGTAGACCAGGAGTAGAGAAACTGCACGTGGACGTCACATGTTAATATGCACAGATACCTGCTAAATTCTGTAAAATAAGGCTAATAAAGGGAAATGTTTTCTGGCTCATTTATATTACATTCGAAGCTGACCTAGCGAGTCACTGTGTCCAGCTCCAAAGTTTTACTAATGACGGAATGGAATGGGAACTTGAGACTGACTGGCATCAGTGGTGGAGGATTCTTTCATCCCATCATCTGTTTTAATACTTGAAATCAACCTAAAAGGAAAAAGCAGGAGAATCACTCACCTGTTCTTAGAAAACCCATACAGTGGAGACTGGTGTTTCTGCAGGGACCCTTGTGCTAGGTGAGAGTTGTTATTATTTTGCTCGGTTATTGGAGCAGAACTTCCTTGCCCTTAGAGAGGATAGAACCATATTCTTGTTTTACCAATTATTAAATATTCTATTTATCGTATTTATTTACTTACTTTGAGGCAGAGCCTCACCCTGTTGCCCAGGCTGGAGTGCAGTGACGTGATCTCAGCTCCCTGCAGTCTCAACCTCCCGGGCTCAATCGATCCTCCTGCCTCAGACTCCCAAGTAGCTGAACTACAGGCACACACCACTATGCCTGTCTGATTTTTGTATGTTTTATAGAGACAGTGTTTTATCATGCTGCCCAGGCTGGTCTTGAACCCCTGAGCTCCAGCGACTCATCCACCTCGGCCTCCCAAAGTGCTGGGATTACAGACATGAGTCCTCACACCTGGCTGTGGCTTTCATTTTAAACTTGACATGTTGTATTTCTCTGTTTTATGGTATAACTCCAAACAAACTTGCAGCTCACACCCTAAACCATAAAGCATTTCCCTCCTGTTGCATCTTCCATCTTCCATCTCATCTCAGTGGGGAAGCAGTGTTGTCGGTCTCATGTCCTATAGAAATGTGTTTATACAAGCCAGGTGTGGTGGCTCACACCTGTAATCCAAGCACTGTGGAGGCTAAGGCAGGCAGATCACCTGAGGTCGGGAGTTCAAGAACAGCCTGACCAACATGGTGAAACCCCGTCTTAAAAAAAAAAAAAGAGCCTACCACCCAAAAAAAAAGCCCTGGTCCAGATGGGTTCACAGCCGAATTCTACCAGACATACAAAGAGGAGCTGGTACCATTCCTTCTGAAACTATTCCAAACAATTTTAAAAGAGGGAATTCTTCCCAAATCATTTTGTGAGACCAACATCATCCTGATACCAAAACCTGGCAGAGACTCAACAAGAAAAGAAAACTTGTGGCCAATATCCATGATGAACATAGTTGCAAAAATCTTCAATAAAATACTGGCAAGCCAATTGCAACAGCACATCGAAAGCTTATCCACCATGATCAAGTAGGATTCATCCCGGGGATGCAAGGCTGGTTTCAACATACGCAAGTCTATAAACGTAATTCGCCACATAAGCAGAACCAAAGACAAAAACCACATGATTCTCTCAATTGATGCAGAGAAGGCCTTTGACAAAATTCAACAGCCCTAAAAAAAAAAAAAAAGAAAAAAGAAATGTGTTTATAGCTTGTTATGACATTAAGAACAAAATTTTTCAGTGAATTTTTTTTTTTTTTTTTTTGAGACAGAGCCTCACTCTGTCGCTCAGGGTTAGAGTGGCACAATCTCGGCTCAGTGCAGCCTCTGCCTCCCGGATTCAAGCACTCTTTCACCTCAGCCTCCAACGTAGCTAGGGCTACAATTGCATGCCGCCACACCCAACTGGTTCATTTGTATGTGTATTATTAGTATTTTTTTTTTGAGACAGTGTTTTGTTCTTGTTGCCCAGGCTAGAGTGCAATAGCACAATCTCGGCTCACTGCAACCTCCGTCTCCTAAGTTCAAGTGATTCTCCTACCTCAGCCTCCCAAGAAGCTGAGATCACAGGCATGCACCACCAAGCCAGGCTAATTTTTGTATTTTTAGTAGAGACAGGGTTTCTCCCATGTTGGCCAGGCTGGTCTCAAACTCCTGACCTCAGGTGATCTGCCCTCCCAGGCCTCCAAAAGTGTTGGGATTATAGGCATGAACCACTGCACCCAGCCTAGTTTTTATATTTATAATAGAGACAAGTCTTCACCATGTTGGCCAGGCTGGTCTCAAACTTCTGACCTCAAGTGATCAGCCCATCTTGGCCTCCCAAAGTTCTGGGCTTACAGGCATGAGCTACCATGCCCGCCCTTCAGTGAAAGTTTTGTTGTGACACTTTAGCATGCAAATTTTGAAAACTTACATGTTTTCATGTTAGGAAACATGGATAGCTCATTCTACATCCTTATCAGACCTTTCTCTGAATGAGGACAGGTGGATATTTTAACTTTTTCCCATTATTACTAAACTGAGTGTATGTGATGTGAGTGCGTGGTTTTTTGTTAAGGACACAGCATGATTTTCAATAAACTTTATATTTTGTAGCAGTTCAAATCACGTCATAAATGTTTTCTTATATTTGTTCTCAACTATCACATTACTAACTTAATAGTAAGAATAGCAGCCCGGCACAGTGGCTCACGCCTGTAATCCCAGCACTTTGGGAGAGTGAGGCAGGCAGATCACCTGAGGTCAGGAGTTTGAGACTAGCCTTACCAACATGGAGAAACCCCATCGCTACTAAAAATACAAAATTAGTCGGGTATGGTGGCACATGTCTGTAATCCCAGCTACTGGGGAGGCTGAGACAGGAGAATCGCTTGAACCCGGGAGGCATAGGTTGCGGTGAGCCAGGTTTGTCCCATGCCCTCCAGCCCAGGCAACAGGAGTGAAACTCCATCTCAAAAAAAAAAAGTAAGAATAGTAAGATATTATGGGTATAAATAAATGTGTTCATATGTCATTCCACGTTGGTATTCACGAACTTGTTTCAACTTTGCTCATGTAGGCACTTTGCATACTCTTACTTAACTGTTTGGTTCTTTAGGGTTTTTTTTTGTTTGTTCTTTGTTTTTTGTTTTTTGTTTTTTGTTTTTTTTTTGAGACAGAGTTTTGCTCTTGTTACCCAGGCTGGAGTGCAATGGCACGATCTCGGCTCACCGCAACCTCCGCCTTCTGGGTTCAAGCAATTCTCCTGCCTCAGCCTCCTGAGTAGCTGGACTACAGGCACGCGCCACCGTGCCCAGCTAATTTTTGTATAGTCTCTAATTTAGTAGAGACGGGGTTTCACCTTGTTGACCAGGATGGTCTCGATCTCTTGACCTCGTGATCCACCCGCCTCAGCCTCCCAAAGTGCTGGGATTATAGGCGTGAGCCACCGCGCCCGGCCTGGTTCTTTAGGTTTAACTCTTATTCCCAAACACCTGGACTCAGAAGCTTGCTCTGACCTTTTAGTCTTTGACTTGACACAAGCTTCTTAGAGTATCTGTCATACATTTATCTCCTAGCAAGATGGGAACCGATCTTTCTCTCATGAGCTGTCATATTCATATACAAATTACTACATGCATGACATTTATTTAGAATAACGTCAGACCGGGCACAGTGGCTCACGCCTGTAATCCCAGCACTTTGGGAGGCCAAGGCAAGTGGATCACCTGAGATCAGGAATTTGAGACCAGCCTGGCCAACATGGTGAAACTCTGTCTCTATTAAAAACACAAAAATTAGCTGGGCCTGGTGGTGGATGCCTGTAATTCCAGCTACTTGGGAGGCTGAAGCAGGAGACTTGCTTGAGCGCAGGAGGTGGAGGTTGCAGTGGGCCGAGATTGCGCCACTGCACTTCAGCCTGGACAACAGAGCGACTCCATTTCAAAAATATAAGTAAGTAAATAAATAAGTAGGATAATGCCTTGCACTTGGGAAGTGGTCAGAGACATATGTCATTGTTCCTGTGATGATTATCACAGTTTTAAGATTCTGACCTTTCTTTAAAGTCACTGTATACATTTTATCTCATAAAACATTACTCATGCTCTAGATCATCTAGATACTGAATATCACTTGGTGTGTCAAACATAATATATAACACTTCAATAAAGATAACCCAGTGTTGGTTTTTTTGTTTGTATATTTGTATATGTTTTGTATCGTCTACAAAACTGAGAAATCAATACTGATTTAGAGGCCATCATAACCTCTTATACAAAAGTATAAGAGGACTGAATCGGCCAGGCGCAGTGGCTCAAGCCTGTAATCCCAGCACTTTGGGAGGCCAAGGCGGGTGGATCACGAGGTCAACGGATCGAGACCATACTGGTCAACATGGTGAAACCCCATCTCTACTAAAAATGCAAAAAATTAGCTGGGCATGGTGGCGCGTGCCTGTAATCCCAGCTACTCAGGAGGCTGAGGCAGGAGAATTGCTTGAACCCAGGAGGCGGAGGTTGCGGTGAGCCGAGATCGTGCCATTGCAGTCCAGCCTGGGTAACAAGAGCGAAACTCTGTCTGAAAAAAAAAGAAGACTGAATTAAGGAAACCTCCTACTCAAAAATACATGTGTGTGTGTGAGAATGCAGTGAAAACAGATCCAGTTTCTCCTACTCTACTCTCACAACAGAGAACACATCTGCCATCCCAAATGTCCTGGGTTTTCCCACACACACTAAGCAAGCAGTTCTGCACTAGACACCAGCTGGGTGACCTCCTATTCTGTTGAATTCTGACACTATCTACCTGGATGTAGCATCAGATCCCACAAGTTGAGGGCTCAGTCCCACAAGAGTGTACCCACTTCAGTGCCAGTTGCAAACACAGATGGCCTTTGCCTCTCACTGAGCGGCTATGCATCATCATGAATTCCCATGACCCCCTCCTCAGGTTTGATTAATTTGCTAGAGTGGCTCCCAGAAATCAGGGAAAGAATTTGCTTATATTGACACATTTATTATATAGGATATTACAGAGTATACAGATGAACACAAAGATGTAAGCAGTCTATTAGGTAAGATATGGGAGAAGGGGCATGGCGTGGTGGTGCACGCTTGTAATCCCACCTACTCAGGAGGCCTTTCATGTATTTCCCTATACTGACGGTTGTTCAGGCCCTGTCCTTTTGGGTTATTGGGGGCTTCATTATGGGGGCATGATTGCTTACATCTTTGGCTATTGGTGATCAACTGAACCTTCAGCCCCCGTCCCCTCAGGGGAAGTTGGGGAATTAGAGTCCCAACTCTAATCCAGCCTTGGTCTTTCTGGTGACCAGCCCCTGTTCTGAAACTGTCTTGGGGCCTCCAGCCACCAGTCATCTCATTGGCTTGCAAAGATACTTATCACTCCAGAGATTCCAAGTGAGATGTATGTCAGGAAAGGGGGATAAAGACCATGTATATTTAATTATATCACAACTTGGATGTCAGCCCACTCATTTCAGTTTATTCTCTCTTCTCATTTTATGTGAAGATTAGAACTTTCCTCTTATCCCCTTGGTGGATGTGTTTTTTATCTTAGGGACAGGTGACATTCAGGGATGTGGCTATAGAATTCTCTCAGGAGGAGTGGACATGCCTGGACCCTGCTCAGAGGAGTTTGTACAGGGACGTGATGTTGGAGAACTACAGGAACCTGGCCTCCCTGGGTGAGAATGACTTTCTTCCAGAAGTTAGGATCTTCCCCTGTGTATCTTTTCATTTTCCTTGTGGGTCTCTTGGGAGCCCCTGCTTTGCTTGGCTGAGACTGAAGCTGTGTTGACTCAAAAATGAAAATTTCCATAATGTGGAAACTGGATTTCAATTGTCCTCTTCCTGATATCACTGGAGCGTTTCAGAGCTTTTAAAATACCCAATTCCCTGTTTTCTATCCCCATGCTCTGATTCAGTGGTTTTGGGATGAGAGCTGTATATTTGCATATTATAGTGTTTCATAACAATTCATCAGGAAGCATTTAGTAGATGAATTTTTGAAGTTTTTTTCTAGATATATCTGTGAAGTTCTCCCTCCTCATGTCAACATAGGACTGGGACTCTGGAAAATCTACAGCCCATTGATTTCCTTTCTTTTCATAAGCAGGAATCTCTTGTTTTGACCTCAGTATTATCTCTATGTTGGAGCAAGGGAAGGGGCCTTTTGCTCTGGAGAGCCAAGTACAGAGAGCAGGAAACCCGGATGGATGGGAATGGATCAAAGCCCTGATCACAGGTAAGAGTTCAGATGGGTGGAGAGAATGCTGCTTATTAAATAGTGTTTGGTAAACTCTATACAAATAAAGAATCCTGTGACCTCTGAACAGAAATCTTTGCCCCCTTTTATCTATCCTTTAGATTTGTACTAGTTTACCCTTTCACCCTCTAATTGTGCTGCAGCTGAAACAGACAAAGGCAAAGGCTCTATCATAACGGACAACACTGTTATCCAGCTTCTGAGAACTCTGGTTCCCTGATTCCATGGAACAGGGAAGGCTGTTACAAAAGGGTCGTTTTGTCCTTTGGTGTTGATTCTATCTGATGCCCAGTTCTCAGTCATATAGATCTGAATTCTATGTAGTTTGCTAAATTGTAAGAGTGTTTTAGTGGAGCCATTAGGCTTTTCTAAGTATAAAATCATGTCATCTGCAAAGAAGTATATTTTGACTTCTTCCTTTTCCATTGTTTTTTTATTTCTCTTGCATAATTGCTTTGGCTAGAACCTCAATGCTGTGTTGAATAGAAGGAGTGAAAGTGGACATCCCTGTCTTTCAGATCTTAGCAGAAAGGCTTTCAATTTTTCTTCGTTTAGTATATTCCCTGCGGATTTCTCACATATGGCTTTTATCATGTTTAGATATGTTTTTTCTGCGCCCAAGTTGTTTAGACTTTTTATCATTGAAGAGATACTGATTTTATTGAGTCATTTTCCAGCATCTATTGCAATGATAATACGGTTTTTGTCCTTGATTCTGTTGATGTGATGAATCACATTCATTGATTCATGTGTATTAAACTCTCCTTGCGTTCCTGGAATGAATCCCACCCGATCATGTGCGATTGCCTTTTTAATGTGTTGTTGAATTGTATTTGCCACTTGTGTTTTGTTGAGGATTTTTGCATATTTATTCATCAGGGATATTGGCCTGTAGTTTTCTTTTTGTTGTTGGGTCCTTGTCTGCTTTTTGGCATCAGGGTAATGCTGGCCTCATAAAATGAGTTTGAAAATATGTGCTCCCTTCAATTTTTAAAATAGGTTGAGTAGAATTAGTATTAGTTCTTTCTTTTTCCTTTTCTTTTTTTTTTTTTTTTTTTGTCAGTCTCTCTCTCTCTCTCACCCAGACTGCAGTGCAGAGGCACAATCATAGCTCACTGCAAACTCAAACTCCTGGGCTCAGCTGACCCTCTCACCTCTAGTACCTGGGGTTACAGGCACACACTACAATGCCCAGCTAATTCTGTATTTTTGTTTGTTTGTTTTTGCGACGGAGTCTCACTGTCTTGTCCAGGCTGGAATGCAGTGGCATGATCTTGGTTTACTGCAACTTCTGCCCCCAGGTTCAAGTGATTCTCTTGCCTCAGCCTCCCAAGTAGCTGGAATTACAGGCACATGCCATCACACCTGGCCGATTTTTGTATTTTTAGTAGAGATGGGGTTTCACTGTGTTGGCCAGGCTACCCTCAAACTCCTGACCTCAGGTGATCTGCCTGCTTTGGCCTCCCGAAGTGCTGGGATTACAGGCATTAGCCAACGTGCCCAACTATGTTTGTATATCTTCCAAGACTCTTCTTGTTGTTGATTTCTAGTGTTTTTTTTGTTTTGTTTTGTTTTTTGAGATGGAGTTTTGCTCTTGTTACCCAGGGTGGAGTGCAATGGCACGATCTCGGCTCACCGCAGCCTCTGCTTCCTGGGTTCAGGCAATTCTCCTGCCTCAGCCTCCTGAGTAGCTGGGATTACAGGCATGCACCACCATGCCCAGCTAATTTTTTGTATTTTTAGTGGAGATGGGGTTTCACCATGTTGACCAGGATGGTCTCGATCTCTTGACCTTGTGATCCACCTGCCTCAGCCTCCTGAAGTGCTGGGATTACAGGGCATTTTAAATTTTTTATGTCACAATTTATGTTGTGTACTGCCTATCTCTTAAAATTGTTGTGCTTAGGGGTGGTGGTGAAAAAAAAATTGTTGTGCTTATTTTTAATAGTTTTATCTTTTAGCCCTCTTAGTAAATATATAAATGGTTTGCACACCATAATTATGATGTTAATATTAGTGTAACAGTTACATTGTGTCATTTTCTTTGGATTTGAAAAATTCCCTTTATAATTTCTTGTAAAAGAGGTCTGATCGTGGTAAATTCCCTTAGCTTTGTTTGTCTGGGAAAGACGTTCTCTCCTTTATTACTGAGAATTGCTTTGCTGGCTACAGTATTGTTGGTTGAGAACTATGCTTCCATACTATTAATTTGAATTACATGGAATCGACTTTTCTTTATTAAACAATCCTCTTCCTTTTGTGTTCCTAAAAATTGAATATTATTATATTGAAGTTTCATAAATCTGTTTAATGTAAGACTTCCTTTTGGTATAATATTGTTTTTCAGTGTAAAATACTTGTTTGCATACTACATTTAATTAGAAACCTATGGATCTTTATATCTTGTAGCTCTGTCTTCTGAATTTGTAATGAAAGATTTACCACACAAAGGGAAGAGCAGTACGGGAGAAGTATTCCAAACAGTGATGTTGGAAAGACATGAAAGCCATGACATTGAAGGCTGTTTCTTCAGGGAAGTCCAGAAAAATGTTCATGACCTTGAGTATCAACGCAGAGATGCTGAAGGAAATTACAAAGCAGTGCTTATGACCCAGAAAGATAATCCCACGCATGGAAGAGGTGAACATGACAAAAGAGATGCAAGAAGCAAGCTTATTACAAATCAGCTTGGATTAAGCTTTCAGCCACATCTGCCTGAACTACAGCTTTTTCAATATGAAGGGAAAATTTATGAATATAATCAGGTAGAGAAGTCTTTCAATAATAGTTCCTCAGTTTCACCCCCTCAACAAATGCCTTATAATGTCAAAACCTACATTTCTAAGAAATATTTCAAAGACTTTATCTCTTTATTACTTACACAGGGACAAAAAGCAAATAATTGGGAAAAGCCTTACAAATCTAATGTATGTGGCGTGGTCTTCCCTCAAAATTCACACCTTGCAAGTCACCAGAGAAGTCATACTAAAGAGAAACCTTACAAATGTTATGAGTGTGGCAAAGCCTTTAGAACACGTTCAAACCTAACTACCCATCGGGTAATCCATACTGGAGAAAAACGTTACAAATGTAATGAGTGTGGTAAGGTCTTCAGTCGAAATTCACAACTCTCACAACATCAGAAAATTCACACTGGAGAGAAACCTTATAAATGTAACGAATGTGGCAAGGTTTTCACTCAGAATTCACACCTTGCAAGACATCGAGGGATTCATACTGGAGAGAAACCTTACAAGTGTAATGAGTGTGGGAAAGCCTTTAGAGCTCATTCAAGCCTGAGTATCCATCAGGCAACCCACCGTGGAGAAAAACCTTACAAATGTAATGAATGTGGCAAGGTCTTCACTCAGAATTCACACCTTATAAATCACTGGAGAATTCACACTGGAGAGAAACCTTACAAGTGTAATGAGTGTGGCAAAGCCTTTGGTGTTCGTTCGAGCCTAGCTATTCATCTAGTAATTCACACTGGAGAAAAGCCTTACAAATGTCATGAATGTGGCAAGGTCTTTAGGCGTAATTCACACCTTGCAAGGCATCAGCTAATTCATACTGGAGAGAAACCTTACAAGTGTAATGAGTGTGGCAAAGCCTTTAGAGCACATTCAAACCTAACTACTCATCAGATCATCCATACTGGGGAAAAACCTTACAAATGTAATGAATGTGGCAAGGTCTTCACTCAAAATTCCCACCTTGCAAATCATCAAAGAATTCATACTGGAGTGAAACCTTACATGTGTAATGAGTGTGGCAAAGCCTTCAGTGTGTATTCAAGCCTAACTACCCATCAGGCAATCCATACTGGAGAAAAACCCTACAAATGTAATGAGTGTGGCAAGGTCTTCACACAGAATTCACACCTTGCAAGACATCGGGGAATTCATACTGGAGAGAAACCTTACAAATGTAACGAATGTGGCAAGGTCTTTAGGCATAACTCATACCTTGCAAGGCATCGGCGAATTCATACCGGACAGAAAACTTACAAGTATGATGAGTGTGGCAAAGCCTTTAGTGAACATTCAAACCTAACTACCCATCAGGTCATCCATACTGGAGAAAAACCTTACAGATGTAATGAGTGTGGTAAGGTCTTCAGTCAGAATTCACACCTTGCAAGACATCGGAGAATTCACACTGGAGATAAACCTTACAAGTGTAATGAATGTGGCAAAGCCTTTTGTCAAACTTCAAAACTTGCAAGGCATCAGAGGGTTCATACTGGAGAGAAACCATATGTGTGTAATCAGTGTGGCAAAGCCTTTAGTGTCCGTTCAGGCCTAACTACCCATCAGGTCATCCATACTGGAGAAAAACCTTACAAATGTAATGAGTGTGGCAAGGTCTTCACTCAGAATTCACACCTTGCAAGGCATCAAGGAATTCATACTGGAGATCAACCTTACAAGTGTAATGAATGTGGCAGAGCCTTTAGTCAAACTTCAAAACTTGCAAGGCATCAGAGGGTTCATACCAGTGAGAAACCATATGAGTGTAATTATGTGGGGAAGCCTTTAGTGTCCGTTCAAGCTTTGCTACCTATCAGGCAATCCATACTGGAGGAAAACCTTATAAATGTCACTTGTGGAAAGTTCTAAAGTCAGAGTTGAACCCTTGCAAGTCGTCACAGAATTCAGAGTGGAGAGAAACCTTACAAATGAAGGTGGCAACTTTTGCAGTTAGAGTTAATTCCTTTGAACAACATCAGAGAATTTATTCCTGAGAGAATCCTTGAAAGTGCAAAGACTGTGGCAAACTGCTTATGAGTTCAAGTATTAATAGACATCCAAGGTTCCGTAATAATGAGAAATCATATAAGTGTACTGTATGTGGCAGAGGCTTTATTCAGGCCTCACAGCTTTCTAGACATTAAAATCTGCATACTTTATGGAACCACACTAATGTAATGTGCATCCTGAAGCTCTTAAGACTGTAACCGTAGGTGAGGATTCATATGAAGAGTAACTCAGTCTCTAGTTCTTCGATTCACTTTTAATATGACAAACTGCACGACAATTACACATCCCAATATGGTAAAACTTATGACACATATTTCAAAAGTTGAAGGACATTTGGAAATGGCTACTTACCTTCAGATTAGAAAATATTTCATTCCATTGTTTGAGGTTTCTCAAAAAGGCTACTGTTTGTGACTTTCAACCTGAACACCTTTCGTGGTGCCCCTCTGGGAAAGAATATGGTACGCATTACATGAGGATCATATTTATCCACATTTATTGAAGAAGGAGGACTCCACATTATAAAATTAAATATTCTTTCAATTGAGAGACCATGGTTTAGGGGCAGAAAATAAGGTAAAACTATGATATCAGTTGTCATACTGATTGTATTCAGGGTGCCCTTCTTCTGAGAGAAAGACACTGTGGGTTTTAGGCAAGAAAGGCTCTACCAACCATGCATTAAGCAGGCCAAGACCTCGGGACACTGGAGTTTTCATGGGAGGAGAGTAATAGGTTATGAATGACTGATTATATAATAGTAATAGTGCAGGGGAACGGTCGCCACCTTCTCTATTGAATGGCAACAGGAGTTTTATGGCAGAGATTGATGAAAAATAGGCTTATTTTTGAAATTGAAGAGATAACAGTTACCAGAGTAGAGAGCTTGGACACCAGAACCAGAATACCGTGTTTTTTTTTAGTAGAATTGACACTAACTGCTAGAAGTATATTTTGCTGCTGTTTTATTGAGAATGTGTCACAGGCATAATGTTTTGACAGAAAAATGGGATGTTTTCTTATAACTGAATGAATCACATTTTTGTACCAACACTGTTTTTTCCTGCCTGAGTAGGATACTTCGTAACAGATAATAACAATACACTCAGTCTTTTAGGTTGGAGGATCGAGAACATTTTTTTTTTCTTGGTGAAATCAAACAACATACAATTTTGGGAAACTGTAATCATACTGTGCCCTGAATTATTCTCTCTACACTCTGTCTTAGCATATTTACATGGATATAATGAAAATCCCATAGAAAGTGCAACTTTCGGCCGGGCGCAGTGGCTCACACCTGTAATCCCAGCACTTTGGGAGGCCAAGGCATGTGGATCACGAGGTCAGGAGATAGAGACCATCCCAGCCAACATGGTGAAACCCTGTCTCTACTAAAAATATAAAAATTAGCCGGGCACGGTGGCTCACGCCTATAATCCCAGCACTTTGGGAGGCTGAGGCAGGAGAATTGCTTGAACCCAGGAGACGGAGGTTGCGGTGAGCCGAGATCGTGCTGTTGCACTCCAGTCTGGGTAACAACAGTGAAACTCTGTCTCAAAAAATATATATATATATAAATTAGCTTGGGACGGTGGCAGTTGCCTTTGGGAGCTGAGGCAGGAGAATCGTTTGAACCCGGGAGTTGGAGGTTGCAGTGAGCTGAGATTGCCCACTGCACTCCAGCTTGGCAACAGAGCAAGACTTCGTCCCCCAAAAAAAAAAAACCATTTTTATAAGTGCCATTTTTACACTCTTACACTCTGAAAGCTGCCAGTGTTGTTGAATATATACCGTATTATATTTTTACATGCTTATGTGCCAAATAACTATGGCATACATCTTTATTACATGAAGTGAAAATACATCTATAGCAGGTGTATGGGCCGGGCATGATGGCTCATGGCTGTAATCCTAGCACTTTGAGAGGCAGGTGGGTCACTTGAGTCCAGGAGTTTGAACCGCCTGGGCAACATGGCAAAACCCTGTCTCTACAAAAAAATAGAAAAATTAGCTGGGCAGAGTGGCTCACGCCTGTAGTCCCAGCTCCTCAGGGGACTGAGGCAGGTGGATCACTCAAGCGCAAGAGGCAGAGGTTGCAATGAGCCAAGACTGCACCACTGCACTCCAACCTGGGTGACAGAGCAGCGAGACCCTGTCTCAAAAAAAAGTGTATGAAAAATATTATGAAATTATAAATAGCGCAGAATAACAAAAGTTACACTATTCTTAGAATGCTATGCTCATTGACATAATTTGACAAGACTAACATTCCTGAGTTTCCTCTTTTTTTTTTTTTGAGACGGAGTTTTGCTCTTGTTACCCAGGCTGGAGTGCAATGGTGCCATCTCGGCTCACCGCAACCTCCGCCTCCCGGGTTCAGGCAATTCTCCTGCCTCAGCCTCCCGAGTAGCTGGGACTACAGGCACGCGCCACCATGCCCAGCTAATTTTTTGTATTTTTAGTAGAGACGGGGTTTCACCATGTTGACCAGGATGGTCTCGATCTCTTGACCTCGTGATCCACCCGCCTCGGCCTCCCAAAGTGCTGGTATTACAGGCGTGAGCCACCACGCCCGGCTGAGTTTCCTCCTCATGAACATACATAATGGAAATTTTATTTTGGTGGGTAAACTATAAGTTTCATAGACGTAGCCTTACCACATTTTTGGTAATGTTAAGTTGTCCCCCCTCCAGTGGAAGTGTATTGCACTCAACCTGCAGTTTGGATTAGATACAGAAAATTATGATGTCAAACAATGAAATTTTAGGAAAATGCGTATTACGGCCGGGCGCGGTGGCTCACGCCTATAATCCCAGCACTTTGGGATGCCGAGGCGGGTGGATCACTAGGTCAAGAGATCGAGACCATCCTGATCAACAAGATGGAACCCCGTCTCTACCAAAAATACAAAACTTATCTGGGCATGGTGGCGCGTGCCTGTAATCCCAGCTACTCGGGAGGCTGAGGTAGGAGAATTGCTTGAACCCAGGAGGTGGAGGTTGCGGTGAGCCGAGTTCGCGCCATTGCACTCCAGCCTGGGTAACGAGAGCGAAACTCCGTTGCAAAAAAAAAAAAAAAGGAAGTGCGTATTGCATAATGAGGATTTCTGTGAGAAGCAAGGTTGACTTCCCAAACTGGTCCAAACTGGCTTGAGAGAGCAGGGATAAGTAACTGGTTATGGGTATTATGGTAATAACCTTTAATAAAAGGGCGTGGTTGGAGTGAGGGTGCCACACACGGTTTGAACTTCCATCTAGTTCCAAAGGAGGGAACACAGGCATTATCAGCTTGGCCAGGCAGAATAAGAAGAGGGAATGCAAAGGTGTAAATGTTGTTACACGACAAAAATCGCAAAATGGAAACTGACTACTACGACACTGAATATTTACTCTTGAAACTTCGGATTTCCGGCCAGGCGTGGTGGCTCAAGCCTGTAATCCCAGCACTTCAGGAGGCCGAGGCAGGTGGATCACCTCAGGTCAGGAGCTCGAGACCAGCCTGGCTAACATGGTGAAACCCCATCTCTACTAAAAATACAAAAATTAGCCGGGTATGGTGGCGTGTAGCTGTAGTCCCAGCTACTCAGGAGGCTGAGGCAGGAGAATCGCTTGAACCTGGGAGGCGGAGGTTGCAGTGAGCTGAGATCTTGCCACTGCACTCCAGCCTGGGCAATAGGGTGAGACTCCATCTCAAAAGAAAAGAAAGTTCTAAGTGATTTGTTAGGAAAGACCTCTGTTTTCTTTGTAATAGTAATTAGTTTTCCTTTCCTGCTGAACCCATAGGTGCCATTATACAACATCATTCTTGAAAATGTTTGTGAAATGCTGTTTAAATTGCCTAAAATATATATATATATATATTTTGAGATGGAGTTTCGCTGTTGTTACCCAGACTGGAGTGCAATGGTGTGATCTCGGCTAATGGTTACCTCCACCTCCTGGGTTCAAGCAATTCTCCTGCCTCAGCCTCCCTGCTAGCTGGGACTACAGGCAAGCGCCACCATGCCCAGCTAATTTTTGTATTTTTGGTAGAGACAGGGTTACACCATGTTGACCAGGAGGGTCTCAATCTCTTGACCTCGTGATCCACCCGCCTCAGCCTCCCAAAGTGCTGGGATTATAGGCGTGAGCCACCGCACCCAGCCTGCCTAAAATATTTTTACAGTAGTTCAATGAAAATGAATTTGTGGAAAAGTTTATTACATAATATGATCAAGCAATTTTAGCTAAAGGTAATTTTTCAAAGGCTGTGTTATGTTAATGTCATCTTCAGTTTATTGTATTGTGTAATATAGTTCATAGCTTTTCTTTCTTTTTAGCGGTGGGGTCTTGCTGTGTTGGCCAGGTTGGTCTTGAACTCTTGGCCTCAAGCACTCCTCCTTCCTCAGCCTCCCAAAGTGCTAGGATTACAGCTGTGAGCCACTGTGCCCCCCGCCCCATAGCTTATTTTCAATAGTAGTAAAGCGACTTTTTGTTTTTTAATATGATTTTTATTGTAAAGGTTTCTTCCATACATTTTAATCCAAATTATATGTTTACTGCATTTCTTCTCTGTGTTACTCTGGTGAAAAAGTTAGAGAATACGTAAAGGAGGGTGTGGTTTGTAAATAAAATTTTGTGACATGAAATGTATGTAAGATGATAGCAGGTACTGACTAGGTTCTCTGTAAATAGGAAAATGGAATGTGCTTGTAAGTCTTTAGTTCAATTAAAGTACTGGGATACAAAACGGTGAAATGAAGTCTCTTAATATGGAGTTATCAAAGACCAGCTGCTCAAAAATCAAGCGTGTGGAGGTTAACCAGCATCTGGAGAACTAAATGAAAATACAACCAATAAGAGAGTCCACAAGATACTAGTTATAATTTATGCAAAGGAGATAATTTCTTTTGGTGACTCCCTGGAGGCAGTTCAACTTCCCACTGTGGCTGGGATTTCTGTGCTGAGCCAGCAGAGCTTACACGCAACTTTTGCCGTGACAGCTGCCATTTAATATTCTCCCCTTAGATTTGTTTCCATTTTTAAAAAACTGATGCATATTCTTTAATAAGTGATTTACCTTTGCATATATATTTTCTTTTGTATCAATCACATTTAGAGTAAGAATCACAGTTGCTAGTGCTTTATGTGTAACAACTAAATCGTCAGCTGCCTGAAATGAATATTGATGATATTCTCATTTCAGAGGTGAGGAAACCTAGGATAGATAGGGAAAATAATCAAATTAGGCTGGGCACGGTGTCACACTGTAATCCCAATACTTTGAGAGGCTGAAGCAGATGGATCACCTGAGGTCAGGAGTTCAAGACCAGCCTGACCAACATGGGGAGACCCCATCGCTACTGAAAATATAAAAATCAGCTGAGTGTGGTGGCGGGCGCTTGTAATTCCAGCTATTCGGGAAGCTGAGACAGGAGAATCACTTGCACCTGGGAAATGGTTGTTTCAGTGAGCCGAGATGTGCCATTGCACTCCAGCCTGTGGACTCCATCTCTCTCTCTCTTTCTCCTCTCTCTATATATGTGTCTGTGTGTATATATATATTTTTTTCCAGAAAATTGATAGAACTATGAAGAGACATTTCACTGAAGCAGATATACTGAGATAAATAGGCCCATAAAAACACTTCCAGCATTACCATCCATCAAATGTCAGACCTTAGCATGTTCTGCTTTAATAGACTCATCTAGTCACGTTTCAGTAAGAGGCTGAATCGAGACTTGAATCCCTGTCTGGTTGCAAGGACAAAGCCGTTAACGACGATGCAGCAGTAACAATGCGAGTTATTTTTGTCCTTTACTCACTGTCTGTACCTATTTTGTCAGTATCTTGTAATTTTTAAATGGTTTATCTTCATATATCATTGTGATTTTGGTAACTTTGTATTAAATCTATATTTTTACTGATCACTGTTTCCTATGAACTTACCTAAATGAATGACAGAGACACTCATTATCCCATAATCCTGTAAGAAAGATTATCTAGGCCAGGTGAGATGGCTCATACCTGTAATCCCAGCACTTTGGAAGACCTAGGTGGGCAGATCATGAGGTCAGGAGTTTGAGACCAGCCTGACCAACATGGTGAAACCCTGCCTCTACTAAAAATACAAAAATTAACCTGGCGTGGTCGCCCACATCTGTAATCCCAGCTACTCAGAAGGCTGAGGCAGGAGAATTGCTTGAACCTGGGAAGCAGGGGGGAGGAAGGAAGGAAGGGAAAAAAGGAAGGATAGATAGAAAGAAAAAGAAAAGAAGCCGGGTGCGGTGGCTCACGCCTGTAATCCCAGCACTTTGGGAGGCCGAGGCGGGTGGATCATGAGGTCAAGAGATCGAGACCATCCTGGTCAACATGGTGAAACCCCATCTCTACTAAAAATACAAAAAATTACCTGGGCATGTTGGTGCGTGCCTGTAATCCCAGCTACTCAGGAGGCTGAGGCAGGAGAATTGCCTGAACCCAGGAGGCGGAGGTTGCGGTGAGCCAAGATCGCGCCATTGCACTCCAGCCTGGGTAACAAGATCGAAACTCTGTCTTAAAAAAAAAGAAAAGAAAGATCAATCTTTCGAGGGAGGTATCCAGTACCTAAGGTATAAGTTTAAGAATGCACTAATAGTGGCCAGGTGCAATGGCTCACCCCTATAATCCCAGCACTTTGGGAGACTGAGGCGGGTGGATCACCTAAGGTCTGGAATTGGAGACCAGGCTAGCCAAATTGGTGAAACCCGCCTCTACTAAAAATACAAAAAATAGCTGGGCGTGGTGGCAGGCACCTGTGGTTCCAGCTACTGGGGAGGCTGAGGCAGGAGAATCTCTTGAGCCCGGGAGGCAGAGGTTTCAGTGAGCTGAGATCATGCTACTGCACTCCAGCCTGAGTGACAGAACAAGACTTCGTCTCAGAAAAAAAATTCACTAATAGTGACAATGACAGTCCATATTTGTTGAGCTGAGAATATTTTTATATCTGTGTTCCCATTGTTAGTTTCCAAAAACAATTACAGGTTGCTAATACACATCACCAAACATTTGGGACTGTTGAGTAGAAGCTCCTGTGTTTCCCATTCTCTCTGATGGCATCCAGGGGTTCACATGGAGAAAGCAGAGTATGCTGAGGTCTGACATTTGATGGGTGGTGATGTTGGAAATCTTTTTAAGTGCCTTTTTATCTCAGTATATCTGCCTCAGTGAAATGTCTCTTCATGGTTCTATCCATTTTCTAATTTGAGTATTTTGCTTTTTAAAATGTTATTTGCTTTTTTGTTTTTTAAGTCGTTCTAGAATTCTTTATACATTCCACATAACAGTTTTATGTCAGATATTACGGTAGGCAAATATTTCCTATTATTCAGTACAGTATTTGCCCATTTTCACACTGCCATAAAGATACTACCCGAGACCAGGTGATTTATAAACAAAAGAGGTTTAATTGACTCCCAGTTCCACATGGCTAGGGAGGCCTCAGGAAACTTACAAGCATGGAGGAAGGGGAAGGGGAAATAAGGCGCGTCTTGCATGCAGCAGGAGAGAGCGGTCGAAGGAGGAACTATCACAGATTTTTAAACCATCAGATGTCCTGAGAACGCACTATCATGAGAATGGCACGGAGAAAAACACCCCCATGATTCAATCACCTCTCACCAGGTCCCTCCCTCGACACATGTGGATTATATTCAAGATGAGATTTGATGGGGACACTGAGCCAAACCGTATGTATCAAATGCCTTTTCTTTCATTGTCAAGGTCTTTCACAGACCAAAAGTTTTTAATGTGGTAAATACCAGTTGATTGGTTTTTTCCTTTATTTGTTTGTTTATTTATTTATTCTTTTTCTTTAACGAATCGTGCTTTTGATGCCATGGCTACGAATTTTTGAACAAGCTCTTGATTCTTAAGATTTTATTCTGTGAATTTTTTTTTTCTTTCAGTCTCTTACAGGATAACATTTTATGGTTTGATATTTTGCATTTAGGCTATGGTCAATGTTGAGTTGTGAAGTTTGAGTAGAGATTACGTCTTTTCTGTTATGGATATTATTATCCCCTCACCAGTTATTAAAAATTCTTCCCTCAGGCCGGGCACAGTGGCTCACGCCTATAATCCCAGCACTTTGGGAGGCCGAGGCAGGTGGATCACGAGGTCAAGAGATCGAGACCATCCTGGTCAACATGGTGAAATCCCGTCTCTACTAAAAAAATACAAAAATTAGCTGGGCATGGTGGTGCGCGCCTGTAGTCCCAGCTACTCGGGAGGCTGAGGCAGGAGAATTGCTTGAACCCAGAAGGTGGAGGTTGCAGTGAGCCGAGATTGTGCCATTGCACTCCAGTCTGGGTAACAACAGTGAAACTCCGTCTCAAAAAAAAAAACACAAAAAAACAAAACTTCATTCAATTCCCTTGATAACTTTGTTCAAAAATCAGTTGGAAGTACCTATAGAGAATATTTTTGCTCTCTGTTACTGGATTTGCATCGATCCATATATTTTATTGCCCCAAATGCCACACAATTTTTATTACTTTTCCTATATTGGAAGTCTTGAAATCCGGCGGAGTGATTCCAGAGAGTTTTTGTTTTTTGGTAACTTTCATGGATCCAATCACCGCTAGTCTTGGATCCCTCGCCGAAATCCCAGTTCCTGAACTAAGCTTCAGGAGGCTCCTTAGCAGGATCATAAACCGTTTTCAACTTGGTAAATGGAAAACGGTTTGGTTTCCAACGTAAGTGGCCCACACAACTCTGGCCCACACCTTAAAAGGGCTCAGGCCCCGCCCCGGACAGGCCCCGCCCACCCAGCCCCGCCCATCCAACCCCACCCCCGGGCTGCCCGGGCTCTTCGCGCACGCGCAGTTTCCCGCAGTCCCAGAAACTGATCGTGTTCGGGGAAGGTGACGACGCCGAGCGTGAGTGTCCCTCTGTGTAGATTAAACCCGCGTTCCCTGTTTCCCATGTCTGCAGCTGGTCCCCGGGGGCGCTGCGGGCCTTAAGACCCACGCACCGCGCCCTCCACCCCAGGGGAATACGGGCCTCGCGGTGGGGGTCCCGAGTCTCTTCCCTTTGGGTTGAAGTCGCTCGGAGGCTGCTCCCTGTCCCCGGCCTTTCGCGTCCCCTCCTCCGCCACGGACTTTTTAAAGTTCTCACCCTCGAGGTGGATTCCCGCCCTGGGCGACCCCCAGTCTCGCCCTCGTGGGCCCCTGGAGCGCAGCGCGCAGCCCCTGTCCGGGAGAGGCGCGTCCTCTGCCTGGTCCTGGATCCTGCAGACCCCACCCCTGTCCGAAGGCGCCGTCGCCCCCCACCTTCCTCCTCCTCGTGCCGGGGCCTGCCCTGTGACACCCGGTCTTCTTGCCTGCCCAGCTCCACCCACTGGAAAATGTGCCTCTCAGGGATGCAGGCGTCTTACTCCAAAGCCTCCTGTGAATGTGTGGGCCAAAGGAATCGGGAGACAGAGAGGGACTGTCGAGTCCCGAAGGGCAACAGGGGATCCTAAGAATCAGGGGCACATGGTTTTCATTAGGGAGGGTTTGCTGTGGGGGGTCCCCAAGGGCGAGTGCCGCTCAAGAGGGAGTGGTGATCAGGGTCCCAGAGTTAGAGATTTTTCCAAGAGTCAGAGTGAAATACAGTACACGGACCCGCAGCCCGAAGCCTTATGCTGGGACTGCCCTTAGGAACATAAAGCTGCCACTTCCTTGGTGCCAGGCCAATGGCCTCTCCCTGTTTATTCCAAGATAACAGAGTCCCAGAGTCACAAGGCAGCTGGGGAGCTGAGAGGCGGGGTCCTTGAAACCCACTGTGGAACGGATCTTTCTCCAGAGCAGAGGGGTCACTGGGCCCTGGGAAGGGAGTGTGAGGGTTCCAGGCCTAGTCGTGGCGGGCAGACTCAGGAACTGGAGAAAGGAAGGGCTGTGTTCATCCCCGCAGGGTGCCCCTCTGCCTAGGAATGTGCAGTAGAGCGAGGTAAGCTACTGGAGTCCCATTGAGGGAAAGGAGTTTTTCTGTCCACTTAACACAGATCTCACCCTATGCACACACTTCTGCCTTTCCCCATGGTCTTCTCTAACACGGGAAACAAATGCTTCCCCAGGTGGGTGGCTGAGGGAGAGGAGGAGTTGGTCTGTTTGTGTCTCTTCTTCGTCCCCTCCCTCAAGTCCTCTGCCTTCCTTTCTGCCGCTCTCTCTGTTCAGATCTCACTTCCTGCAGTTCTACTGTCAGTTTGCCCCACACAAGACCCAGGGATTCGGGTCTGTGAATAATATTCAAGCCAGTGTCATTGCCAAGTGAGAAATCTCAGACCCCAGGACCTTTTCTCCATCGAGGAGTCTGGGCAGAGAGAAGTCTCTCTTCTTTTTGCAGTTTACGGTCTTTCTTTTTTTCTTCCTGTTTTTGTTTTTGAGATGGAGTCTCGCTCTGTTGCCCAGGCTGGAGTGCAGTGGTATGATCTCAGCTCACTGCAACCTCTGCCTCCTGGGTTCAAACAATTCTGTGCCTTAGCCTCCCGAGTAGCTGGGATTACAGGCCACCACACCTGGCTAATTTTTGGTATTTTTAGTAGAGATGGAGTTTCACCATCTTGGCCTGGCCGGTCTTGAACTCTTTACCTCGTGATCCACCCACCTTGGCTTCCCAAAGTTCTGGGATTACAGGCATGAGCCACTATGCCCGGTGAGTTTAGGGTCTTTTATTGGCCACGTGGGTCTGCTCAGCCCCAGGCGGTGACCCATAGTCAGCCAGATGTGTTTCTGGCTGAAGTGACACTTGCCCTTCCACCTGGTGGGTAAGTAGAGTGTCTCTATGAAAGGCACGTGGCTCTGCCCTTCAGGTGGTCCTGCTCAGCTCCCCCTTCACTCTCGCTGAAGGGCATCCTGAGGTCCAACAGGACCCATGCATACATCAGTTTCTCCAAGTCAGCACCGTACCAGAGGGTGCACCCAGTATCGTTCTGTTCTTTTATTCAGCAAATGCAGGAGCTCCAGTATATACCAGGCTCTTTTATTTTTTTTTTCTGCATCAGGAATAGAAATGGTAAAAGAATGTGAGCCTCTACATATCCAGTTAATTTTAAAAATTATAGCTCATGCCTGTAATCCCAGCACTTTCAGAGGCCAGGACAGGACAATCACTTGAGCCCAGTTTGAGACCAGCATAGGTAACACAGGTGAGACCTTGTCTCTGTAAAAAATTTAAAAATCAGCCAGATGTGGTGGCTCATGCCTGTAGTCCCAGCTACTCGAGAGGCTGAGGTGCGAGGATTGCTGTTGCCCAGGAAGTCAAGGCTACACTGAGCCGTGATTGCATCACTGCACTCTAGCCCGGGCAACAGAGCAAGATTCTGTTTGAAAACAGACAAACAAGGGCCAGGCAAGGCGGCTCACACCTGTAATCCCAGCACTTTGGAAGGCCGAGGTGGGTGGTTCACCTGAGGTCAGGAGTTCGAGACCAGCCTGGCCAACATGGGGAAACCCAGTCTCTGAAAAAAAAAAAAAAAAAAAGAGATATGGAGATAAACAGACCCTTTCAGTTACCAGCTGATGTGCGAGTCAGGTGCACTAACACAGGACTGGTGGAATTATTCCCCAAGGATATGGAGAAGCTGCTGCTGCTTCTTTTTTTTTGAGACAGAGTCTTGCTCTGTCGCCAGGCTGGAGTGCAGTGGCATGATCTTGGCTCACTGCACCCTCTGTCTCCTGGGTTCAAGCAATTCTCCTGCCTCAGCTTCCTGAGTAACTGGAACTACACGCGTGCACCACGACACCCAGCTAATTTTTGTCTTTTTGTTTTTTTTTTTTTTTGAGATGGAGTTTTGCTCTTGTTACCCAGGCTGGAGTGCAATGGCATGATCTCGGCTCACTGCAACCTCCGCCTCCTGGGTTCAAGCAATTTTCCTGCCTCAGCCTCCCGAGTAGCTGGGACTACAGGTGCGCACCACCATGCCCAGCTAATTTTTGTATTTTTAGTAGAGACGGGGTTTCACCATATTGACCAGGATGGTCTTGATCTCTTGACCTCGTGATCCACCCGCCTCGGCCTCCCAAAGTGCTGGGATTACAGGCATGAGCCACCGCGCCCGGCCTGTTTTTTTTTTTTTTTTTTTAGTCAAGAAGGGTTTCACCATGTTGGCCAGGTAGGTCTTGAACTCCTGACCTTGTGATCTGCCTGCCTCGACCTCCCAAAGTGCTGGGATTACAGGCTTGAGCCACTGCACTCAGCCACCTGGAGAAGCTTCCTTGTTTCTCCCAGACATCCCCACATCCAGCTCTGCCTGCTCTGTTTCCATTCCTGCGTAGCTGATCACAGTCAGGAGAAAACATACGCCTGAATTTCCTGGTGTCATTTCATTCCTGTTCCGCTCCTTTTGCATTCCCCTGTTTGTCTGTTCTGCACCTTTTCTCTGGAGCTCATCTTTCTTCTTTTCGCTCATTTAAAGGCCTTGCATTTTTCACTGTTGAGCCCGTGGAAGCAAAGGAAGAGATCTTTCCCGACTCACCCACCCACCTGTCTCAGGGCTTGGGATCCCTACCCAGTAGTGACTGGGAGTGGTCTGTTCCTGCTCCTGGCTGCTGCCAGCCCTGCCACTGTGTACCACATGCCAGCCTCACTCGTAGCCAGGACATGCTATTGTTGGATGTGATTTGTTTTGCTCCCACTCTGATGTTGAAATGTGATCTCCGAAGTGGGAGGTAGGATCTGGTGAGGTAGGGTCATGGGAGCAGATTGCTTGGGAATGGCTTGATGCTATTCTCCAGGGAGTGAGTTCTGACTCTTAGTTCCCCTGAGAGCTGGTTGTCAAAAAGCGTGATCTCTCTCTCTCTCCCCCCCCCACACACACACTTCTCTCACCATTTCATCTGCCCTGCCAGCACCCCTTCACCCTCCACCCTGAACGGAAGCTTCCTGAGGCCCTGATCAGAGGCAGATGCTGGCCCTGTGCTTCTTGTACAGCCTGTAGAACCATGAGCCAAATCGTCCTCTTCTGTGTGTATGTGTTCGAGGCAGAGTTTCGCTCTTGTTGCTCAGGCTGGAGTGCAGTGGCACGATCTTGGCTCACTGCAACCCCTGCCTCCAGGATTCAAGCGATTTTCCTGCCTCAGCCTCCCAAGTAACTGGGATTACAGGCACGCGCCACCATACCCAGCTAATTTTTTTGTATTTTTAGTAGATCACCTGTTCTCAGGTGATCCACCTGCCTCGGTCTCCCAAAGTGCTGGGGTTACAGGTGTGAGTCACTGCACCTGGCCTTCTCAACATTCTGCTAGGACATCTAACAGGTATCTCCACTTACATGTGCCCAAATGTGACTTCCTGGCTCCCCAGATGCATTCCCCTGCAGTCCTGCACATCTTAGATGAGGGTGACCATGTATTTCCTGGGGCTTAGCTGGACTGGATGTTTTATATTTCAAATATATAAGATATTACATTATAAGTGTGTTAATTTATGAAGAAAACATTATATGTTTAATTAAAATGGGTGAGGAAACACATTGTTTCCAAAATTATTTGTTGTTGTGGGAGAAAAATGTTTGAAGACTTGGTCCCTGCCTGATCTGGGTTCCCAGGACTTCTCTGACCTCATCTCCTGCCTGTGTCCTTCTCACTCCCTCTGCTCCAGCCACACAGGCCTCTTTCCTGTTCCTGGGGCCGAGGTTGCTCCTGCCTCAAGGCCCTCACGTGGGCTGTGTCTCTGCTGGAACTCGCTGGCCCCTCAGCTGCAGGGGCAGGCACACCTCCCTCCCCGGTGTCTGTTCTGATATCACCTCTCAGTGGGGACTTCTGTGACCCACCTCCCAGTGAGCACTGCAGCCACACCCTCACCCCACCTCTGGTCCATATTGGCTGTTCTGCATGCCTCTCTGGATTCTTTCTGCTTCCACTGTCTGGATCCTGATGACACCAAGGCCCCAAGGGGAGAAGAGAGCCAGGAGGTGGGGATTGAGCTGGGCTCACCCCGTTTGAGTAGAGCTCATCCCTGGCTTCATATGAAAGTGATGAGGCACTCTGCAGATACACTCCTGTGTCCCCACCCCTGTCCCAGAGAGTCCCGTTGAGGTAGGTTGGGACCCACCCTCAATAGTGCAGTGTCCAAGGTGATTCTAATCTACATCCAGCCCTGAGCACCAAGGTTCTCATCTATTCTGAGGGCGGAGCTCAGCCTGGGATCCACAGACAGGACAGCGGGGCTGTGCTGGACCTGGGGTTTGATGAGGGCGGGGTCTGCTCCCGACAGCTGTAGGGTGTGTGGGGGCTTCCTGGGTGGGGAGGGGTTCTGAAGAAGGGGGTCAGAAGGCGCCTGTATTGGTCTTCCTGTTGCTTTTCCTGTCGGAGTTTCTTGTCCCGGGGTCCACCCTGGTGCAGAGGACTGTCTTTGCACAGGGCAAGGTCCGCCCTGTGTGTGTGTGCTTGTCACACAAGAGGGGTGTGTTGTTTTTGAGCAATAAACAGCATTTTTGTTGTTATTCAGCACTGACTTCCAAAGACTCTTGGTACATGAGGAAGAACCCAGAAGAGGAGAATGAAGGAGTCAGGGATGGCTCCTCCTCAGGTAAGGAAGATTCTGTGTGGCGTGTTCTATCTCCTTCCTTCCTTCCTTCCTTCCTTCCTTCCTTCCTTCCTTCCTTCCTTCCTTCCTTCCTTCCTTTTTCTTTTCTTCTCATTTCATTTCTTTTCTTTCTTTCTTTCTTTCTTTTTTTTTTTAATTGAGACAGAGTCTTATTCTTGTTGCCCAGGCTGGAGTGCAGTGGTGTGATCTTGGCTCACTGCAATTTTCCCAGCGCCATTTATTGAAGAGGATGTCATTTCCTCAGTGTGTATTTTTGGTGCCTTTGTCAAAAATCATTTGGCTGTAAGTACATGTATTTATTTCTGGGTTCACAATTTTGTTTCATTGGTCTGTGTGGCTGTTTTTATACCAATACCATGCTCTTTTGATTACTATAGGCTTGTAATATATTTTGAAGTCAGGTAGAGTGATGCCTCCTGCTTTGTTCAGGAGTGCTTTGACTCTTTGGGCTCTTTTTTGATTCCATACAAATTTTAGGATTCTTTTTTCTGTTTTTAATAAAAAGATACTGGTATTTTGTTTGTCAGTTTCTTTTTTTTTTTTTGAGATGGAGTTTCACTCTTGTTACCCAGGCTGGAGTGCAATGGCACAATCTCAGCTCACCAAAACCTCCGCCTCCTGAGTTCAAGCAATTCTCCTGCCTCAGCCTCCCGAGTAGCTGGGACTACAGGCACACACTACCATGCCCAGCTAATTTTTTGTATTTTTAGTAAAGACGGGGTTTCACCTTGTTGACCAGGATGGTCTCAATCTCTTGACCTCGTGGTCTACCCGCCTCGGCCTCCCAAAGTACTGGGATTATAGGCATGAACCACCGCACCCCGCCGAGGTGAGTTATTTAAAGGTAGCATATAGTTGAGTCGTGTGCTTGTATCAGTTCAGCCAGTCTATATCTTTTATGTGGAAAGTTTAATCCATTTACATTAAGGTCATTATTGACATATGAGGGCTTATTCCTGTCCCTTTATTAACTGATTTCTTGTTGTTTTGTATGTCCTTTGCTCCTTTCTTTCTCCATTGTTTATCATTGCAGTTTGGTGGTTTTCTATAGTGGTAACATTTACATTTGACTATTTTCCTTACTTGCATCTTTGCTCTGACAGTGGGTTTTATAGTTGTGTGTGTTTTCATGATGGCCAAGAGCGTCCTTTTGCTTCTAGATGTAGGGATCCCGTAAGCATTTCTTGTAGGGCCGGTCTAGTGGTGAATAATTCCCTCAGCCTTTGCTTCTCTGGGAAAGACTATTTCTCCTTTACTTATGAAGGATAATTCTGCTGAGTATAATATCCTTGGCTGGCAGGGTTTTTTTTTTTTTGTCTGTTTGTTTGTTTTTTGTCTTTTAGCACATTGAATATATCATACCATTCTCTATTGGCCCATATTGAGAAGATTCCTGTTTTATGGAGCATCCTTTTTTTTTTTTTTAAGACAGAGTTTCGCTCTTGTTACCCAGGCTGGAGTGCAATGGCGTGATCTTGGCTCACCGCAACCTCTGCCTCCTGGGTTCAGGCAATTCTCCTGCCTCGGCCTCCCGAGTAGCTGGGATTACAGGCACGTGCCACCATGCCCAGCTAATTTTTGTATTTTTAGTAGAGACGGGGTTTCACCATGTTGACCGGGATGATCTCGATCTCTTGACCTTGTGATCCACCCGCCTCGGCCTCTCAAAGTGCTGGGATTACAGGCATGAGCCACCGCGCCCAGCTGCAGCATCCTTTTTAAATGACTAGATGCTTCTGTCTTGCTGTTTTTAGAATTTTGTCTTTCTTTTTCTTTGGCTTTTGACATTTTAACTGTAATGTGCCAAGGGAAAGAGTTTTTTTGGATTGTATCTCTTTGAGAAACTATGAACTCACTGTATCTAGATATCTAAACCTTTTACTTTGTGGGGGTCCGGCATGTCTGCCGGGGGGCTTCCGACCAGCGGAGAGCCTCAGCCCCACTCAAGTGTTCTTAACCTGGAAGAGGGAGTGCGCGGAAGAAAAGATAGATAGAGAGCGGGGTCTGGAGGACTGCCAGGCAATGCCAGAGCAAGAAGTGCCAAGACAGCAAGTTTATTTGTGCAAACTACAGGTTATATATACCTTTCAGTGTTTGAGGAGTGACGTACATTCCATTGTATCTTGAAATAAAATCAAGAACAAAAATCACAAGAAAAGAGGTACAGAAAGTATGACTCTTAATCAAAGGGTGTACAGCAAAGGGACAATAAAGCTTGCAAAAAGGGGATCATAAATCTAAACGTGTTTTTCTAAAATCAGTTAAGCAAGCAAGTAAGGTTGTTAACAAGGTACAGCTGGACCTTTCCAAATGTCATTCTAACCTTGCCTATTCATATAGGATCATATGCAAACAATATGATTGAGTTAGCAGAGGTAAATGAAGTCATATAGTTATTGTGCAGAGAAGGAACTAGGAGGCACACAATGTCTACCCATACAATGTCTCATTAGACCACAAGGCTTGAGCTCAGCCATTCTGTTGCAAATGTCAGAGGCAAAGATTGATGTTTATAAAATCAGTGCAACTAGACTTCCTCCTTTCCCTTAGCTCAACAGCCTCCAGGAGAGGAGAAACGTGTATGGGCTCAAGCTCAAGATGGCGAGGGTCCTGTCAAGGGCCCTTCGCAGGAGCAATCCCCACATTACTTCACTTAAGAAGTTTTAGGTTATTATTTTGTTAAATAGGTTTCTATCCTTTTCATTTCCTCTTCACCTTCTGTGACACCAAAAATTCAAATATTTGGTCACCTTATGGTGCCTGCCACATATGTTACATAGGCTGCGTTCATTCTTTTTTATTTTTTCTTTATTTTTGTCTGACTAGTTTATTTCAAAAGACCTGTCTTCAAGTTCTGAAATTCTTTCTTCTTCTTGATCCCTAGTTCATTGTTGAAGTTTTCCAAGGTACTTTGTACACACACACTTATATTCCAGTTTCTTGGGAAGGTGAGGTGAAAGGGTCACTTGAACCTGGGAAATTGAGTCTGCAGTGAGCCATGATCACACCTCTGCACTTCAGTCTGGGCAGCAGAGTGAGACCTTGTCTCAAAGGAAAAGAAAAGAAAAAAAGGGGAAAAAACACAATTAGGGAGAAATTTATGTGATCAAAAATACTGTAGTGTAGATTTATCAGAACACACACTTCAATTAAATCTGTACTTACAGTTCTCTTTTATTCTTATTTTGTGTGAAGATGGTAACTCCCTGGATAACCCTTTGGTGAAACGTGTGTATTGTTTTAGGGACACTTGACATTCAGGGACGTGGCAATCGAATTCTCTCAGGAGGAGTGGAAATGCCTGACCTCTACACAGAGGACTTTATACAGGGACGTGATGTTGGAGAACTACAGGAACCTGGTCTCCCTGGGTGAGCATAATGTCCCTTCAGAAGTTAAAATCTGCCCTTGTATCTTTCCATTTTCCCTTGTGTGCCTCTTGGGAGCCCCTGCATTGCTTGACTGAGTTTAAAGCCTTGTTGACTCTGAAATGACAAGCTCCATAATGTGGGCTCTGGAGTCTAACCATCCGCTTTCCTTAGATGTTCTGACTCCTTCATGATACAACAGTGGTGGTTCCAGAGCTGAAGTATCCATGAAAGCTTATGGTAGACTTGAAATATTCACTTCCTGTTTCCACCCCTCCCCTGCCCTGTGCTTTGATTCAGTAGTTCTTGGAGGAGAGCTAGATATCTGCACGCGACAGTCTTCCTGAAGCATTCAGAGTAGGCATTTCAGTGAAAGAATTTGTGAAATACTTTCCTAGATCCACCTGTGATATCCTCTCTTCTTATCCAAGCAAAGGGCTGAGATTCTTTTTTTTAGAGATGGAGTCTTGCTCTGTTGCCAGGCTGGAGTGCAATGGTGTGATCTTGGCTCACTGCAGTTTCTGCCTCTTGGGGTTCAAGTGATCCTCCTGCCCCAGCCTCCCGAGTAGCTGGGACTACAGCCAAATTTTTGTATTTTTAGTAGAGTCGGAGTTTCACCATGTTGGCCAGGATGGTCTTGATCTCTTGACCTCATGATTTGCGCACCTCGGCCTCCCAAAATGCTGGGAATACAAGCGTGAGCCACCGTGCCCAGCTAAGGGTTGAGATTCTTGAAAAGCCACAGCACATTGTGTTCCATTCATTTTATAAGCAGGAAACGGCTGAGCGTGGTGGCTCACGCCCGTAATCCAAGCACTTTGGAGGCCAAGGCGGGCGAATCACCTGAGGTTGGGAGTTCAAGACCAGCCTGACCAACATGGTGAAACCCCATCTTTAAAGAAAAAAAAATAAGTGGGAAACTCTCTTCCTGGCCAGAGTATTATCTCAGGTGGGAGCACAGAAAAGAGCGCTGGTCTGAAGAAAGCCAATGAAAATAGCAAGAAAACCAAAAGGGTGGGAATGGATTAAAGGTGTGAAAAATAGTTAAGACCTCAGATGGGGAGAGACGAAGCCACACCATTAAACAGTGTTCGGAAACTCTCAGCGAGTGGGAAAGCTCTACGGGAAAACAAATGTTTATGTCCTGTGAGCTCTTACAGGATGTTGTAAACTCTGCCCCCGCCACCCCCCGCCTTATCCCTCCGCTCTTGAGGTGTCTAATAGTTGATCCTTTTGCCCTGCAGTAGGGCCTCAGCTCAGAGACAAGCGGAAGTGCTTATCGCGATGGACAACAGTGCCATCTGGCTTCCGTGAACTCTCTGCCTCCTTCACTCCGAGGGGTCCAGGAAGAGCCACATCACAAGGGTCTGCTTCTCCCTTGGTCTCTCCTGTTCTTGATGCCATCTGACGCTCAGTTCACTTTCCATATAGATCAGAGCTGAGGCCTCCACAGTCCTGATGCCTGGAGCTATCCATGCTCTACCACATTTCTGTGTTGGGAAGACCTGCTCAGGAGATGGGAAACACCTGCTCCTCTTTGCATCTGGGGCCCTGGGATCTGCAGGGAGCTATGTCAAGCCCTTTCTGCCTGTTGAGGTCCCTCAGCCATTCTGTTCTGCTTTTGCCACAGCTCGTGGGTGTGTGGACCAGAGGAGGGGGTTGGGTCTTCTGAGACTGTCACTCAGCCGGACTGTAAGAACAGTTGACAGGTCTTCACGGTGATCCCCTGTCCCACACAGGGAGAACATCTTAGTCTTCCAGGCTCTTAGCTTAGGATCTGTCTGTAGGTGGAGCAGACAATCCCATCTCAAGATCTTTCAGAATCTGGCCTCATATGTTGTATTTTTTTCTCTCTTTCATTTGTCTTACTACTATATGCTTGTAGAAAAACCGTGGCTTGGCCGGGCGCAGTGGCTCACGCCTATAATCCCAGCACTTTGGGAGGCCGAGGTGGGTGGATCACGAGGTCAAGAGATCGAGACCATCCTGGTCAACAAGGTGAAACCCCATCTCTACTAAAAATACAAAAATTAGCTGGGCATGGTGACACGTGCCTGTAATCCCAGCTACTCAGGAGGCTGAGGCAGGAGAATTGCTTGAACCCAGGAGGCGGAGGTTGCGGTGAGCCAAGATCGTGCCATTGCACTCCAGCCTGGGTAACAAGAGCAAAACTCCATCTCAAAAAAAAAAGAAAAGAAAAACCTTGGCTCTTCCTGATTTATTTTTTCTCTTAAGTTTGCATGATTTTTCCTCTGAAAACTGACTTTTGGCCAGGCGTGGTGGCTTACACCTGTAATCTCAGCACTCTGGGAGGCTGAGGTGGGCTGAACACCTGAGGTCATGAGTTTGAGACCAGCCTGAACAACATGGTAAAACCCCATCTCTTCTAAAATACAAAAAATTAACCGGGCATAGTGGTGCGTGCCTGTGTAATCCCAGCTACGTGGGAGGCTGGAGTAAGAGAATTGCCTGAACCCAGGAGGCGGAGGTTGTGGTGAGCCAAGATCATGCCATTCCACTCCAGGCCAGGCAACAAGAGCGAAACTCCATCTCAAAAGAAACCAACCAACCAACCAAACAAAAAACCCATATATTCGGGTTCACAGGTTGTGTGCTGGTTCTGAAATAGTTCTTGCTTTTATCTTAGGAGAGAATCATTTACAGGCTGTCACTTTGTACAAGTGTAGTTACTAGTTTTTTTGTTTGCTGGTTTTATTTTTATTTATTTATTTTTTTTTGAGACGGAGTTTCGCTGTTGTTACCCAGGCTGGAGTGCAATGGCGCGATCTCGGCTCACCGTGACCTCCGCCTCCTGGGTTCAGGCAATTCTCCTGCCTCAGCCTCCCGAGTAGCTGGGACTACAGGCACGCGCCACCACGCCCAGCTAATTTTTTGTACTTTTAGTAGAGATGGCGTTTCACCATGTTGACCAGGATGGTCTCAATCCGTTGACCTCGTGATCCACCTGCCTTGGCCTCCCAAAGTGCTAGGATTACAGGCCTGAGCCACCGTGCCTGGCCTTCTGTTTGCTGGTGTTATCACAGGTTGCTACAGTGTTTTATTAATTAATTGTTATGATTTACAGATGATGGGTTTTTAGTACATTTCATGCAATGTAACTGAAATGCATCACTCATTAATGTCAAAAACGCCTGGTCTGGATGGGTACAGATAGTTTCATAACAAGTATTCAGAAAAAGTAGCTATTTTTAACAGTATTTTATTTTTTATTCTCACCATTTATGTACGTATTCATTGCCTAAGTTTGCTGTGGCTTATTTGCTATTATGATATATCGTGTAGTGCTTGTATCATTTATATGGGCACAGGAAATGTGCTGTAGCTAGGTAAAATGTAATCTTTATTTCTTTTCAATAATGAGGCAGCCGTGTGTTTTCTGCCAATTGGTGTGTACTTCGTTGTCAAGGTAAAAAAAGAACAATACTCATTTCAAGAGAAACTTAGGTTTGTACAATGTGTTTTGGTCATAGAGTATTTGAAACTGTCCTTCTCTAGAAATGATTTGAATTACATGAAATCGCTCTTCTTTTACTAAAGAATGTGATTCCTTTGTGTTCCTAAAAATTAAAGATCATGATTGGGAAGTTTTGTTTTTGTTTTTGTTTTTGTTTTTTTTGAGACAGAGTTTCGCTGTTGTTACCCAGGCTGGAGTGCAATGGCGCGATCTTGGCTCACTGCAACCTCCGCCTCCTGGGTTCAAGCAATTCTTATGCCTCAGCCTCCTGAGTAGCTGGGACTACAGGTGCGCACCACCATGACCAGATTATTATTATTATTATTATTATTATTTTTGTATTTTTAGTAGAGACGGGGTTTCACCATGTTGACCAGGATGGTCTCGATCTCTTGACCTCATGATCCACCCACCTCGGCCTCCCAAAGTGCTGGGATTATAGGTGTGAGCCACCGTGCCTGGCCATGATTGGGAAGTTTTATAACTCTGTTGAAGGGCCAGGCGCGGTGGCTCATGCCTGTAATCCCAGCACTTTGGGAGGCCGAGGCAGGTGGATCACGAGGTCAAGAGATCAAGACCATCCTGGTAAACATGGTGAAACCCCGTCTCTACTGAAAATACAAAAAAAAAAATTAATAATAATAATAACTGGGCATGGTGGTGTGTGCCTGTAATCCCAGCTACTCAGGAGGCTGAGGCAGGAGAATTGCCTGAACCCAGGAGGTGGAGGTTGCAGTGGGCTGAGATTGCACCATTTGCACTCTAACCTGGGTAACAAGAGCAAAACTCCGTCTCAAAAAAAAACAACAACTCTGTTGTAGATAAATGTATTTGTTTATTACTGTTATTCAGTATGAAATATTTAGATATGCCAGGTACGGTGGCTCACGCCTGTAATCCCAGCACTTTGGGAGGCTGAGGCAGGCAGATCACAAGGTCAAGATAGTGAGACCATCCTGTCCAACACAGTGAAACCCCATCTCTACTAAAAATACAAAAATTGGCTGGGTGTGGTGGCACGCACCTGTGTTCCCAGCTACTCAGGAGGCTGAGGCAGGAGAATCACTTGAACCTGGGAGGCAGTTGCAGTGAGCTGAGATTGCACCACTGCACTCCAGCCTGGTGACAGAGCAAGACTCTGTCTCAAAAAAGAGAAAAAAGGAAATATTTATATGCTGTTTCGAATTATTTAAAAACCTATGGCTTTTTATTTCTTATAGATCTCTCTCATAACGGTGTGATGAAGGAATTAGCACCAAAACAGAAACGTAACATGGGGGAAGTATTCCACACAGTGGCACGGGAACAGCATGAAACACCTGACACGCAAGAGTTTTGCTTCAGGGAAATCAGGAAAAAAATACACGACTTGGACTGTCAGTGGAGATATGATGAAAGAAATTACAGCCAAGTGACTGTGACCCCAAAAGAAAGTCTTACTTGTAGAAGAGACCGCCATGGCAGAGGAGGTATGGAAAACAAGTCTGTTAAAAATCAGCTTGGATTAAGCTTTCCGTCCCATCCCCCTGAACTGCAGCAATTTCAAGCTAAAGGGAAAATTTATGAATGTAAGCATGTTGAGAAGTCTGTCAACCATGGTTCCTCAGTGCCACCAGCCCAAATAATTTCTTCTGCCATCAAAACCCATGTTTCTAATAAACATGGGACTGATTTCCTCTGGTCTTCATTACTCACACAAGAACAGAAATCATGCATTAGGGAAAAACCTTACAGATATGCGCACGACAAAACCTTTCATCATGACTCACACGTGACTGTACATCAGGTAAGTCATTCTGGAGAGAAACGATATAAATGTGATGTCTGTGGCAAGGTCTTTAGTCAAAAGTCAAACCTTGCACGTCATCGGAGAGTTCATACTGGGGAGAAACCTTACAAATGTAATGAATGTGACAAGGTCTTTAGTCGCAACTCGTGCCTTGCCCTACATCGGAGGGTTCATACTGGAGAGAAACCTTACAAGTGTTGTGAATGTGACAAGGTCTTCAGTCGCAACTCGTGCCTTGTGCTACATCGGAAAATTCATATTGGAGAGAAACCTTACAAGTGTAATGAGTGTGGCAAAGCCTTTAGTGTGAGGTCAGCACTTACCCACCATCAGGTAACTCACAGTGGAGAGAAACCTTACAAATGCGATGAATGTGGCAAGGTCTTCAGTCAGACTTCAAGCCTTGCAACTCATCAGAGAATTCACACTGGGGAGAAGCCATACAAGTGTAATGAATGTGGTAAAGTCTTCAGTCAGACCTCAAGCCTCGCAAGGCACTGGAGAATTCATACTGGAGAGAAACCTTACAAATGCAATGAATGTGGTAAGGTCTTCAGTTACAATTCACACCTTGCCAGTCATCGGAGAGTTCATACTGGAGAGAAACCTTACAAGTGTACTGAGTGTGGCAAAGCCTTTAGTGTACATTCGAACTTAACTACCCATCAGGTCATCCACACTGGAGAGAAGCCTTACAAATGTAATGAGTGTGGCAAAGCCTTCAGTGTCCATTCAAGCCTAACCACCCATCAGGTCATCCACACTGGAGAGAAGCCTTACAAATGTAACGAGTGTGGCAAAGCCTTCAGTGTGCGCCCAAACCTCACTAGACATCAGATAGTCCATACTGGAAAGAAACCTCACAAGTGTGATAATTGTGGGAAGTCTTTTAGTGTGCGCCCAAACCTCATGAGACATCAGATTATCCATACTAAGGAGAAACCTTATAAAAGAAATTAATATGGCAAGGTCTTCGTTCACAGCTTAAATCTTGTGAGTCATCAGATAATTTATATCAGAGAGAAACCTTACAAATATAATACATGTGGCAAGGTTTTCAGTCACAGTTCACTCCTACACAACAACAGAGAATTTCATTCCTGAGAGAATCCTTAAGTACAACAAACGCTTCATCATGAGTTCAAGCATTCACTGACATCAGAGTCCATCTAAAGAGAAATCATATAAATGTAACGCATGTGGCAGAGGGTTAAGACTCACAACTCACCAGACATCAAAATACACATCTTTGTATATTTTGTGCATGTGGAAGCGATTACCCAGTGATGAACACTAAAACATCCAAGGATTGGGGCCGGGCGTGGTGGCTCAAGCCTGTAATCCCAGCACTTTGGGAGGCCGAGGCAGGTGGATCACGAAGTCAAGAGATCGAGACCATCCTGGTCGACATGGTGAAACCCCGTCTCTACTAAAGATACAAAAAATTAGCTGGGCACGGTGGTGCGTGCCTGTAATCCCAGCTACTCGGGAGGCTGAGGCAGGAGAATTGCCTGAACCCAGGAGGCGGAGGTTGTGGTGAGCCGAGATCGCGCCATTGCACTCCAGCCTGGGTAACAAGAGCGAAACTCCGTCTCCAAAAAAAAAAAAAAAATCCAAGGATTCATGTGAGGAATCATTCAGTGCAGTTGTGCACGCTAAACTTGTCATATTACACATTGTAGAACAATTACAAGTCCAAATATCTTAAAACTTACAACATGATATATGTTAAAGGTTGCAGGAAGTTTGGAAGTCACTGGTTATCTTCAGATTTTAAAATATTTAGTTATTTTAGGTGTCTTGCAGGCAACTGCTCTATACTTTCGAATTTATGACTTTCAACCTAAACCTTGAAATCTGTTGATACACCACCTCCTTACCCGCCTTTCATGGTGAGGAATCAGCAAGATGGAAGGGCTCACTGCATGAGAGGAGGATCATTTCTATTCAAATTCTTTGAAGAATCAGGACTCCACTTTTGCAAATTAAATTACCAAGCCTGGGGGCAGACAGAGAATAAAGCAAAACGATGATGTGGATCATCATCCTTATTGCATTCAGGCTGCTCCTACGAGGGCACTTCCGGTTACAGGAAACAGAGGACCCACAAAGTGACCTTGAAGTAGAGCAGCCCAAGACCTTAGACACGGGGAATTGTGGGAGGAGAGTACAGGCTACTAGTGAGTGATTCCGTGGTGGAAAGAATTCAGGGGAAAATGGGGGCCACCTTCTGCAGGGAATGGCCATCGCTGTTGTGAAAGGAAGGTGGAGAGGACTATGGAAACTGCAGCCTCAGAGATGAACCACAATGGCATGTTATTGATCAGGGATCACATGGACTGCTGGCATTACATTTTGCTGCTGTTTTATTCACAATGGATCATAGATCTCGTGCTAATTAACAGAATTCCACTTTTGCATAACTATGAATGCACCACGTTCTTTGTACCAACAGAGTTTTATGGCACCTCAGTAGGTTACATAACCACACATCATTAGGCTCTTAAGGCTGAAAGAGAGAACAATTTTTTTTTTGTTTTTGGAATTTAAATAGAGTGTTGGGAACATCCACGTATGGAGTACACTTGAGTTGTTCTCCCCACGCCCTGCCTGAGGATACTTATGTGAATGTAATGCAAATCCCAAGGAAGTTTTACACCCTTAGCTGTACTTTTTTTTTAAGAGATGGAGTCTCGTTCTGTTGCCCAGGCTGCAGTGCAGTGGCACGGTAGCTCACTGCAGCCTCTGCCTCCCTGGTTCAAGCGATTCTCCTGCCTCAGCCTCCCAAGTGGCTGGGATTACAGGCGTCCTGCCACCATGGTCAGCTAATTTTGTATTTTTAGCAGAGACAAGGTTTCACCATGTTGGCCAAACTCTTCTCAAACCCCTCACCTCAGGTCATCTGCCTGCCTTGGTCTCTCAAGGTGCTGGGATTATAGGCATAAGCCACCATACCCAGCCAGCTCTATCACTCTTGATGACTATTGCTCTGCGTGATTATTATTTTTTAATCTTCTCTTTTTTTCTTTTCTTGTCTTTTTTTCTTTTTCTTTTTTTTTCTCGAGACAGAGTTTCATTCTTGTTGCCCAGGCTGGAGTGCAGTGTCGCAATCTTGGCTCACTGCAAACTCTGCCTCCTGGTTTCAAGTGATTCCCCTGCCTCAGCCTCCCAAGTAGCTAGTATTGTAGATGAGAGCCACCAAGCCCAGCTAATTTTTTATATTTCAGTAGAGACAGGGTTTCACCAGGTTGGCCAGGATGGTCTCGATCTCTGGACCTCACAATCCCCCCTGCTTCAGCATCCCAAAGTGCTGGGATTACAGGCATAAGCCACCACGCCCAGCCCCAAACTCCAGAACTTTTTAAACAGTCTTTTTTTTTTTTTTTTTTTTGAGACAGAATCTTGCTCTATTGCCCAGTGGAATGCAGTGGTGCAATCTTGGCTCACTGCAAACTTAACCTGCTGGGATCAAGTGATCCATCCCAGCCTCCTGAGTAGCTGGGACTACGGGTGTGCACCACCACACCTGGCTAATTTTTGTAGAGACAGCGTTTCACTTTTTAGACAAACTCTTGAGTTCAAGGGATCTGCCTGCCTCTGCCTCCCAAAGTGCTGGGATTGTAGGCGTGAGCCATCACACCCAGCCACAAACTTTTCTCTTTTGAGGTTTTTCACTACTAATTCCGTCCTCCCTCCCCCCTCCCTCCCTTCCCCCCTCCCTTCCTTCCTTTCCTTCTTTACTTATTTCCTTTTTTCCTTCTTTCTTGATGGGACGGAGTCTCGCTCTGTCTACCAGGCTGAAGTGCAGTGGCGTGATCTCGGCTCACCGCAACCTCTGTCTCCAGGGTTCAAGTGATTCTCCTGCCTCGGCCTCCCGAGTAGCTGGGACTACAGGCACGTACCACCATGTCCAGCTAATTTTTGTATTTTTAGTAGAGACGGGGTTTCACCATGTTGGCCAGGATGGTCTCTATGTTTTGACCTCAGGATCTGCCCTCCTTGGCCTCCCAAAGTGCTGGGATTACAGGCGTGAGCCACTGCGCCCCGCCTTATTTCTTATTATTATTATTTTGAGACAGTCTCACTCTGTCACCCAAGCTGGAGTGCAGTGGTGCAATCTCAGCTCACTGTAGCTTCTGTCTCCCTGGTTCAAGCAATTCTCCTGTCTTACTCCCGAGTAGCTGGGATTACAGGTGTGCACCACCATGCCCTGCTAATTTTTGTATTTTGAGTAGAGACAGGGTTTCACCATGTTGGCTAGGCTGATCTGGAACTCCTGACCTCATGTAAACTGCCCACCTTGGCCTCCCAAAGTGCAGGGATTGCAGGCATGAGCCACCATGCCGGTCCACTGAAACATTCCTGGCCAGTGTAATTTGGAACAACTTTTTCTTAACAGCCCCTCCCAAGAGTAGGCTTTTTTCTTTTTTTTAAGATAAACAGGTTCTCACTCTGCTGCCCAGAATGGAGTGCAGTGTTGGGATCACAGCTCATTGCAGCCTCCAACTCCTGGGCTCAAGCAGTCTTCCTGAGTAGTTGGGACTACAGGTGTGTGCCACAATGCCCAGCTAATTTTTCAAAATTTTCTATAGAGATAGGGAGCCTTGCTATGTTGCCCAAACTGGTCTTGAACTCCATCATGAGCTAGGCTCACACCTGTAATCCCAGCACTTTGGGAGGTCAAGGCAGGAGGATCAGTTGAGGCTAGAAGTTCAAGACCTGCCTGGGCATCATAGCAAGAACCTGCCTCTACAAAAAGTGAAAAGATTAGTGGAGTGTGGTGGTACAAACCTGCAGTCCCAGCTACTTGGGAGGCTGAGGTGGGAGGATCACGAGCCCTGGAGTTCAAGGCTGCAGTGAGCTATGATCTCAACACTGCACTCTAGCCTGGGCAACAGAGCAAGATGCTCTTTCAAAAAATAAATAGACCAGGCATGGTGTCTCACGTCTGTATTCTCAGCACTTTGGGAGGTCAAGGTGGGCAGATCCCTCAAGCTCAGGAGTTCAAGACTAGCCTGAGCAACATGGTGAAATGCCATCTCTACAAAAAATACAAAAATTAACCAGGCTTGGTGGCATGTGCCTGTAGTCCCAGCTACTGGGGAAATTGATGTGGGAGGATTGCCTGAGCCTAGTAAATGAAAGTTGCAGTGAGCAGAGATCATACCGCTGCACTCCAGCCTGGGTGACCGAGCAAGACTCTGTCTCCAATAACATAACACACTTTCCCAGAATGACTATAGTCATGCCAAGCACTCATCCACAGCCCCGTAACTTGTGCTTATGCTTTCTAGTCTTGTTTACTCCTCCATATATGAAAAAAAAGTTCTTCAGTTTGTATGTCTTGGACATTTTTAAATCATGTGATTGGAATACTCTCTATTGCAATAGTCCTTTGGAATAAACTCTTTCCTTCCTTAAGTCTGAATTTGTCATTTACAGTGGTAAATATCTTAACTGTTCTAAGATAAATTATGTATATTTTCTTTTTGTGGCAAAAGGCTTAATATACATTCAGTAGGTGAAAGTGGTTCTTGTGACCAGGTATGGTGGCTCATGCCTGTAATCCCAGCATTTTGGGATGCTGAGGCGGGTGGATCACCTGAGGTCAGGAGTTCGAGACCAGCCTGTGCAACATAGTGAAACCCCATCTCTACTAAAGGGCGTGGTGGCAGGCGCCTGTAATCCCGGCTACTCGGGAGGCTGAGGCAGGAGAATCACTTGAACCCAGGAGGTCGAGATTGCAGTGAGCAGAGATCATGCCACTGCACTCCAGCCTAGGCGACAAGAGTGAGACTCCGTCTCAAAAAAGAAAAAAGACAAAAAGAAAATGTATAGGTGTTTGAGGTTGTCACCTCGTATGGAATAGAATAATATAAAAAAGAATGCAATTTATATATTTTTTAAAAGTTATTGCTAATTTCAGGGCTTTTCAATGAAATGACTTATATTAATTTTAATCGCAGAAACTTTCCAGGATGCCATCGCCGCTCCGTGTCGACCCACGTTCCCAGTCTCCTGGGCTGCTGCAGCCTCAGTACCATTACTGGGTAAACGCGACAGCAAAAAATGGTTTCAGTAGAAACCGTTTTCCAATCTAAGAAGAAAACTTTGATTTTCAAAATAAGTAACTAACAACTATGCTTTTAACTGGAAACTGAAACATCTACGCCGTTCCACAAGACACTTGACAGACTAAAGGCTCTGGACTCTGGGCGCGGGCGGTGGGCATCACGCGAAATCGCAGACGCTAGTGGGTCCCTTCCCGCGGTCCCTCCCCCGGGTCCCTCCCCACGGTTCCTCCCCGCGGTCCCTCCCCCGCCCCGCCCCCGGGTCCCTCGCCGAGGTCCCTCCCCGCGGTCCCTCCCCCGGGTTCCGCTCCACGGTTCCTCCCCCGTCCCTCCCCGCAGTCCCTCCCCCTGGTCGCTCCCCACGGCTTCGCCCCACGGTTCCTCCCCGCGGTCCCTCCCCCGTCCCTCCCCGCAGTCCCTCCCCCGGGTCCCTCGCCGAGGTCACTCCCCGCGGTCCCTCCCCCGGGTCCCTCCCCACGGTTCCGCTCCACGGTTCCTCCCCCGTCCCTCCCCGCGGTCCCTCCCCCGGGTCCCTCCCCACGGTTCCTCCCCACGGTTCCGCCACACGGTTCCTCCCCCCGGTCCCTCCCCCGTCCCTCCCCGCAGTCCCTCCCCCGGGTCCCTCGCCGAGGTCCCTCCCCCACGGTCCCTCCCCACAGTTCCGCCCCACGGTTCCTCCCAGCCCTTCCCCGGCGGCTCCCCCTCGGCCAGTCCCCAGGTGCCACCCACGCGACCACTCCCCGCCCCCACCATCCTCCGTGGCTCCCCGCCATTCCTTCCCTGGGTTCCTGCCCCGCGGCCCGGGCCCCAGCCCGGAACTCTCAACGGCCCGCCCTCGTCCGGTTCCGCCCCCCTCTGGCCCCCGGCCGTTCGGTCGCTTCCCTACGCTCAGCTCGCCCCTAGACCCGGAAGTGGATCGTGCGGAGCAAGCATCACACTATGGCGTATGAATGTATCTCTGTGTAGCCTCAACCTGCGCCTCGCCGTCCCCCGTTCGCACACCCGATGCCCCGGGGTCGCTACGGACTTAACGTTTCCGCACCGCGCCCTCCACCTCAGGTAAACGCAGGCTTCGCGGTGTGGGCCCGGAGACGCGTCCCTTTGGGTTCAAGTCGCCCTGAGGCTGCTCCCTGCCCCGGGTCTTTCTGCCCTGGGCCAAGTAAACACGGCCTTTCCCGGTTTTTAAACGCTTAAGGAGGATTTTCCTGCTTAAAATCTTGGACTGACTCCTCCTCCCGCCCCGCCGCTTAAAGTCCTCACCACCCGCCCTGGGCGCCTCCCAGCCTCGCCCTCGTCGGACTCTGGAGCGCGGCGTCGCAGCCCCAGTCCCGGGGAGGCCGCGTCCTCCGCCAGGTCCTGGGATCCCGCAGACTCCACCCCTGTCCTAAGGCGCCGTCTTGCCCCTGCCTCCCTCCTCCTCTTGCTGGGCCCTGCTGCTCCCCAGGCCTCCTCTCCGCAGCCACCGCTTCCCCTGAGCCCGCGTTGGGGAGGTGCCCAGGGCCTGGCCTGTGACACCCTGTGTTCTTGCCTGCCCAGCTCCAGCCCCTGGAAAATGCGCTTCTCCCGGATGCAGGCGTCTTACTCCAATCCCCCTGTGAATGTATGGGATCCGGAGAAGGAGAGACAAAGAGCAACAGAGAGGAGATGGGAAAACGAAGAAAGAGAAAAGAAAAATGAGGGAGACCCCTCAACAGACGGCAGAGTGGAGGGTGGGTGAGGGACTTGCAAAGAGACAGAGTGAAGGAAGCAGTCAAGAAAGTGTCAGGGACAGAAAAGCATGATGTCCGGAGATGAAGGACAGCAAGATAAGGAGAGGGCAGCAAAGGAGGAGGCTCCTTAGAGAGTGGGGGAGAGGAGGAGGGATTTGGAGCCGGGGCAGACAGAGCAGAAATGAGGGTGGCGGATGCTGGGACAAGCAGTGGGTACAGCTGGTGACAGGGAGAGCAGAGGGAGAACCACAGCACGAGGAGGCCAGGGATCTGCGGGTGCCAGAGAGTGGGGATAAGCAGGTGTAACAGGGAAGAGGGAATTTAACAGGGAGAGCAGAGGAGGCGCAGCGGTAGAGGAAGAGGCAGAAATAGTTGGAGATTGGGACGATCAAAAGATTGGAAAGAGCCCGGGCACGGTGACTCACACCTGTAATCTCAGCACTTTGGGAAGCCGAGGCGGGTGGATCACGAGGTCAAGAGATCGAGACCATCCTAGCTAACATGGTGAAACCCCATCTCTACTAAAAATACAAAAATTAGCCGGGCGTCTTGGCAGGCGTCTAAAATGCTAGCTACTCAGGAGGCTGAGGCAGGAGAATCGCTTGAACCCAGGAGGTGGAGTCTGCAGTGAGACAAGATTGCGGCACTGCACTCTAGGCTGGCGACAGAGCAAGACTCTGTCTCAAAAACAAACAAAAAGATTGGAAACAAAGCTCCGCAAGAGGTGAAAGAAGTTGCAAGAATGGAGTAGAACAGATATAAGGGGAAGAGCAGAGGAAGGAGCAACAGCCGAAGAGAAATGGGGCACAACATCAGCAGAATCCTAGGGGAAAAACAAGGGGAAAGAAGAAGGGCTGGAGCGGCAAGGTGACAGTGAGAGGTGCAGAATGGGGGAGAGGAACACATAGTTATGAACGAAGAGGGGTGCCCCGGGGCCACAAGAGTGGTGAATTGACACTGGATATGATGATTCGATTTCTCTGTTTATAATGTAATAAATTTCAATTATAATCTAATTGTTTAAATTCTACCGAGAAGGATAAGAATTACAGAGCTCTGTGTATAAGACTTGTTACAGCATCAGAGGCTGGCTTTCACTTGCCCTTGCTGTTCAGCCACTGGGCGGTGACTTGCCTCGTTCAGTTGTGGGTCTCCCTCTTCCTGTTTCCTAGGATGGAGTAGGGTGTGGGGCAGTGCAGAAGGGCAAGGAGTGACTGACTGTGGCGCTGCCTGGTGCCTTGTATTTACCTTTCATCGCATTCATGGTTCATGTTGAAGGTTGAGGTGAATCTTTCCTGATCCAGTTTATTTTTCTCTATGTAATTATTGCTGAAGTAAGCTTTTGTGGAATCCTCAATTAGCTCATGTCATTTTCTAAATGTGATTTACTTTCCATTTTTTTCTCTGTGGAATTCCATATATAGTTAAATAATATATATATTAAATGATGCATATATTTTTTCAAAATGGTTTCTATTTGAAGTTAATTGTGTTGTGTTCAGATTGAGGTCTGCAAACTTGCTCTCTTTCTTTCTTTTCAGTTTTGTTTTTGAGACGGAGTCTTGTTCTGTTGCCAGACTGGAGTGCAGTGGTGTGATCTCAGCTCACTGCAACCTCTGCCTCCTGGGTTCAATTGACTCTCTTGGCTCAGCCTCCCGAGTAGCTGGGACTACAGGCGCATGCCACCACGCCCAGGTAATTTCTGTATTTTTAGTAGAGACAGGGTTTCACCTTGTTGGTCAGGCTGCTCTCGAACTCCTGACCTTGTGATCCACCCACCTTGGCCTCCCAAAGTGCTGCAATTACAGGCGTGATCTACCACGCCCAGCCCAGTCTTCATGCTTTCTACTCTTTATCATATATTGGAAACACTCTTTGGTAGTCAGTAGATAATTGTATTCATTTATTTTTAATTAATTGTTTATTTTTGAGATAGACTCTGTCACCCAGGCTGGAGGGCAGTGGCGTGATCTCACTGCAACCTCTGCCTGCCGAGGTTCAAGCAATTCTCCTGCCTCAGTTTCCCACTAGCTGGGAGTACAGGTGCCTGCCACCATACCTGGCTAACTTTTTGTATTTTTAGTAAAGACAGAGTTTCATCATGTTGGCCAGGCTGGTCTCAAACCTCTGACTCCAAGTGATCTGCCCGTCTCAGCCTCCAAAAGTGTTGGGATCACAGGCATTAGCCACCGTACATGGCCCTTATTATTATTATTATTTGAGATGGAGTGTTACTCTGTCACCCAGTCTGGAGTGCACTGGTGTGACCTTGGCTCACTGCCACCTCCACCTCCCAGGTCCAAATGATTCTCCTGCCTCAGCCTCCTCAAGTAGCTGGGATTACAGGCACCTGCCACTACACCTGGCCAATTTTTGTATTTTTAGTGGAGACAGGGTTTCATTATGTTGGCCAGGCTGGTCTCAAACTCCTGACCTCAAGTGATTCGCCCTCCTTGGCCTCCCTAAATGCTGGGATTACAGGTGTGAGCCAATGCGCCGGCCATCAGTTGGTAATTTTAGATGATATCAGTGTGTACCTGGTAAAGATACCAATGATCCTTTTTTTGTTAAATCTTAACGTCAGAGCCTAGGTGCTAATTTGTAACTAGTCAGTCTTCTTCGCTTATATCATCTCTTAGAACCGCGGCCTGTGAACTGCTAAGTAGATGCCCCCTCAGGTCCCTTCTGCCAGTTCCGTTTTCTGTTAATGTGGAAGGGTGGCTGGATTGACTCGAAACCTTATTCCAGCGGACCTTATATGTTCATGAAAAAATGTGCTGAGCGCTCATTTCTGCAGCTGACAGTCTTTCACTGTTTTCAGCACCAACAGCCGTGTTTTCACAGTTCTGCGTTTCATAAGTGTGCTGTTTTTCTGGAAAAGCAGAATTAAATGTTTGGGATTAATGTGACAAGCCGTGAAAGAGGGGGTTTTGTTTTTGTTTGTTTGTTTTCCCAGGTATATGAAAGAAGGTCCTGGAATTTTCCAGGGGAGGTGTGAGAAAGTCTAGTGTTCCCACTGGCCCTGAAGGGCTGTCTTATCAGAGTCAGACACATCTTCTCATTCAGCCTAGGCTGACGTGGTGAAACGTCTCCCGCTCCAGCCCTCAGTAAACCCACCTGCAACGTGACAGTGACAAGAGGCCTCAGTCCGAGCAACACTGACCCCTAATGTTTGGCAAGATTAGGATCCATTTGAGTTCTTCTAGGAAGAGGGGAGTGCCCACTGCAATTAAACATTTAAATGGGGCCAGGCACAGTGGCTCACGCCTGTAATCCCAGCACTTTGGGAGGCCAAAGCGGGCCGTTCATCTGAGGTTGGGAGTTTGAGACCAGCCTGACTACATGGAGAAACCCCGTCTCTAATAAAAATAGGAAATTAACCGGGTGTGGTGGCACACGCCTGTAATCCCGGCTGCTTGGGAGGCTGAGGCAGGAGAACCACTTGAAGCCGGGAGGTTGCAGTGAGCTGAGATCGCACCACTGCACTTCAGCCTGGGCAACAAGAGTGAAACTCCATCTCAAAAAAAAGCGGGGGATTTAGTGCTCTAAAGTTTAAAACAACATTTAAATTTATTTTAAATGGAAGGTTTAGTGGATGGAGGCTGGGACATAAACTCAGAGTCAGAGAGACCATCTTTGAAGGCCGTTCTCCATATTAGGATATCACAGCTAAATCTAAAGCAGGTCATGTTGGTCCCTGGTAGGGAACCCTCTACCGGCTTCCCGTGTTCCCCAGGACAAAAGCCCGACCCCTCCGTGTGGCTCCACAGCCCTGTGTCCAGGCCCCGGCCCGTGTCCAGCCTCCTCCTGGAAGCCTGCCCTCATCTCATGACTCCCTCTGCCCCAGTGACATTTGCTTTTCTCTTTTCCCAAACACCAGAACGTTTTCTGTCTCAAATCATTGTCCCTGATCTTCTGCTATGTCCCTAAATGATGATGGCCCCGTCCCTTTCTCCTTGTTCAGGTCTAGGCTCAGGCATCTCCCATGACCTCCCACCCCCAGCTGACGTCCTCTCTGCCGGTCAGTGTCTATCACGTTACTCAGGTGTTATTATCTCTGCATCAGTCACCACATCAGACACGCTCTTCTGCGTGGATTATTTCAGTGTTTTGTGTCTTCCTCCGTTGGAGGACCCACTGTCTCCATCTTGGCCACAGGACAATCCTAGCACCTGCTCTGGGGTTGTGGTTTAGATGCTGGGGTTGGGGTCAGGCTGAGGAGTCCTCAGGGGAGACCAAGGGGCTGGGGGGCGGGGTATGAGGATGCTCCCGTGTTTCTTCTGGACGTTTCATCTGTGATGGATGTAAACCTCCTGTGGCTGTTTATTCCAGTCTATATAAAGGCAGAAGGCCTCACTGAGGCCTGAAAAGCCCTACAGACCCTGTGTCCTCAGGCAGTGCCCAGGCATCCCCACTGCTTAACTCCAGCTTCCGTGTCCCCCACGCTCTGCACATCACCAGGGCCCAGTTGCCATCCTGGGCAGGGGCTTTGCCTTCTAGCAGGTGCTCAGAGTCAGGGGTCCTGGGTTTCTTCTAGGAAGGGTGATGAGAAGTTCAGAAACCAAATGGGCCATGAAGGAGGCACACCCTAAACAACTGGGGAATTTTGGAGGTCACTGTGAGAAAGAGACGAGGGAACAGTGGCAGCCTCCCTCGGGATATCCAGGGCCTCTCTTTTTCTTGGACATTCTCTGTCAGCTTAGTCCAGCCCGTCTTCATTCTGGACTCCATGGTGTCCCCTCACTGCTGGCAATTCCTTCCAGCATGGCCGATGTCCTAGACTCCATACTCGAGGCCCGTTGTCCCTCAGATGGCAGTTTGTGTCCATTCCTGCTACATCGTTTGTGTCCAGAGGCCTTTCAATCCGGTGTGCTCTGGCTGCAAGAGAAGTAGAAAAATGGGGACAAAGAAAGGAGTCCTTAGAGGTGTCGCGTGAGGTGTGGAAGCAAGGGTGGGCCTTTAGGTGGGCTGGGTGGATGCTGCATGTGCCTGTCTCACATGTGAGTGTGGGCTCACGGGGTGTGTGGTACACTTGCAAAGAAGCCTCGTGTCTGCTGTAGCACCTGGAAGTGGGCTTTGGGTGGCTGTGGGCTGCCGGATCATTTTGTAATACCCCGATGTCGCAGCTCAGGTTACCTGGGAAACAGATGCTGACACAGAGATTTGCACGCAGGGGTTTCATTGGGAAACTCATCTTCACAGTGAAGAGTACTGAAGGCAATGAATCAGGCAGAGAGAAACATCATCCTGAAGTGTAGTTGGAACCAAGGCCTAAGCTGAGCCCACTGGGAGCTTCAGCAGCAGGAGGACGTGCACCTTGGCCTGAGGGTGTGGATCCCAGAGCTGCCCCACAGCATCATTCACCAGATGATTTCTGCGGAGGCTTTGAGGAGGGCAAAAACCATCCTGAAACCCACAGAGGGACGATAGGAGAAATCTCAGAATTGTTTTCTGGGTTGCCTTTGGCACTCAGGGTATTTGCAGTTTGCAGATCAATAAGCTTTCAGTTACATTTTGGAAGATGAAAGGATAATTTGGAATGCTTCCTTTTATGCTGCTGGGGTCTCATTGGCGCCTGTGCGTTATTAGAGACATGTCTGTTTCATCGGTAGGTTTTCGTGGTATTCCTGGGTGGCTGGAGTCACGAAGAGTGGAAATACGTTGTCCTGGGTCAGCGAGTCCCTGGGTGTTTATGAACATTATTCCATGAATTACTGGGGCTTGTGAGATTTCATAGCAGGGCTTCTGGATCTTTGGGAAGCATAGGGGGAATGTGGGAGTTTGTAAGCACGTCTGTGTCCAGAAGGGCAACAGAGAGGCCTAAGAAACAGGCACAGATGGTTTTCATTAGGGAGGGTTTGCTGTGGGGGCCGTGCTGAGGGAGGGTTTGCTATGGGCAGGTGCATCTCAAGAGGGAGTGGCAATCAGGGTCTCAGAGTTAGGGAAAGATTTTTCCAAGAATCAGTGTGAAATACAGTGCACAGACCTGCAGCCCAAAGACTGGGACTTATGCTGGGTCTGCCCTTGGGATGGTAAAGCTGCCACTTTCTTGCTGCCAAGCCAGTGGCCTCTCCCTGTTTATTCCAAGATAACAGAGCGTCACAGGCACGGTGGCTCATGTCTGTAATCCCAACACTTTGGGAGGCCGAAGTGGGCGGATTGACTGAGCTCAGGAGTTCACGGCCAGCCTGGGCAACACAGTGAAACCCCACCTCTACTATAAAAAGTACAAAAAGTTAGCTGGGCATGGCAGTATGTGCCTGTAATTCCAGCTACTTGGGAGGCTGAGGCAAGAGAATTGCTTGAACCCAGGAGGCAGAGGTCGCAACGAGCTGAGATAGCAACACTGCACTCCAGCCTGGTGACGGAGCGAGGCTCCATCTCAAGCAACAACAATAAAACCCAGAGAGTCCCAGAGTCACAAGGCAGCTGGGGAGCTGAGGGGCGGGGTCCTTAAAACCCACTGTGGAACGGATCTTTCTCCAGTGCGGAGGGGTCACTGGGCCCTGGGAAGGGAGTGTGAGGGTTCCAGCCCTAGTCATGGCGGGCAGACTCAGGAACTGGAGAAAGGAAGGGCTGTGTTCATCCCCACAGGGTGCCCCTCTGCCTAGGAATGTGCAGTAGAGCGAGGTAAGCTACTGGAGTCCCATTGAGGGAAAGGAGTTTTTCTGTCCACTCAACACACATCTCACCCTATGCACACACTTCTGCCTTTCCCCATCATCTTCTCTAACATGGGAAACGAATGCTTCCCCAGGTGGGTGGCTGAGGGAGAGGAGGAGTTGGTCTGTTTGTGTCTCTTCTTCGTCCCCTCCCTCAAGTCCTCTGCCTTCCTTTCTGCCGCTCTCTCTGTTCAGATCTCACTTCCTGCAGTTCTACTGTCAGTTTGCCCCACACAAGACCCAGGGATTCGGGTCTGTGAACAATATTCAAGCCAGTGTCATTGCCAAGTGAGAAATCTCAGACCCCAGGACCTTTTCTCCATCGAGGAGTCTGGGCACAGAGAAGTCTCTCTTCTTTTTGCAGAGTTTAGGGTCTTCTATTGACCATGTGGGTGTGCTCAGCCTCAGGCAGTGACCCCAAAGTCAGCCAGATGTGTTTCTGGCTGAATTGATGCTTTCCCTTCCACCTGTTGAGTAAGCAGAGCTCCATGAAAGGCCTGTGGCTCTGCCCCTCAGCTGGTCCTGCTCAGCTCCCCCCTCACGATGAAGACTACCCCAAGGACAAACAAGACCCCTGCATTCATCAGTCCACCAAAGTAAACGCCATGAAAGTGGCCGAATATTTTGTTTATTTTTAATTATTTACTTACTCAGTTTTTACTACATCCCCATTTTAGCAATACTAATATTTCATCTATTTACTGTTATTGTGACAGAAGCTTTGTCTGTCTTAGATGCTGATCTCATGTAACATGACTCTTACAATTGTGCGTAAACAGACAATTTGGATATTCATAAGATTAAGGCATTTTTCTATTCCTCATTCATTATGCAAAGCAAAGACTAGACACTGTGGATCATCTCTCATGAGAACAAACCGACAGACAGTTGGGAAGCATCCACTGATTATGGTAGAGGTGCTCACCAGCCACCAACTGGGATTATTAAAAAGAGCAATCCAGCCTCCAAAGACAGGAGAGGGTTCAAATCATAGAAAAGCTGCAGAGCCACCGGGTCTCAGTTTCCCACGGGAACGCTGGGACTTACTACCAATCCTATGGGCGCACCCGGGGATTTTGACGTCTGGTGGGATGGGGGATTCCGAGTGTGGTTGGACAGGACTGGAAGCCCTGAAAGGCAGGTTTGAATGCTCTCCTGCCGGTGAGAAAACTGGAAGTGGATTCTGGGCGGGGGCTGTGGCCAGTGAGGGGCGGGGCTTGGGCAGTGGGGCGGGGCCAGGGCGGGGAGGGTGGAAGCCATCATGGGGTGGGGGCTGGGCAATGGAAAAGGGGTGGAAGAGGGTGGGGTGGGAGGGTGGAACTGCTGTTAGGACAGGGCCTGGACGATGGGGAGGGGGCAAGGTGGGAAGGTGGAAGCTGCCGTGGGGGTGGGACCTGGACAGTCTGGGGTGGGTCCAGTGTGGGGTGGGTAGAAGCCACCGTGGGGTGGAGTCTGGGCAATGGAAAAAGGGGTGGAAGAGGGCGGGGTGGGAGGGTGGAACTGCTTTGGGGGCGGGGCCTGACTGTGGGAGGGGGCAGGTAGGAGCCGCCATGGGGCGGGATCTGGGCAATGGGAAAGGGGTGGACGAGGGTGGGGTGGGAGGGTGGAAGCTGCTGTGGTGCAGTCTGCGCTGTGGGAAGCGGGCAGGGCCTGGAAAGGAGCGGGTTTGGGCTCTCTACTCCTCTTGGACCCCGGGCATTTTCTGCTCTGCCAGCCTTTCTCTCCACTAGGACTGGATCAACAGCATTGCACTGCTAAAAGAAAATTTCAGCTGATTGAAATTAGGCGGGGCTGCTTCCTGCGTATTTTCGGTTAATAAGCAGGGATGTTTCCTGCTTATTTTGAATTAATACAGCATTTCAAATAATTTAAGGCAAAAGAACAGAATTGTACTGGCCCACTTACTTGAAGGCTAAGGTGTTATTCCTTTTTTTTTGGAGATGGAGTTTCGTTGTTGTTACCCAGGCTGCAGTGCAATGGCGCGATCTCGGCTCACCGCAACCTCCGCCTCCTGGGTTCAAGCAATTCTCCTGCCTCAGCCTCCCGAGTAGCTGGGACTACAGGCACGCGCCACCGTGCCCAGCTAATTTTTTGTATTTTTAGTAGAGACGGGGTTTCACCATGTTGACCAGGATGGTCTCGATCTCTTGACCTCGTGATCCACCCGCCTTGGCCTCCCAAAGTGCTGGGATTACAGGCTTGAGCCACTGCGCCTGGTCATGTTTCCTTATATTTCAATTGGTGATCTATTACACAGTTGTAAGGGAATTTTACATTTATATGGCTTTGAAATAAACTTGGTGCATCTAGTTTTTTCATTTAGCTGCAGTTTTCTTTCAGCAGTGAATGATGCCCCTTGTATGTGACAGGAACAGTCAGTACACCCACGGTGAAAACTGAGTGCCCTTCAGTGCTTTTTTTTCTTTTTCTGTTGGTTGTTTTTTGAGACAGGCTCTGTCTCCCAGGCTGGGGTGGCGTGATCATAGCTCACTGCAGTCTCAAACTCCTAGGCCCAAGCGATTCTCTCACTTCAGCCTCCTGAACAGTTGGGACTGTAGACATGCACCACCACACCTGGATAATTTTTAAATTTTGGGGTATAGATGGGGTCTTACTCTGTTGCCCAGGCTGGATTCAATGCCTCTCAAAGGCCAAGGTACCAGGGCAACTGTGTTATTATTATTATAAGCTTAAAATTTGTCGTATTCTAATTTTCAAATATATGCGTATTCATTATTTTTGAATTTCTCTTGGTATTATGTGTTGACAGTGTAGAAGCTTATTTTGAACCTATAATCCTAGCAGATAGCAAAGGTTAAGCCTCCCCACTGTATTTCTTCTTTTTTTTTTCCTCTGAGATGGAGTCTTGCTCTGTCCCTCAGGCTGGAGTGGCATGGTGCAATTTTGGCTCACTACAGCCTCCCCGCCGCGGGTTCAATTCTCTGCCTCAGCCTCCCGAGTAGCTGGGATTACAAGTGCAGCCATCATGCCCAGCTAATTTTTTTTTTTTTGAGACGGAGTTTCTCTCTTGTTACCCAGGCTGGAGTGCAATGGCGCGATCTCGGCTCACCACAACCTCCGCCTCCTGGGTTCAGGCAATTCTCCTGCCTCAGCCTCCCGAGTAGCTGGGATTACAGGCACGCGCCACCATACCCAGCTAATTTTTTGTATTTTTAGTAGAGACGGGGTTTCACCATGTTGACCAGGATGGTCTCGATCTCTTGACCTCGTGATCCACCCACCTTGGCCTCCCAAAGTGCTAGGATTACAGGCTTGAGCCACCGCGCCCGGCCCAATTTTTGTATTTTTAGTAGAGACCGGGTTTCACCATGTTGGTTGTCTCCAACTACTGACCTCAAATGATCCAACCCGCCTTGGCCTCACAGAGCGAAGTGCTGGGCTTACAGGCACGAACCACCGTGCCCAGCTAGAAATATTCTTTTTAAATTTATTGTGACTAGACTGGGTGCGGTGGTTCACGCCTGTAATCCAAGCACTTTGGGAGGCCGAGGCGGGTGGATCACAAGGTCAAGAGAGTGAGACCATCCTGGTCAACATGGTGAAACCCCATTCTACTAAAAATACAAAAATTAGCTGGGCATGGTGGCGCGTGCCTGTAATCCCAGCTACTCAGGAGGCTGAGGCAGGAGAATTGCCTGAACCCAGGAGGCGGAGGTTGCAGTGAGCCGAGATCGCGCCATTGCACTCCAGCCTGGGTAACAAGAGTGAAACTCCGTCTCAAAAAAAAAAAATTTCTTGTGACTATGTTAATTTTGCTTTAATGAACATTTTGTAAGCATTTAAACTCTGTATATACAAAATGGATGCATGGCTTTCACCTGTAATCAGATTCATCCCTACTGTTTTCAGTTTAATGAAGGGATCCCTAGTCAACTCATTTCTTTTCTTGAAGTCGTGGAAGTCTGGCCGGGCGCGGTGGCTCACGCCTGTAATCCCGGCACTGTGGGAGGCCGAGGCAGGTGGATCATGAGGTCAAGAGATTGAGACCATCCTGGTCAACATGGTGAAACCCCATCTCTATTAAAAATGGGCATGGTGGCGCGTGCCTGTATCCCAGCTACTCAGGAGGCTGAGGCAGGAGAATTGCCTGAACCCAGGAGGCAGAGGTTGTGGTGAGTCGACATCGCGCCATTGCACTCCAGCCTGGGTAACAAGAGAGAAACTCCATCTCAAAAAAAAAAAAAAAGAAATCATGGAAGTCCATGCTGAAACTGCTTTCTTGGCAACGTAGGTACTTAGCAATATTGCACAGCACAGAACAGTCTACCTTGCAGAAGTCCCCAAATGTCTCCCAGATACTGTATCTTTTGAAGCTATGTTGATACTAATTTTCATATGCATCTCTGTGCCCTGACAGGACATCCTGCTCATTTTAAACTAAAAAATTGTTAAATATGCTATTTTTCCTGTCTAAACAATTATATTTTCAGGTGATCACCACTTTTCCATTGATGAAATCTTCCACATGTAGAGATGTGAGAGGCAAACATACTTCAAATTGGAGGTAAATTCACAGAGGTTGACATAAAATTACTGCTAGTAGATACACCATTTAATATTTGTTAATCTGGTTTTACTTTGTGTAGAGTTCATACGAAAGAGAACATCCAGCTGGGCCTGGTGGCTCATGCCTGTAATCCCAGCACTCTGGGAGGCCAAGGCAGGTGGATCACTTGAGGTTAGGAGTTCAAGACCACCCTGGCCAACGTGGTGAACCCTTGTCTCTACTAAAAATACCAAAAATATCAGCTGGGCGTGGTGGCTCATGTCTGTGATCCAGGTTTCTCGGGAGGCGGAGACAGGAGAATAATTTGAACCCAGGAGGCAGAGGTTGCAATGAAGTGAGATCACACCATTGTACTCCAGCCTGAGTGACAGAGGGAAACTCTATCTCAAAAAAAAGAATGCCCTATAAAATACCCTTAGAATTACCCTTGAGGTGAATATAAATGCAAATGTTTTCCGAAGACTATTTTACTGGCTTCTTTTCCACAACAGATTAAAATAAGTACTTAGAAAACAGTTTTTATTTAAAAATTGTAATCTATGTTAGCGCTTTGTTTTCTCTTCTGTGTCTTCAAGTACTTCCGGAAAGTATGTAAAGTGAATTCCAAATTACATTATATGTAGAACTATTGACATAAGCATATTGTGATGACAAACGTTTATCTCAAAGGTGTTTGAGGCTGTGTCATCTCAAGAGTGGAGTGGGATAAAGGAAGAACAGTGGAATTTATTTCTATTTGTAAAAAGTTACTGCTTTTAAAAAAGGAGGTTATTGGCCCAACTAATTGTAGGCCTTAGCCCTGCTGCGGAACTGGGCAGAAGGTTGACGCTGTCCTTCCTCGGTGAGTGGCGAATGGTCATGGAAAGGAGATTCTGCTGGTCAGCATGAAATTGTACACTCCCTGCTATGCATTTCACATTCTAGTTTGCATTTCATTCA